GTATCTCGGGGGAAAACCCTACTTTCGTTATCGCACACTCTTTTGGCATGTTTTGCTTTTGTTTTGTTTTGCTTTGTTTTGCGTTGCTGTTTTTGGTTTTTTGGTTTTTGGCTTTTTTTTTTGCTTGTACTTATATATCCTGTATATTTTCCCCCCTCCCCCCCCCCCTCTGCCTCCCGGCAGCCTCCGGCCCGTCTGATCACGGGCCATTGCCGCCATTCTCAGGGTATCTTCAGGTGAGTGCTTCTTCCCCCTGTCCGCGGACTCTTCTAACGATTTTGACTCATGGCTTCGCTTGGATGGGGGACTAAGCTCGAGGCCTATTCCCCCGGGAAGGATGGAATCCAGTAACTCCCCCTTCCTGCCCTTCCCCTTTTCTTATTTCCTTTTGTTTTTCCTGTGTTTTTCCTTTTCTGCTTTTTTTTCTTTCCTTTGTCTTTCCTTGGGTTTATTTATCTTCCATATATCTGCAATATGCTGCCATCTCACCACGCTCCTTCGTATATCGAGGGACTTGGAGAGGTGTCAGTAGCAGCCCTATGCGGGATCGTGTAAGTAGTCAACGATAGATAGATTAAATAAGATAGAACGTTACTGTTGTCATTCGTGAACTGTAGTATTCCCATGACGTTCCTCAATGGCATCATATCCTAGTAAACAAGACACCTCACCTGTGTACATGGACTTGCAGACTGATTGAGTAGATAAAAAGATTGTAGGCCTGAACGGTAACGGACTGGTAGGAGCGTCACGATTCTAGGTTGTCTTAGAGTTGTAGGATCTCAACAGGACTGTAAAACTCAGACACAGAATTCCTTCACAGAATGTTTTGTGCACTCAGTCTTTTAAAAGATCTGCACATATACCAAGCTGTCTGCTTAGTTTATCAGTAAACATTCAAATTCCTGCCGTTAAACTCCAGTGGTATCCCCCTTCGATAGCTAGCGGACCAGCGTAAAACATCGAGGTTGAAGCTCATTCAGACTGATCAGGAGCTTCCACCAGGACATGCACGCCTGAGATCTTCTCAAGAGCTTGGAATCTTCTTCCTTAATGCTGAGTTCATCGAGGACGTCAACATGCAGTCTGAAAAGGGACTGTTTGCGTAGTTAACACGATGGACTACAGTATCTGAGTTCCTGCTGTCTGTCCACAGGGGTATCCTATTTCAATTTCGCAGTGAGCTTTAAGCTGAGCTTCGACAGCAAGGGATACAGTAGTGTGTAATGCTGAGGTTGAGCAAACTCGGACTGATCAGGAGTAGGCTGGCATCCTCACGCAATCTCTCCAGCCAGCAGTAAGCGATACTTGTAATGCGTATCTATTACACGCTCACTTGATCCTCTCTCCTGTCTAGATAGAGCTCTCATGCAGTCCTTCATTCTTTCTTTCTCGCTGGCGCTGAGCTGTACGGTACGTACTCTGCTTACTGTTCTTCCAGCTCAATTAAGCTTGTGCTACATGTTTTCAAATACCTTCTACATACATACACACACTCTCTCTATCTATCCACGGCTTTTTTGTTTTTTATTCTTTCGTATCTTCCTCTCCTCTCCTCTCCCCGTCCCCTTCATATAAGGCCCCCTCGCCTCCCCGCCCCCGACTCGAGAGACGAGGGACGAGGTTCCTTCCAAAAATGGAAATAAATCTCCACGCTAAGTGTAAGGGTGGTGAAAGTAAACAAATAAACAAAAACAAACAGACAGGCAGACAGACAGAACCGACAAGAGGAAGGAAGGAAGGAGGGAAGGAAGGCTACGTCTTAGGTAAGAACCTTGTCTTGTCTCTTGGAACAGAGTCCGTGACAATTCGGCGACGAGGAAGAATTTTGTTCAGAGTGTAATGTACATACCCCGTAGGAAGGTTGTTCCGTTTTATGGAGAGGGTCGGTTCCTTTTTTTTTTGTTCTTTTCATTTTCTTTTGCTTTTCTCCGCTTTTGATTCTCCTCCTGCATGATGTGGGAGGGGTGGTTGATAGGATGGTGATAAAATTATGGAAATGGGCACGAAATCTGTGATGTGACTTGTTTCTGTGGATTATTCATCATATGAAAGGCTTTTTCTGGTAGGGGATATTCTGAATGCAATAGGATGAAAGCGGTAAAGTGCAGTAAATGTCGGAAAAGGAGTCTAGCTCAGGGGTACCAACAATGAATGACATCGGAACCAATCTTGAATGCTGAATTTTATCTATCAGAACAGGATACGAATAGAAAGCACTGTGGTCTTAGGAGCAGGTAAATGATTCGGTTGTACGCGTCACTTCTGGGGAAAACAAAAGTCGAGATAGTAGAACTAGAATATAAAGCTCATATAAGGCAAAAATATGGAAAAATGACCTCGTCTAGGAACAGGGGGCTAAACATGGCCGAGACTGAAGACAGAGCGTTCAATTTTTTTTACGGATAACCAACTGTTTAGTAACTATTTATACCGTTACACATCATAAGTCCCTCCTACCGGGCTATTTACTCCCTCCTCACAGTGAAAAACAACCTGAACATATCCTCCATACCCTGAAACTGCTGCCCTTCCTGCTCAAGAAATTCCCTCTCGAATGCCTCCACTTTGAACCTCATCCCCGTCTCCCTTCCAACCTGCTCCCACATCTCCTTCCACGTCGCCGTATCGTGTATGAAGAGCTTCTTCCCCTGCTTCTCCCAGGTGTAGTGCTGCGGATTCTTACCCCCCACCTGCGTTCCCACGATCAGCGCTCCCGGCCGGTCTCGCAGTAACTTTGTCACCACCCGCTTGGCGACTTGCACCTGCGTGTCGCGGTCGAAGAGGTGGAAGAAGTTGCTCGCGTGGACGATGTCGATCTGGCCGCCCAGTTGGTGGAAGAGCGCAGCGTTGTCGTCGAAGATGTCCGATGGGATGAATTGCACGCCGCGCAGCTTGTCCCGGTCGAGGAAGAGCTCGTAGCCGAGGTTGATGAAATCGGGGGAGAGGTCGCTGCCGTAGATGTTGGAGTGGGGGACACCTTCGTGGGCCTGTCGTAGACAAAATATTAGACAGAGTTATATAGCTTGACAAGTAATCAATGTGGGTAAGTGTGAACTCACCAGCTGCCGAATCTCCTGCCCAAAACAACACCCCAGGTCCAGGAATTTATCGCCCTTTTTGACGCGGTCGACGATCTCGTTATAGCATGGTGAGAGTGGCAGGTCCAGGTCTAGGAAGCTGAACATGCCGATGCATGGGTAGGGGAACTAGTTACGAATTACGATATTAGGAAGTCACATTCCGTATTTGCTGTCCCCTTATCAAAGAAAGGAAACTTACAACCGCATAAGCGCGATCTCTCTGGAATAGAAAGTTTAAGAAATTAGCTCTGTCCCGGAATTGTCATATACATACAACCTGAACATTTAATTTATGGCAACTTACCACATCCTTAACATGCTGAATCACCCTCTCTGGCGCAATCCCACTGTATTTCTCCAGCAGCGTCCGCGCCGTATCGTTAATCTCGTCCAGGTTTTCCCGGTAAAAGGAGGGGGTGGCGACGACGTTTTGGTTTTCGTCGAGGATCGGGGAGGGTTCGTGTTTTTGTGCTTGTTGTGCTTGGATTTTTGCGTCGGACATTGTTTGCAGCGCAGCTCAGATTACGGATACAGGTGTGTCTGGATGGATGAGGTGATGAATTGGTAGAGATAGATTCCTTCAATGAAGAAAAAATTCTGGATAAGTGCTAGATAGAAGATTCATATTCTGCGGAGATCATGGTGACAACTTGTACTGTTATTTATACTACTCCGTATACACGAAAACTACCGCTATTAGCCGAGTGCTGCCTAATCTTCGGGATCTGCTAATACCAGACTAATCCTAAGACCAATCCTAAGACTCTATTTCTGAATTCCGACTTCAAGAGGGGAGGGCATGTTGATCTGTGGAGTTGATCTGTGAAGTTTGTGCTCAACGTCTCTGCACAGAAGGGCATGTGCAATATGCATCCCTGCACCATACCCAATATATGCAGGACATTCATAACTATTTATTATTACTAATCTATTTGTGCAGTGTATAAAATAACTTTCTTTGTGCAGCTGCAGCCCAGCCCCGCCCTGCATTCGGAAGTTCTGCAGATCGGATCCCCACATGTAGGTCGGTTTACTACTACCTAATCTACGGAGTAGAAGGATCGTCAAATGCCGAGGGTCAGTATGTGTATTTGTGATTGTGTATGTAAATGCATATCTGTCTGTTTGTCTGTCCTTGGGAGAGTAAAGGCATTGTAGAAAAATGTATGTGCATGCATGTATAGATCTGCGTTGGATTTTTTAGAAATTAGTCTTTATCACATATTTTGTATATAGGGTACACATATAGATGAAATCCTTCAAGTCGGATTACTTGACCGTCAAGTAGAATTAGGTAGAATATTACTCTTCTTGTAGCCCCGTAGATCTATATCTAGGTTGTCATGTAAAGTGTCATTTCTTGATGATAGAATTGGCGGAGCTCGAACAAAACTATATTGCTAACTGGGATGACAGAATCAAAGGTATCTGCTTCTGTGACTGGCGATTAATCGTACTGTGTCCTGTCTTTGCCCCGCTAGACTAGAATGTCGATCATTCTGGCGTTGGCGAACCATACCGCCGCGTGGATATCGGGCTCCAGCATTGGCGTCTTCGCCTTGTGGATGTCAGCGCCGTACAGGATTTCGGTACGTCTGCACTCTGCTTACAGATATAGCGGTGAAGATTCTTCCCGGCAGAAGCAGCTTCGCCGTCTCAGCTGGCTACTTGCATGGCAGAAGACAAAATGCACCCCACCATAATATTAGTACTTGTATTATATGCAAGCAGAAAAGAAATAGTCATGTTATTATATCTAGATAAGGCAGCATAACGTAGAAATTTGTTCTGCTGATGCCAAAGCCAGGGTTGCAGGCAGACTCATCGCTTGCGGTGGCTGTGAAAAGCAGCTGTTCCTTCACATACATCTTTGTGGGCTAGATGCTGCTGAGGAGCAGCGTCAGGGGTTGTCTTCTTCTGACCGTGAAGAATTAGCTCTTAGAGATGTTGCAAACAGTCGAGCAGTAGTCAACCACAATGGCGTGATTGCCTTAATTAGTGCTAAGCACAGTAGTATTATTGTTGAATCAGAGTCTTAATCAGCTGGATTCCTAACAAGAATTGGCTTTGATATCTAATCTCAGTATGGGCCTGCTATAGGGGTTACTACAGCAAACCTGGACTCATAACTGTCAACTGGTATGGCACTAAACCTAAACCTAAACAGGAAATCGAGGGAATGAATGAATTCTGATTCTCCCACTATCCATAGGTCAAAGAGCGACTATATATAGGCTTATAGAGACTCGGATTCAGGGGCAAAATAGGGGTGATTTCAGGAGCAAATCCCGATATCGCCGGGAGCGCTGTACTGGCGGTGAGCGGAAGGAATTTTCGGCCAATCAGAACCCTCGTACGGTTGACAGATCATGTTCTTGCTATACAAAGAAAATTGATCTCAATATGCACGTCACAAGTTCAACAAACAACCACAACACCCATCTGAGGGAGCCAAAGGGGAGCTATTTTTCCGGCTTTTGAGACCCTCTCAAGGTATTTATTTATATTATGGGAATTGTTTTTGCAGTCTTATCGTCTGGTCTTATCGTCTGTAGTCTGTGTGTAGTCTGTGTGTATATATGCTAACAGCACCGAGGCGGTGTTCCACCCAGAGACAGTACTCAAGTACAGGCTGAGATGAGCTGACGATTCTCACTTTCAACAGAGTAGGACAATATATATACACCATGAAGCAATACCGGTGAAACTGTAGCGCAGTGAACGATCTTGGTGAGGTGAGTTGTGAGCTGTGGGATGACAAGACTGAGGAGACTGGAGAGTTAGCTAGTCATACATCTGCAGTATATACTATAAAGTTAGGGTTTAGATATACATATCTACAGTTCTAATAGAATGCAAAATAGGTGTCAGTGGTCAGAATTTGCGCATTAGGATGAGGGCTAGACCACAACAGACAAGCAGAGCAAAATATGCCGAAGTAGAAGCTCACAGCAAGCGGGACAGCAGGAGCAGACAGGACCTCCTAGTCCTATGAGGGAGGGTTATTTCAGGGATGCAAAGCAAAACATAGCAAAGCAGCAGCAGCGCAGTCAGAAAAAGAAAATGGTAATTCAAGAGATGGATACATAGGTATATTCTATGAGTGTTATTGTTGTTGTCGTTGGGTTACCCATGCGTGGTTAGTAGGTTACATTGTTAGGGTTTCTGCTGCAGCACTACCAGAACAGACCAGACCAGCCCGCAGATTGTTATTTATCAACTGATATAATTACACTGTCCACAATCCTCTGTCTATGACATTAACAACTATGATAGTGACATAGATCTAATTAGCGACAGAATAGCAAAATCCTAGAAAGAATGTGGTGTAGTATAGCACACTGTGAAGCTTTCAAAAGGTCACGCGTGCTTGTACAGTACATACCCTAAAATCAACTACTTTCGCTTGCTTGCTTTAACATGCATAATCCTCTTGGTGACTTGTCCTAAGTCTTAAGTCTATGGCTATAGCTATGTCATATTGCATCAAAACTCACTAAGAAAAACTAAAAAGTGGGGGAGGGGTGATGTGGTGTGGTGTGGTGTGATATAAGTGGGGGAATCTGGACCTTTTTTCTACACTTATACCAATGAAGAAAGGAAGAATAATGGACTAGTTGCATATTTAGGGTAGTTTATTAGTTCAAACTAGACTAGAGTATAGTACATAGTCAGATTTATGTATGTACTAAGTTATAATAATGACATTCTCAATTAATATTGCCATTAGGGGTGGGGGGCCTTAAAAATCCACTGTCACATGGCCAAACTTGAAATCACCTTGTTCATTCAGTCATTTATCTATCAGTAGGGGAGGGTGGGATGCGGGAGCTTTTCTTCTTATTATTTTTATTATTATGGTAGAGCAGGGGTATTGTTCTTTCCTTTTCCTGCCTTATGCAAGGAACCTGTTCTGCACATCTCTATAGATATATGTACTTTTTTTTTCACTCATATGACCTCATTCTTCGTGAGTTTGCTTTGCTTCTGACACGTCACGCGCTCAACATATCGAAAAACCCCGCAGGATCTCCTTAGGTGTCCTACTTAGTGGGAATAGATAAGTGTAAACTTCGAGGTGGAGGGTGTTGGTTATTCGATCTTGGGTTACTTGTAGGTTGCACAGTCTAGTACCTCGCACAATACTCCATACTTTTCGAGGGTTAGTCTACTTCTATAATGTTGCGACGGATAATTCCATTATCTGGATTGGGTAATTTATATACACATATGTACATACATGCACACCATATCTATACATACGTGCGTGGACTAATTGTCGGCAGAATATACTCTCCGATATAGACAGTATATATATATGTACAGCACACCAGTGGAGCCACGTAGGCTTTATCCTAGTTATCCTCCGACAGACTACTTGGTCACCGCGTACGCCGCAACCAGCGCATCAAGGCCAACGCTCTGCGAGCTCGCGTCCGCCGGCTCGTAGGGCCCGGCCCAGTAGTCGCCGACGAAGCAGGCGTTGTTGGTGATGTTGAGGTCGTGGTTCCAGATGGACTGCGCATTGGTGGTGATGAAGTTGAGCCACTGGTCCGAGTTGCGCACCAGCTGCAGCTTGCCCAGGTTCTTGATGAACGGGCCCTTGAACTGCTCGCCGTCGCCGCTGCAGTCGTCCTGCCGGTCGCAGCCGTCCTCCAGGATGCCGCTCGCGCTGGTCAGCGTCGAGTTGGGCGTCGTCACCGCGTCCGCGATCTTGCCCGCCAGGTCCAGGTACGTGCTGTTGCCGGTCGCCTTGTACAGCTCGACGGCGGCGCCGAGAATCACGCCCTGGTTGTACGTGTAGATGGAGCCCGTCGGCTGGCAGGTGGTTTGGTTGACGCCGTCGACGATGAAGTAGTCCGACGTGACGACGCCCGAGTTCCAGAACCAGTCCCAGCCGGCGGTGGCAGCGTCGAGGTAGGTCTGCTTCTGGTCTGAGGGCACGCGGTTGGCCAGGCCGGCCGCGAGGTGGATGTATAATTCTGAATAATTGCATTAGCAGTGGAATTATCAATCTCCCAGAATGCTGGACATACCATTGGCAATCGAGGCAATGTAGTCTCTTGACTTGCGCCAGTAGACGCCGCCGCCGCAGACAGTCGGCCAGCTGGCGTGGATGTCGTTGAAGAGGCTGATGGCCATTTCCAGGTAGGAGGGGTTCTGGCAGAGGTCGTAGACGTCCAGCCAGGCATTGGCCCACCAGCCCTCGTCGTCGTAGTACTCGTCCTGGAAGTTCTGGTAGCCGAAGGTGTGGCCGGCGACAAGGAAGGTGTTGGCGTAGACGTCGAAATAGGTGCCGTTGTAGTTGGAGTCGAGCATCGAGAGACTGGCCAGCCCGGACATCATGTTGGCCGATTCCCACCAGTAGTCTTGCCACACGCCGGAGGTCCAGTTGTACCAGCGCATGAGCTGGTCGCTGCGGTCGTCAGCTAGTTGGGCTCTGGGTGATGGTGATCGGATGACCGACTTACCAAGTACAGATAGCATTGATATGGTAGGAAGATGCGTCGGCTGCCACGCGCGACGCGGCCAGAAGGAGAGACAAAGCACCGAGGATTCGCGACAGCATGATGAAGGAGGGGATTGTTGGAAATGACCTGATGAGGAATGTGGTATGGCCGGCCAGGAAGCAATACTTATACATCCTCCATGGCTAGATAACCCTACACGAGGTTTGTGAGGGGTGGAAGGCTATGCAATATTGTTTACCATGATGCTACGGATGCTACAGTTGCAATCGATTATACTCCATACTCTCTATCTGCACTAGAACACCACGCAGGAAACAGTCATGCGGGCCATGCAAGGTTAAGCGGGGGATGGTACATTACATCGGGTGTAGAAAGCAGAACCAGGCATGGCAATTGGTGGCCGGCCAGGAATGGAAATCTCGTAGCAGAAGGGGCCATTATCCCAAGTGGGATCGCAGGCACGAGTGGCATGCTGCATTCTTGGACCAAGCAAGGGGTGGAAGCATGGTCAATAGTCATCAGCCCTGAGCCCAGGGTCGGGGTAATGGTTCGCTCATGTACCCCACTGCGTGCCTGATCATGCGGCGCACCTATTAATAATTCAGGGGCATTTAAATAGATCAGTACGGCGAAAGGATATACGTAGACTAGTAAACTGCATGTAAGTTCATGTAGGTCGAGACAGTCGAGATGGATATCAGATCTTTTGCAGAATATACATGTTGACTGTATGCATATACTCGTTAATAACAACCAAGTCAGGCAATCCAGTTCATTCAATCTATTCCAGGGATAATCTTGTATACTCGTCTAAACATTAGGGTTAGCAGATCTTGGAAGCGATCGCGTGGCTGCCCACAGGGTCCGAGCACGCGCGCTGATTGGCCACTGCCCCGGCCTTAGCCGCCTAGCGCCACAACTTTATCTCAAGGGGTCTTTTTGCATCTCAAACAAGCCTCGTCGAGTTTGGGGGCGGCATCAAGGCGGAATTTAGTTCTGCGCCGGCGGAAGCCATCGGGAGAGGATGCCGGGAATGAGTATAATATGGATGTGTACATAAATGCATACAACGACTACTAGTAAGGTGAAGCCCGTTCAGTGATGGAAACCAGCAGAACAATCGTATCGTATCGAAGCGTCTGGTCTTGCAGTCCTCTATAGCAGATGTCTTGAATCGCGGAATGACTTCAGACGGCAGGGCGGAGGAATTCCGATGGGCTGATTTAGGAACAGCATACGTAACCCAGGAGAGTAGTTTTCTGGCTATCGATAGGACTGGTGGGCCGGTGTGGAGTGTGGCATAGCCAACTAGATATCTCTCTACTATGTATTTCTCCGTATCTAGCGTCTCCCCAAGTAGGGTCGACGGGTCGTGCCTGACGATCAGTGCGTGCTAAAGTAGGAGGTGAGGGGAAGAGGGGTCATTGTCACCCTAGTCACATCTCTCTACTCCATACATCTTCCACCAGATGAACTATCTACCCGATTTCCCCGATCTTTGCAACAATGGGTCCAAAAGTCACGCTTATCTCGAAGGATCCATGTATGCATGCATATGGAGTCGGCATACGACAACCGAAAAAAAACTCTATTCAGATGCTCTAATTTAAGATCAATCAGTATCGTTGGTTAAGTAGGCGAACTAACTAACTAGCTGCTCGGCCGGATAACTTGGATGGCAACAATCTTCCCTTTCTTATTTGCATTTAGCTAGTAGCTAGGTGGCTGTGTAATGTAGCTAAAGTGCGCGCGGCTGCTCTTAGCCCCAATGGCCAATCTTCGTGTTGTAACATTGCATTGCGTTGCAGATGGAGGCCAGGTTAGCTAGAATAGTATATTCTTGTTTTTCTTTTCTTTTTCTGGTTCACAAGACATCCATCCAGAAAATAGGACGTTAACGTGATTAGTTAAGTAGTTAATTAGTTACACTCTTGATACTCTGTCAAACAGGTCTGAGCCAAGGCTGGATTTAGAAAAGAAAGTGTGTGGATATTCTTCTTTTTTTTGACCCTGTTTATTCTGGTCAAGCTGTCTGGCTAGAGTCTTGCTTCTTTCTTTCTTGCATTTCCCATGCAAGTATATACTATACTGTACAGTACATGAATTATCGCGTCATAGTTGAGTCTGGTACTCGTCTCATCTGACCTGACCTAACCCTGATCCTGACCCGACCCTAACTCAACTCAACTCAACTCGTCTACGAGAGCAATCAATCAATAGACTTGACCTGACCTGACTACATACACTGTCATCCATCCATACAGTCGATATGCGATAAGATCAAGGTTTGTTTCCTGGTGGTGATAGATCGTCATTTCTTGAGGTTAGGTTTCGCTGAGCTGAGATGTTGCCGCTGCAGTGTTGTTGTGCAGATTGCTTGTCGCATATTATTCAGTTCCATGATCATCGACAGAAACTGCAAAGAGATGGAAATTTTCTTCTGAAATGCAAGGATTTTGTGGATCTACACCCATCAGCTAGCTGTTGGAAGTTTCTCTATCCATAGCGATGCGTCTATATGTATTATGCTCCTGATAGTCTAACCGGGTTGATTCACAAAAACAGGAATATATAGATTGCCTTCCATCTCCTTCCTTTCCTTCTTTGTTTCCGGTACTGACTGACTGACTGACTGACTGACTGGTTGATTGATTGAATGATTCATGGATGGGGAGGATATCACTATTACTCCCACACACTCCCTAGATACCTAACTTACATATATGCATAATTCTATAGAATTATTTACCCTTGATATAGTAGTCTTTTGGGTTATAGTTAATGCCAGTTTACTTCTACTTATCCGAATGGGGATGATAACAATAATAATGATATATACACACTAACCCAACGCCCCTTTACAAAACCTCGTTTTTGGTGACAATGCAATGCAAAGGAATATGTACGTCAGGAGAAGTTCTTCCCGGCAGTTCTCATCACGAAGAACAAGATGAAGCGAATGGACGAGACTGCCGGATACGAGTGGTGAAATTTCATGCATAGTGATACTGAATCAGTCAGCACCGCCATAAGATTGATCATTTCGTTCGCCAGTGTGATTCCCCCCGACCAACCTCTCTTGTTCGGCGGATTCGGAACGCGCGCGCGCCAGACTCGCCGCCTGCCAGGAGACAAAACTGACCAGCACCGTGCCGACGAGAATGACGGCGACTGTCAAGATGGCATTCACCGGGATAGGATTCCGACCAAACACCTTAAAGGTCAGCGCGTCGAGGCCCGTCTGCGCGAAATTGCTGATTCCCGCAAGACAAATGATAAGCCCGTACACCTTGCCAAAAGTCTGAAAACCAAACACTTTCGCGGCGTAGTCTGACACGGCCGTGTAGTAGAACGGGCGGTACAGGACGAACAGCGCAATGTTGGCGTACCCGGCACTCATGCTCCCTGGGATGCAACCCAAAACGCCAATAATGGCAGATACCGTGACCAAAATGAAGAGCACCATCGGGGTCGTGGCATTGTCGAGAACAGTGCCGATGAATGGAATCGCGATCAGCCCTCCCACCGGGAGCGCGATGTCAAAAACCTCGTTCAGTCGTCGAGCCAGCTCGGGTGAAAGCAAGTAGTCATACTGCGATCGAATCGTCGCCACGAAATAATTAATCCGCAACATCTGGATAACAGTGAACAGCGTGATGAGGATGAACCATGGAGACCGGATCTGGTCAAAGGCAGAGACACCGTGCATCACGCCCCAGACACCACCAGCTGTATGCTTCTCGTTTGGCTTGATAGGAGAGCCTTCCTGGTTTTGGACAGATTTGCCGCGCCGGCGGCTCGCGAATTCAGGGTCATTGAGATCAAAGATGAGGTCGTCAATCTTGCGGCTGCTATTGCCGTCGAGAAGGTCCTGGATGCTGCTGATAACGTTCTGCCGTCGCATCCGGCGATCCTGGCGCTGCCGCTCACCTTCATCGCGGTCGGGAATGCTCTCGTCGACGCAGTCATTGGCCTCGTCTGCTATATTCTGCTCCGCTTGGATCATCAGTTCGCCCGCAGTCTTGTACGATGCACCTGGCATGAGAAATATCTCGACGAGCAAGATAAAAGCCGGTACGGTCAGGTAGACGAGAAAAAACTTTTGGATTGTAAACGATCCGTTAGTCTCCTCGTTGATAAGACGAAAGATAAGGAAAAGGGCGCTGGAAGCGTCAAATGCACCGGTAAGAAGCGAGAGAATCAGCCCTGAGTGCGTCGGGAAGGTGTTTGAAAGGTGGAACGATGATATGAACACGAAAGGACCACCAAGCGCGAGGAATAGATATCCCGGGATGTACCCGTCGAAGGGCAAATGCGCTGCGAATGCAAGCAAGAGAGCCCCAATGGCAATAAAGATGCTTCCAAGGATTCCGCTCACTCTGGGACCATACGTGTCGAGCATTGTTCCGACAGGGAGCGCGCAGATATTCGTAGCGACTGCCGCTATCGTGAACATGAGATTTAGACTAGCCACGGTTAGTAGGAAATAGCTAAGATGTGAGGTGATTCTTACCGTGTCTCTTGTCCGTAGCAAAGACCTCCGTGGCCAAGCTCCTCCTTGGAACATTCATCCCGGTACACACCTTCCCGGATGAAGACCGGCTTGATGGCTGCAAATCCAAACACGGGGCCAGCAGCAAAGAGGCAATAGATGACGGCAACAAACACCTGGGCTAGACCAACAATTAGATACAGGTTTAAATAGCCTTAAAAGCAGAACGTCTAACAGAATGAACTGTGACGGTGACAACCTACCAATTCTCTTCCCCTTGCTGACTTCGTATGCCCCTCTTGTCTCTGCGAGATTCCAGTTTGGATCCTTGAATACAAACTCCGTCAAGGCCTCTTCCCCTTCTCTCTCCGGTGCTGGGTGATCTGATCCATTGGCATCACCATGGTCCGATCGGAGGAGCGATCTCCGCTCCTCGTCCGGCTCTGCAGCCGAACTATGGGCCCATCCTCGGCCCGCATATGGATTAAAGCTCAGCTTGTGACGGACTGTGCGGTGGTGGGAGCTTGATGGAAACGATGACGACAGAAAGGCTGCTTCTGTCGATTCGCGTATATTTCGCGATTCCTCATCGTCCGACGCCGCGGATGCTGTGCTCCGCTGCCGGATGAAGGGTGGGGGGTGCTGCTCCCACGATTCCAAGTAGGAGACGCGATTGAGAGACATTGTACAAGCTGCTAACTTGGGTCATCGAGAAAGCAGCAGCTTCAGTTCCTGCAGGTATCAGAGAGGCACGTACAGGGTTTGTTTGGCTGTCCTTCTCGTTCCAGAAGCAGATATCGACGAATAGCGCTCAAAAGAAGAAAGACTAATGTCAAAGCATCTCGTGAAGCACAGCCATATACAGTTGACAGCAGAAAATCCACTGCAGACGAATGGATGTACTACAGTCCAATGAGACTGCCACGATCACAACGTGATTGGCTAGAACACACCCTCAGACGCACAGTGACATCGCTCGATAGAAATCATGTATGTCTGTCTGCAGTTCGTCAAGCCAATCGAGGAAAGAGAAAAAAGCAACGAGACGTTAATCCCATCAAGCCTTGTGCTGGTGACGGAGCTGGCAGTCTCGACCCGAATGGAGTGGACGTCGTCGAGGGAGATAACCGCGATGGCTGGAAATGCGGAGAGGATCCACCAATCACGGCTTGGCAGATGTGGGCCTGGGCCGACCCGTGACCGGCAGCTACACTTATCGGCCAATCATGCGCGTTTCTATTTCGGGTGATTAGATAGATAAGAGATCAGCTTGTACGGAGTATACAGGCAGAGCTTTATCAGTGTGATTTGATGGTATAAGACTTATTATGAAGGGTTTTGCTCAATGGTTGAATTTAGTAGTGGCCAGGAAAGAGACTGGTTAGTCTATCGATTTAATAACGTGCCCGGTCACGTGCTCGATACATGAAGTATTCGACTCGTAAATATATATCGGATGGAGAGCATGAGGGCTTATTCTATACCAACGCAATTCTCTATTTACAGACCATCGACCCGTTGAGTTAATTAATTCAATTTGACCACGTCAGAGCGAAATCAGCATGAAATAAAAACAAATAACCAATCACGTAAAACCAGCCAGGCCAGAATTGAAGACATGTGGGATGAACACAAAACAGTGGGAAAATGCTCCAAACGACGAACATCGTCCGTGTCATGGAACAGACTTCAAATCAGGTCATGAAATGTCGGAACCTTTCGTCTAATATAGACTAAGTCACAGACGAGTTGAACGGGTATCCAGATTCAAATATATCTAGAGGAAAGCAACGCAATACGATACACTGGTTCATAATTCTTCGTTCAGTCATATAATGGGACTCTTTTCCCAGAAACACGAGGTGGACTGTCCCATCCCGGAGACCAAGGACTGCCAGGACCTGCGTTACTGGAGGACCGGGGACGATCGGAGCTACTGCCGCTGCCACTTCGATACCCAGGGCTGCTGCTCCAACTGTAGCTGCCTCGCCGGACATCTGTCGGTGACGATTCTTCGGAGCTGATGTGGAACCGGTGAGCATGGCTTTTGCTCTTGGAAGTATACTGGTGATCGTGACTCCGGCTGGAACGACCCGTATCATCGAATGTGTATTCTTCGAATTCGACTCCTTGGTGTCTCGAGGAGGACTTGGGCAAGAAGAAGTCATCGGATCTGTTCTTGGAAGATGTGTTACGACGAGGTCTGGGTGAGTCATGTTCTCTTTTGGTGCCGTTGGACAAGTCTCGATCTCGGCAGCTGTTCGAGCGGTGCCTAGACCGCGCATCATGCGAATGGCGCCGAGGCTTGGGGTCTCGCGTCGGAGACAGATGCCGATGGCGTCCATGCCGCCGGTCGTCAATGGAACCGCGCCGCCGCGACAACACGGGATTTTCCTCTTCCTCGTTGTCCGAAGAGTCAGGTGATGAAGATCCGAAACTGAATCTCGGGGGACGGTGACGCGACGACGATTTCGCCCGACGCTCGCGACTCCCCATCCGCATGGTTTTCGATCGTGATGGCGGAGGAGGAAACAGAGGTGACCGTCGCGGCGATGATGCCCGCGAGTCACCAGGTCGCCTTCCTCCAGCACAATTATCGAATTTCGCATCAAATCCGGACGACCATGGTGCTCTGCCTTCTGCACTCCTGTGTCGTCGATATGCACGGATATCCTCGTGCAACTCGGCTCTGGATCGCGGATGCAAACCATACCGGTGGTTTAAACCATCCTGAAAGAAATAATCGGCTTCTGGAGACCGCATATACTGTGCGTCGGTGGCCGCTGTGTAGTAGCGGACAAAGTCTCTGGGAGAATGGTGGCGATTGTGCCAGACTTGATAGTCTTTCTCGAGACGCCGGCTGACCTTTTCATGCCATTTTACCATTTCCTCGTCTGGCGCCGCAGGGAAGGCTTCCCGAGGGATGACTTTGGGAAACGTGCCGCCATTAGGGTTGGGCACGTCCCATCTACTGACCGCGTTTTGCAGGTATCGAGCATGTTCGTCAGGACACAGCAAGAGCTGGATGGTTTGCCATCGCACGAAGCCCACAGGCAGCAATGCGGGGATCGACGGCGCTTCGAAGGGGTTGGTGGTCGGCTGGAGCGTGTGGAAGCAGCCCAGCGCCTGGTAGATGAAGGATAATGCGGGACCACTGGTTCCGAGAAATAGAGTGTCGTAGTTACCGCCTATCTCACGGTAGAAGGCAGCGAGCTTGTCTGGGGTCAGATCCGTGGTGCCGGAGGATGGTTCGAGCGTGGCCTACATTGGTAGACTTTGGATCAGAACCCGCATATCGATGCTCAACCTGCCAGTCGACTTACTATCACCTGGGCGAGTCCCAAACAGAGCTGTTCCAGCAACGGAGCAGCACTCTTGTTGGGATTGATGAGCGTGCCCCAGTAATTCCCGCCCTGGTAATGGGGGGACTCCATCGTGTCCATGCCGGATGACGTGAGTCAATGAGTCGAATCCCGCGGTATAAGTATCCAGAAGCATGCAGGTTCCTCGCTGTATAGAGTTGCGATGAAATGCAGGCAACCGTGACAGTGGCTGTGCTAAGTTAGATCGAGCTCATCTAGGTAGCATCGAAGTACACCTGTCTCCTTATATTTAGCACTCGACAAGGCAAATTATCGAAAACAATCTAGACGCTGAAGACAGGCACCAGATGTTGGTGCTGCGGAAAAGAGAGGTGGGGGAATAAGCACGCCATGACAGCCTGCGAGATAGATATACTAGCATCGAGACAGTCGCACAGCAGGGACAGCCAAAGACAGGCAGAGAGACAGAATGTGTTGGCGCGCGCAAAGGGCCAGCAGCTGGTTTGCCAGTCAGATGTGGCGGTCCGACATGCACCAGGGTCCTGTTGGCACCTCTGCCAGCTGCATCTCGGGCCGCTGACAGGAAAACACGTGGGGGCGGCAGGTCGCTCCCTGACGAGGAGAGGCAGGAGGACAGGTGGACAATCAACTATTGTCCTGTGAACACAATCATGATATTCAAAGAAATACAACCAACAATCCACATCAAGCGTGCTCAATCAGGATGATGCTAGGAGGTGTCACAGATGTTACGCAATCAGGCAAGTGGGAAAAGATCCGATGCCCCGCATCACCCAGATCTCGCTGATCACGTTGATCCGGACGTGCGTGTGAGCTCCTTTAAGGCTTGTCATATGCTCAGGCAAGACATAGCTTGCTAGATTTTTCATGATCTTTTCCCAGCTACATATAAACTAATGATGATCTCACTGGATGCAAATCACATAGAAATTGGAGGGCTGTTGATACGTTTTTGTCTCAGACACTGGGAAAACAGGAAATGACAGCCATTTGGATCAGGTGTCTGGTATCTCATCCATCCATATCGTTCAGGGTACGCAGTTCTTCATTATCACACCTTTCCCACAGGTCTCATTGATACACATTCCAGAACAAATAAAGAACAGGAAACTCAATCAATCAGTCCACTTCCAACAGGGTGTATTTCTCGCCAGCCTTCTCCAACGCGCTCTCTACCGCAGCCATGTACCCCAACACCTTCTCCTCTTCCCATCGCCTGCCAACAATCTGCACAGCGGTGGGTAACCCGGCCATCTTCTCGGCGTCATAATGCATCCAGGCGCCCCGGGCGATGGCGTTGTTGCATCCCAGCTCCTTCAGAGCAAGTTTATACCCTCCCTTTTTCTTGACGGCGAGGGAGTCCTTGGCAGGGTCGACGTGTCCGACAGGCAAAATACCGGCCGAATAGTCGAGCAGGTTCCAGAGGAAGGTGTACCCACAGGCAGAGACGGCATCGCGCATGGCCCCGTGGGGAAGAGCAGGAGTCGCATTGGCGGGACAGAGGATGAAATCATACTGTTGCGGCTCCGCGTTCCACCAGGCGTGCCAGGTTGCCCGGAAGCTTTCTCGCCGGGCCACCAGCTTCCACAGCTCTGCAGACGATTTGGGGCCGAAGTGCCGGATAAGTGTGGCCCATTTCTCGTCGCGTTTGATGTATCGCACATAAAGGTAGTACAGATAGCGGAGCACACGAGGCAAGTTGGCAACTCTCGTAAGCTGAGCGGCGCCTGGATCGCTGGGCTCAAAGGAGAAGAAGTGAGAATTAAACGTATAGCATCCGTCAGAGTTCAGGAGCTGAGCAGCAAGGTCGAGACCTGTGAAAGGATCCGCTGTGGGAGGAGGGGTGACTTCGACGACGGTGTGACCGGCTGCTCTGAGAGCGGCCACGGTCGTGTCGATGGCGCGAGCGATGGCTGGTGTCGGTGGAACAACTCCTGCGATTTTCCTTCGTTAGATCTGGATACTAGATTGTTGGTCATACACTCATACCATCCGACTTTAGCAGACCAACTCTCAACTGCTTCTGGCTTGCCTCCTTCTCCTGATCAGCTCTCCACGGGATGGGATGCACTGTATAGTCATACTTCCACGGCTGAAGGCCAATTATGGAACGGGTAAAGTAGGTGAGGTCGTTCAAAGTGCGGGCCATGGGACTGAACACACTCGGAACTCCCTCCTGTCCCGCCATACTGGTGTTGATTCCAGTCTTGGGCCAGCGTCCAGTGCTACAGCGGAGGGAGTAGATCCCGCTCCAGGCTGCAGGAACACGAACGGAGCCAGCGACGTCAGAACCAATACCGATGCGGCCTCCCAACGCCAGCAGGGCGCCTTCTCCACCGGTTGATCCACCTGGAGAAAATTCGGGGACGTGAGGGTTCCGGCATGTTCCCCAGATACCATTGGCGGACTCGAAGGAGAGGAGGGTAACTGGCAATGCGGTCTTCACATAAGGTACCGCTCCTGCAGCAGTTATCAGAAATCGTCTACAAATTGACACAAGACGATAGCCTTCTCAGGCGAAGGGATCTTCGTATGCATACCAGCGTCTTTCAACAACTTCACAACAGCGCCATCTTCTTGGTAGGGCTTCCCTGCGAGTTTGGAGTACCCCAGTGTAATATCAAACCCCTTCACCTGGAGTGAGTCCTTCAGAGAAACCGGGATACCAGCGAGAGGACCCTTCAAGTTGACCTCCGACGTCGCCCACTCCTCCGCCTCGGGCAGGAGGAGCTCTGTAACACAATTGGTCTATCCCCTGTGTGCCTTGACGGCCACCTTGCCATAGGTGCGGAGCACCTCGATGGGGGAGAGAACACCTTTCTGGACGTCTTGCACGAGCTCCTCGATAGGTTTGTTGATTATTTCCTTGTTCGCTGCTGTGAAGGGAGCATGGTATTCAGGGTCGAGTGCCGCAAAGCGCGCGTCGCGCTCCCGTCTTTTGGCATCCCTATAGTAGGTTACATTTTAGCCTTCTGAAGTGAACAATGCAATCTATAGTTCAGGCCAAGAACCGGAGAACGTATATTCATACCGAATTCGAAGGTACTGAAAATAGTCGAATGGAGGAAACATCTTGACTTGCTGAGGAATAAATGGGGTCAGTTTAGAGAGCAGCCGGACGGAGAGGAATACCACAAGAGCGTGGGAGGCTACTTATGAAGGGAGCATTCTTGCGGGGAAGCGTGGCTGCGGAGACAAGATAACGGATAGCCGCTGATAAGCGGTCGGAGCCAGACCGATTGGATGCTCCTTCGCAACTCTTCTTAGCCACGGAGATTTACTTGGATTACTATTGCGCGAGATGAATTAAAAATGGATTTCTCAAATTCCCTTTTTTTTCTGTATAAATTTTTGCTATATTATAGGTGATATATACCTGGGAGCTGATGCTGTCTGTATAGCCGGTGGACACGTGAACGCCAACAAGGTTCCTGATAGTTAGCACGCTTGTCCTGTTTCAGCAGGTCCATCCGGACTCGATGAGCTCCACAGGGCGAAATTCATGGACAGCTCTCAAGCATGCTGAGGTGAATAAATTCTGTGATGGATTGTCTGGTGTTAAGATAATCTAGAACAAAAACAGGCTTAAGGTAATGAAACTGACAGATTATCATCCCTCAGTTCTAGTTCATCTTTCCAATATGGCCAACAATTATACCATAAAATCAGATCAGGAAACTGCAACATCGATTCTGGCCGCATGACCAACAGCAATGAATGAGACTTATGCAATATCACAATATCAGCAATAATATTATTGATTATACTAGCTAATTGTCTTGGGTCGTAATTGACGGGAAACATATATATGTGTTGCTTATAAGCCATGTACTGCTTGCCAAAATAGTTGTTCCTTGTCTTGTTGAGCTATTACTCCAGAGCAAAAAAAAAAGAAGGCATCTATATTTCATACACATGCCCCCTATTGTCCTGGATCTGCATATGGCATGATAGTTACTCCGCAATATGGTTCCGCAAATAAGCACACCTTGATCCATGGATAAGAACAACATCAGGTGAGGTTGCCACGCCACAGGGCACAACCTAGTACCTGCTCTTTTGTGTTGCAGCTGTCGTAAGGAAATCTAATCACCTGGGTTGCTGGATTTAATAGCTTAGGAGCACTGTAGCCGTTATATATATTCCTCAAGAAACATAGAAGAGTACTGAGCTATCCAACCTCAGCTGAGAACCCTGCACCAAGAATTTATAAAAGTAAATGCAACGTATGAAATACGCCTTACAATCTTATTGGCTTTCCTCATGCTTGTATTTTTCCAACGTTGAGACCGTGACTCGATGCGATGGATGCGATGAACTCGGCTTGGCGTTCTGGAAGCTAGCTCGGTTCCGCCAAGACGCTTAGTCATCACATCGCCACCCGCAATCCGATCTGCACTTCAGCTGCGAAAGCAATTATCTCCACATCTTGATCCTTGACACAAACAACATCACTATACTGCTTCCTGTTGCTGCAATTCAGTCGTGGATGCAGCAGTATCCACACTTGATATAATCTCCGCAGTTGATACAATTTTCACGAACACAGACAAGGCACTACAATCATGGCGAACTACCTCGCCTCCATCTTCGGCACCGAGCAGGATAAGGTCAACTGCTCCTTCTACTACAAGATCGGCGCCTGTCGCCACGGGGACCGATGCTCGCGCAAGCATGTCAAGCCGTCGTACTCGCAGACGATCCTCATGCCCAATCTCTACCAGAACCCGGCGTTCGACCCCAAGAACAAGATGAACCCGAGCCAGATCCAGAACCACTTTGATGCCTTCTACGAGGACATCTGGTGTGAGATGTGCAAGTACGGCGAGGTCGAGGAGGTAGTGGTGTGTGACAACAACAATGATCGTAAGTTTTCTCTTTTCTTCTGGTTGTCTTCGTTGAGGGAATCGAATCGCCACTAACTTCTTGTTTTTTGTTCTCACAGATCTGATTGGCAATGTCTACGTACGCTTCAAGTATGAAGAAGACGCCCAAAAAGCCTGCGACGAGCTGAACTCTCGCTGGTACGCCGCTCGGCCGGTGTATTGCGAGCTATCGCCGGTGACAGATTTCCGCGAAGCGTGTTGTCGCCTGAATAGTGGCGAGGGGTGTGTGCGCGGCGGGTTCTGTAACTTCATCCATCGCAAGGAACCCAGTCCGGAGCTGCAGCGAGAACTGGAGTTGTCGACAAAGAAATGGCTCAAGCTGCGCGGTCGAGATGAGCGCAGCGTGAGCCGGAGTCCAAGCCCTGAGCCGACGAGGAGGAGATACTAGATGCTGTCGGCTGGCGAGAGTTGAGCATTAATGACAGATGGTATTATAATGCGTTACTCGAATCTGCATGAAAAGATTGGACTCCGAACTAGACCAGCTTTTTTATCGACATTTGGGGGATCTTTTCGTCTGCAAAAGTCGCTTTGAAAGCACGGCGTTAGGTTGTGGTTCTTTTAATTCTATATTGGTATGGTTTTGTTTTTACTGATATAATACCTCTGTACAGTATTTAGGTCTCATTGAATGGTGCGAAAAGTCATTGAATGGCATACCCTTGCTACTGATCCGATTGCTCGTTTGTACGGAGTCACCAGCAGTAGAAGGAACGAAGGATAATAAAACATTTCACATTGACGCAGTATGTACGGTATGTACCGGGTATCTAAGAGGTACCGTACCAAATCCAAATTATGTCCAAAAGGAAAAAAAAGTCACCGCAACGCCAGAAGTTGTTTTTCTGGGAGGGAGAGGGGGGTTAGCCATCTCCCTCCACGGAACAACAAACAGAACCAAACAGAACTATTGCTGTTGCACCCCACCATCCCAGATATATAGAAGGAAACCAAGACGAATGACCAAAACAAAAGTGAGAAGAAGAAATGACAAACGCCCTTATCAGTGGATAAGCAAAATGAACAAATAATCAAACATATTGAGTCAGTCCAGTCAGATGAGGTCGTGCATGTTACTTTCGTTCGTTGTCCGTTCAAAGGAGGGGGCCATGGGCGCGTAACTCGAAGTCCGTCGAAGCCAGCTGCGTATGCGTATTCTGAATCATTGTCTTGTCATATCGGCGGTCGTGTGGATGATGACGATGATGATGATGATGAATATTAATTACCCCGAAACCAATTGTTCTTGTTGAGCCACCAGATCACGATCGCCACGCCGCCAGCGACGAGGAGAACAACGAGTGCGATCAGGCAGCCGATTATTCGGGTGCGTTTCTTCTTCCTTCGTTGCCGTTCGAGCCAGGACTCGCTTTTCCGCCCCAAATCACCCACTGTCAGCCGGATATCATGCAGTTGAGAAGGTATACACTTACGCAATGATCTTCTCTCTATCTGGTGACCGAGCCTGCTCTTCATCCATATGAACGGCCAGCGAAAATCGTCGCCAGAACGCGGGATCTCTCACCCCCGCCATGATTGGTGCTTGCTATGCTATATCGTCTCGTATACGTTCATTCACTCGTCCGAGGCGCGCAACGCGAATGAAGAAGAAGTAGACAAAGAAAAGAAGGTACTAGCACACAGGGAGGTCACTCGTGTTTTGGTCTTCTATCTGGCTGGCTGGTGTGGATGCTTGTTGTGATGTGTCGTGTTGTATTCGCCAGCAACAGATCGTGAATAGGACGCGTCGCGATTGAGAATGGTTGGTCGCTGTCTCCCTTAGAAGATGCGTTCGTTGACTTTTGTTTGTTTATCTAGATTGTGTATGTATATCGGGTTTCGAAATCGTCTTGGCCGGCCACAGAATTCGAAAATCGATATATCTGATATCCTTCGATCCACGAGAGAAGGGTAACGCGTCAAAGCAGGATATAGGTCGTAGCTAAATGAGTGACTGACTGAACGTACAGTACGTACACCGTACTCCGCACAATGAATGAACGAGTGGGCTGGTGGTCGAGCGGGCGACTTGGAGTGGTGGTGGTGCCCTAAGGGGAAAAGAGAGAATGGAATGTACGGGACGGGGTAAGCCACAAAGAATGAACGAGCGAACGATATTCGATACAACAAAAAAAGAGCGGAATGGCGTGTGGCTCGATAAGAGCGCAAAAAGGAAAAGAATGAGGAATTGATTCAAAACAAAACGGGAGAGAGGCGGAGAGCTGGAAGTCTTTTAATACAGATAACAGCACAGGCAGGAATAATAAGCGCCTAATAATATCTAGTGAGCGGTCTAGAAGGATCTTCTCCTGCACCCGAAGCCTGAAGGCCCCCGTGGTGGAACCAGCCAACGGCCCCGAGTACTCCGTAAATCAGAGGAGTCTGTATCCGGCATGGTGTAACGTCCCACCTCTGTTTGAAGTCTCAATAGTCCCCTTTTGTGCCTTTCGATTGGGAGGGGTGCCAACCGAGCTGGGTAAACGGGCGACCTCAGATCATCTCCATCAGAGTCCCGTAGTGGTTAGGTATGGAGGAGTCCGTACGGAGCATGCTCCATTACCCAGGGGTAGGTGCCCCGTACGGAGTTCGAGTGGGAACCAAAAAAAAAAGGGTCTACAGTCAACGTACGGAGTGACTCCCTACAGGGCACGTTGCACGTCCAATTGAACCATCCGCCTCAATCATGGACGAGGGTTCGATCTGGATAGGCATATGCCTCACCGAAGTAGATCGATTCTGTCCATGTGGTTCAGCGAATCATCGTGCTTACTTGGCTGCTAAAAGGATTTTAGTGAACGGTGCTGGAGGACACTAGGGGCGCCACGAAACCTCGACAAATTCCTCACAAGGCTCTGGACTCCACACAACAGGCACAACTTTGGGTGAAGAAGAAAGGACCAAAAAAGGATAAATAAAAAAAAGGTTTCGCTGTTCAGGGGTGGGCGGCAAGATTCGTTCAATGATTCATTGTTATGATCGTTGCAGTAGTACGGAGTACCAGGGTTCATACTGCTGTCCATGGGTGATCCCTAGCAGGTGACAGTGACACCTGAGAGATGTGCCTCGAGGCAGAGTACATTACGTGAACCTCGATGCCCTGATTATTAACTTCAATTGGCCGTCTGATGATGCAAGGGGTTGTGTGCCATCGAAGAGCACGATGGAGGGGCATGCCAAATACAGCTGTCATGTGACTGGCATCTTATCATCCATGCCTGCTCCAGAATTCGAGTGGTATAGTACTGAAGAAGATGACGCCAATCGGCGTCTTGGGCGGTTTCAAGCGTTTATGCGTATCGAGTACGGAGTACTCCGCAGCCACTCGTATAATCTTGGTATTTGTGATGCAAGGCACTGTACAGTACGGCGTACATACTCCAGAGTAGACATAATAATAGTAGCACTCATCTGCATGCTTTGTATCCACTATAAATAACATCTGCAATTAGGTTTAAGCTTGTCCCAAGTCATATTTATTGGAATAGAACACATGGCGGAGACGCTTCTCGATGACGTATGTACTACACATGGTATATTCTGCAATTATTGCAGATTTTGCTGGTATCATTCTGCCGCCAACTCGCGATTGGATATGTATCTGGCCAGAGATACAGAGCGGTCAGACATGGTTGCGATTGTTCGAATATAACCTCTACAAGGCTACTGGCCCAGTAAAAGAACAGAAAGTGAATACATAATAGAGATGATCAAGGTGTCTACGAATAAATTACTCCGTAATCTTGATTGATATTAAGAAAGGGACTGAGGTCATAAGTAAACAGTGTTAACTGCTGCGGATCATGCTGATTGGCTGAGGCGGTGACGGCCCTCCTGACATCGATCAGCATCACGAGACACTCCTCGTGTTTCCGTCTCCCTCCTGCACTGCATCCATTTATCATCTGTTTTGTCCGAGTCTGTTTTTCGATGAGAAAAGATGGTTCCATTCTGAACTGTGGAAAAAGGAAAGAGAAAGAAAGAAGGGAGCACTTGGGAATAATAAGTTCCCATCAGCCGCACCTCACCGACAGGCATCAACCCCACCGCTACTTCATTTCAGCACAGGAGGCTGAAAGGCTTCAAGTCGAAGCAAATAGCAAAAATTCCCAAAACAAGGAATCTAAAGTCAACCTGGGAGAAATCATCAGCTCCGCTCTGGTCCTCACTGTCGCTGGGCTGTTTGTGCCGGAGATAACGAACGCACCCGAACCGTCCGCCGGGTTCCGCCACCTTCGAGGGATCTCTGCCCAATATCATCACGATCACTGCCGGCTGCCATCCACCCATATCCTAGCCCCCTTACCCCCGATCCTTGAAGACGATTGAGATCCAGGTAAATAGATTTCCGTTTGTGAAAAGTTCTGCTGCCGACCCTCGGCCTTTCGCCTCCCCCAACCGTGGAATTCCCCCGCCGTTCTGTCAATGACGTGCCGTCGTCGAAGCGACGGAGATTCGCCTCGTCTCAGACGATAGGGGCCCTGTCATTGTCGTCGTCGTCGATGCAATCTTCCCGCCCGCCGCTCGTGTCCTCCGCATCAACGCCACTGTACCCTCAACCGTTCATGTCTTCCCTCTCGAGATCAGCATCGTCTCCATCCAGACCTTCTGCATCTTCCCGGCCCGCTGGTTTGGGTCGTAGTCTCTCGGCAAATCTGGAAAACATCAGGTCGGAGGTGATATCAGATAGCGATGGCAACGGAGAAACGCAGGGCAGGCGGGCTAGTCTCCTTGCCGTGGACCGCAAGAGACGGTTGACCGCCACCGGGCAGGATGATCCTGCTGCACCACGGAGACAGCCGATCCTGACGGGAGGGGATCCTGGGTCGAGCCGTAGAGCAGACCTCCAGAGGCCCCTTCCCACGTTGCCATCCAGTGGCGATGTTCCTGGTTCCTCTCGCGCGACTGCCATCGATCTTTCATCCTCTCCTCCCCCTCCTCCTCCGCCGGATTCTCCGTCTCGTCAGCACAGCGAGAGTACTCCGACGCGGCAACGGCTGCGAGACGATATCATGGAGTACATCTTACCTCGCTGGCAGCCCGATTCTGAGGTGACCCATTGTCCGATCTGTGGTACGCAGTTCAACTTCTGGTATAGGAAGCATCACTGCCGCAAATGTGGCCGTGTGGTGTGCGCCTCTTGCTCCCCACACCGCATTACGATCCCTCGACAGTTCATTGTCCGGCCGCCAGATCAAAATCGTCGGAGGTCAACAGGGGCGGAGAGTTCGGCCCAGGTGGTGGACCTCACCTGGGACGATTCTCCGCAATCGTCTTCCAACCCGGCGCTCGGCGGCGGAGAGGAAGTACGACTGTGTAACCCATGTGTCCCGGATCCTAATCCAGATCCGCCGATCGGATATGGCGCCATCCGATCTGGCCTAGACCGTCTTTCCGATTCCAACTGGGGAGCAACACTCCCCGCCCTGCCATCGAGCCATCCTCGACACCGGGCCCATCATTCTCTCTCCCGGGCATCCCAGTTCTACGGACAACGTCCGGATATGGAGGCTGAGGTACGAAGATACCGACGCCGCACTTATTTGGTTTGTTTCGGACTCTATCGTGAATGGACAGAAAGGTAGACTGACCAAGCATTTTATAGTCTGACGACCGTCGTGGTGAGAGTCGGACGGGGAATTCAGGGGAGCAGTTTTCTCCTTCACGCTACGGATTGCCCTACGATTACCAACAATCGCCGCCGGCGTATTCTACATCTCGAGGCCAAGCAGTAAGTGACAAGAAGATGGGTTTCAGATCTGATGTTGTATTAACATTATGCTTAGTTCTCGACCCATCAGTCCGGCCCTCCTGGAACACACTTCCGGGATGGAATTTCCGGCTCCTCGAGCACACGACCCAACCGGGGGCGATCTTCATGGATCCGGAGCGACCTCGACATGCCTTTCGCTCCCAGCGGCCCCCCATTGACGAGCGGGATCTCTGTCCTATCTGCAGCCAGCCCCTGCCGCCGCGCGGCAGTGATGGCAACGAGGAAGCGCGTGAAGCGCACATCCGCGACTGCATCGAGAATTCCTCTCGAGGAGCGCGCTCCCCGCCTCCAAGAGGGAGCCCATCCTCGCATGCGCCCCATCCGATGCGGATGCTGTCATTTACGGCCACGGAGAAGGACTGCGTCAACGAAGACGGCAGCGCGCAGGAGTGCACGATCTGCATGGAAGAATACGAGGTGGGAGAGTCTCTGGCACGGCTGGAATGCCTGTGCAAGTTCCACAAGTCGTGCATTGTCGAGTGGTTCGAGCGCAAGAAGGAGTGCCCTGTTCATAAGGTGCTTTAGCGGTCATTGTGTGGAGTCCGTGTCGTATTAGAGTGTTCCCTCCTTTCTGCTCGCAATTTTTGATACCCTGGAGAGTTTGTTGGTGGTCCTGAAGCATATTTCTGGTCTATTGTCCCTATTCTTCTGTTTCTCTGATACATATTGGTTTCGGCGTCGCACCGCTTCGTTGAACACTGTTGGCTATGCTATTGCCCTCTTTGCTGTCTGTGGACACGGCGTTGGAGAGGTTCGATCTTTTCCTGGGAAATTGGACTGCGATCTCATTTTCATTGCTGCCGGACTCTCCCTACACAGATATCTTTCGATTTTCCTGCTGATTGTGGATCTGATATCCCAATGCTTCATAGAATGGCATCTCGTTTCATCCCGTGACTGGTGATGACTAAGCAGGACTCCCTCGCACCGGCTGGGCCAATCAGTGCGTTCCCTGCACGCCTGCTGGGCCAGCTCTGGCAGCATGAGTTAGATCGCCGCGCGGAATGAGTCAAGAAGCAGGTCATTAACTCAACTAAGGCATAGCTGCCACTTGTCTGTATCAAGCCCGATGATAAAAAAGGAAACCGGTACGTCGCTGCCTACCGTGCTGGCCTGGGCGTGGCGGTCGCTATTTGTAGTCTCGATGGACGCCGAATCACGTCTGGTCACGGCAGATTGTCCACCCAATTCTCTGGAGTAATAGTAATCAATAAGGTTGGCTTTCATCATCATTATTGTCCGGTACTGTATGTACACAGCCCTGCTGCAGGCAGCTAGCTACGTACGGTAGATGGTGCAGCTACCCTCGTCTTGTCTTTGCCCGGCGACGGGGTTCCCTTTTATTTTAACAGTCTGAGTTTTTTTTTCTCTTCCCCACGGAGATCTCGGAGACCGATAATAATTTATTTCTTTTGCTTTCCTGCCCCAATCTTGCCCATTTTCCCATCTTGTGTTGCCGTCTGTGTCGCCGTGTCTGCCGGCAGCCAGCTGCTCCGCCAGTCGACCCAATCCAGACGTTTGCCTCGTGTCGGGCGACGCGCTCATCGGCTGCCGACTGGCCGCTCGCCGACCTCGACTGCTCCATGACAGCGTCGTAACACCCGTCGACACCGATCCTGCCTGCGTGCTAGGAGGCGCCTAGAAGCTTGGTGGGATGAGACCGCGTCTCTGTTGGCTTACTGTCCTCTAATTGCGCTGTGTTGCTCTCGTTTGGGTCTTTCCCAGGTATTGTCTCTCACCCCGCTTCTCTCCTCCTCTCTCTTCCAGCCACACCGTTCACGCGTACGATGGAACCTCTCCAACTGACTCGCGGTCGGTCCCTTCGATCGATGCGGCTGCAGGCCGTTGCGCTGCTGCTGTTGTCTCTGCCATTCGCCTCATGGTAATTGGTTGTGAGACGGTGGCCCATGGATATCGATCCCCGTCTGCGCCCCACAAACGACAGCATCAACAAGAGCAACAATACCGATAACAGCATCCGAGACGCCCGTCATCATAGTCGCCTGCCGTACAACCAGCTTCCGGCGTCATCAGGCGCTGCCGCCGGCTCAGGCGCGAACGACGCGACCGGCGCTTATGCGGACCTCTCCCCGCAGTCCTCCGCCGACCCGCTGCACGACTCGACGCCTTCCTCGACCGGCAATAATAGCTCCTACTATGGAGGTTCGTCCCGCGCGGCGTCACAATCTTTCTACAACAACAAAAATGAGGGTTCTGTAGCTGCTTCAGGCGCCGCCCCCGGCGACACGACCGACCCCAATGACCCTTTAGCCGACCTCAAACGGCCTCGAGCCTGCGAAGCATGCCGCCAGCTCAAAGTGCGATGTGAACCGGACAATGATCATCCTACGGGTTCGTGCAAGCGCTGTGCCAAGGCTGGAAGGACGTGTATCGTAACGGCGCCGACGCGCAAGCGTCAGAAAAAGACCGACAGTCGCGTAGCGGAGCTGGAGAAGAAGATCGATGCGCTCACGGCGAGCTTAAATGCGTCGCGCGCGGCTGATGCTGTCGTGTCATCCGATCTGGGGTCGCACCAGGGCCAGGAACATGTGGCTCCTCGACGCTGGCTGGGGGGAGGACCTCCACCGCCGCGGATTTCTCCGACTCTCGGAGGTGTCAAAAGGCACGTTTCGGGCGAGGTCAAGAATCCTGCGGGATATGGCAATGGTCTTTTCACCCCGTCCTCTGCGCGGCCGACCAGTCCACCGGGTGCTGCTGGCGGAACGGCTTCATCGTCCGCTTTTACGTCGGGCCCGACGGTAGACCCCGTTCTGCGGTCTGACGGCAGCAATGAATTTGCCGATGTCATCGATCGAGGTATTGTCGATGTGGAGAACGCGAGGAAGGCCTTTGATCGATATGTTAGTGACTTTGCTCCCATGATGCCCACGGTCGTCTTCCCGCCTGGAACGACGATGGGCACCGTTCGACGCACGAAGCCGGTGCTATTTCTTGTCATTCTTTCCGTCACGATCGGGGCCTTCCAGCCGGGCGTCCAGATGCAATTGATTCACGAGGTCCATCGCGTGCTTGCGGATCGGGTGATCATTAAAGGCGAGAAGTCGCTGGAGTTGGTGCAGGCCATCATAGTGTCGTGTATGTGGTATGCGCCTCCGGACCGCTTTGAAGAACTCAAGTTCTACCAGTTCATCCATATTGCGGTCGTGATGTCGTTGGACATTGGCATGGGCCGACGGACCAGGAAGAAGGGGACCAAGCAATTGGGTCTGTTGAAGGAGATCCTTGGAAAGAAAGGGGCGCTTTTAGACCCGGACGCGCTGGAGACGCGACGGGCCTGGCTGGGCTGTTATTTCCTGGCCGTGTGTGCGTCGATGGCTCTGCGCCGGCCGCTGCTGGTCCGATGGCATCCGTACATGGATGAGTGTATCGATATTCTGCAGAACTCGCCGGACGCCCTGCCGTCGGATCGGCTGCTGATCTACTGGACCAAGTTGTCTCACATTGCGGAGGAAATCAGCTTCCAGTTTTCGATGGATGACCCGGCCAGCAATCTGTCATTGCATGATGCCAAAGTCCAGTATGCTCTCAAGGGGTTTGAGAAGCAACTGGACCAATGGCGCGAAGAAGTGGATCCAGAGTATTATACCCGTAAGCATTTCCTTTTCTGTCTGGCATAGATGATGGTCTGACGTTGTATCCAGCCGTGTTGAAACATGCCGAACATGTTTTGAATATCTATATGCACGAGATTTCAATGCACACAGACCATAATATCGATGATTTCCGGCCACCGTTCTGGGGTTCGTTTCGAGAGCAGCCCCAGATGGATCGTGCGTCGGCCGCCCATGTGGATGCGCTGACGTCGTGTTTGACGTCGATCCACGCGACTCTGGAAGTGATGATGTCGCTCGACCACGTCACGATTGTGTGTCTGCCGACCATCTATTTCGCGCGAACGTCGTATGCTTTCGTGGCACTGCTCAAGTTGTTTGCGGCCGTCACCCAGAACAACAGTCCTCTGGGCCAGGTTTTCTCTCCGGCTGATCTGAGGGTGGAAGAACTTCTGGACAAGATGATTGCGCATCTGAAGATCAGCGGCAGCCGGCCAGGAGGGCGGACGCCAGGCAAATTTTGTATGATTCTGAATCTGCTGAAGAATTGGTTCTTGAATCGGAAGGACAATGACGACCCATGTCAGCTAGCAAGGATGCCTGTGGAGAAGGAGGAGCAGAGGCCTAGCAGTAAGTCTGAGACAAGAGATGCCCCTGGGCAGGCTGGGCAAGGGCAATCTGGTCAATCGACGGTATGCTTATACTTTTTCTCCTTCTCCTTCTTCTTTTTCTTGTTTTACTAACAACTAGATAGTCCGACTCCCGCCTCCATCTCCTAAGTGAGGTAGCCATGGGCGAGCCAAGCAAGACATCTAGTACGGAACAATCACAATCGCCTGGCAAAGCGTCTTTCCCTCAGCATGCGGTCAATGTTGGTGTAAGTGTCGATCCTGGGAATGCAGACAGTTCGTCCGCCACACCGAGTGCTGGCGGCCCGATCAGCGCAACAGACACGACAGAGACATGGTCTCAATACCCTTCAGTGCCTGTAGCCGCAACAGCCGAACCGTCCTTTTATTCCCAGCAGCAGATCGCCTTCACGCAGCAAGCCGGGTTCGATCCCAGCAGCAACCCGATCATGTCCAACGACGTGATGCCGGCGGGGTCGCAGCCTGCATACGCGGGTTTTCTGCCCGAGCTAGGGGTGCAGATGGGCTTTGACCCGGAGGGCCTCTTCGCGCTGGGCAATATGCTCGACGACGGGTTTTTTAACCTGCCGATGATGGACGGGAATCAGAATTTCTACATGTCTTGAATGGACTTGAACTTGATAACTTTTTTGTCTGTTTTTGTATTACTTGTCGAATATTTTGCACATTGACGTGGGGGTACATACATACATATATCGGGGAAATATATATATAATGCAGGTGGAGTATGGGGATTTATTATTCCTTGTCAGTTATGTTTGCAGGGGAGTCGAGATACCCATGAAGCGTGTACCTGTTGTGAGGTCAGGTCAGGATCATGTTTGTTCTTTGCATTGCGTCACATATCCTTTCTCTACTCACTGCCTCCACTCCTGTCTGTGTATTGTCACGACCTATCTATCTCCCTTGTCAGAGTCAGATCTCCTCAAATCTCTCTTCTCGAATCTCTCTCCCATCTTGATGTGTTTGAGGAAAGGTGAAGTGAGGTGGGGTGGGGTTTCTCATGGAATGATTGAATGGATGAGTGGATGGATGGATCCTGCTGGTTCAGGAGTTAGTTGTGCATATATATATATATATACAGGGCAGGTGTCCTGTACTTGTACTGTGCGTGTACAGTACAGTGGGAGAAGGGAAAAAAAAAGGAAAAGAAGTATATAACGACTAAACAAGAATATCAAAAATATATCAAATAATGATGATCTTGGTTCTGTTTGTGTTTGGTTTTGTTTTTTATTTTGTAGTTATTAGCTGAGGTTAATATGTTATTGGGAATTAACAATTAATTAAGAATGGAGATCAATTTTAAGGATCTTACTGCTAATAATAATAAGATTCTTGTATAATACCAATTCTTTTGTTCTCTTTCTTAGCATACTGTACTGTACATAATGTAATTAATTAAGTAAGTTTATGAAAATGAAAATGGAGATGAGTGGTCCTACTAGGTACAGTAGCCTGTTTAACCCTAACTGAACTAAGCGTATAGTACAGGCTACTGTAGGAGAGCTATTAATATTAACCTGAACCTAAACTCAGGAATATGGGAGACAAGACATAATCACTGCAAAGAGCCTTCGTTTGGAACGTCAGTCAGTACATTCTCTTACATATCCTTGTAACAGGGAAATCAAATCTCTGTCTCCATGCACCAGTCTCCTTTTTTTTCCTTGTATGTAATATGTAATAAGCTTCTTATACCTATACTTATACTTGCATTGCATTCTCTTCTTCTCTTCTCTTAACACTTTAACATTTTACTACTATAATAAGGGCAGCAATCTTTGCGACTTCAACTCATTTTTTGTCTTGTGCAGCAAACAAGTAGTTTCGTTTCATTTCAGGATCGTTTTTTTTTTCTGAGAGAATATAGTATAAGGTTACTCTACTCCATGCGCCAGAAACCGCGTTCAGTGCTGGCGTCGAAGCAAGCCCTGACGTATATGTACTATAACATGCTTTGCGTTAGCAGAATCTTAAGTTAAGGTCAACTCGAAAAAAAAAACCAAGGCATATGAGATGGCCATGGGACAATATGAGGACGCGCAGGGAGTTTTATGCTATACGGAGTATTAGTGCAGGGTAGATTGCATACTCTGTAATGCTACTGTGGTGGTTTCGCCATATGCTGGTGCTGTATTTTATTATTTAATATATGTACTGTACTTAATTTGTCTTACGAGGCCAGAGTTGATACAGTATGTGCAATGCTAGTGGTTAAATGGCATGCTGCAATCACATCTTCCTCAATAATAAATACATATTTTGGTTAAGAACTTGAGAACTTAAGATAGGTGGTGTCTATCTAGATAGCAGTAGACATTAATCTGCTGCTGATGTGGTTTTCTAGTTGCCTTGTCCACTACCTACATTGGGCTGTAGAAGTAGGTGCTGAATTTATCTACAGTGCTTTATTGGTGTATTAATTCCCCCAAGAAACTCTATGATCAGGTGGTATTCTAAAAATGGCACCTGCCAGCAGTGCAATACCCTTTAGCCCCTCATGTTATTGGACTATCTCTGCCTAGGGTTAAGGTCCTGGAGGCGGCTGTTCTGGGGTTGCTGACCTTGCTCTCGTAGCATGCATATCCACCACTTGCTGGGGTAGATAGATACACGTGGAAACTAATGGTTTACAAGGTCTGGATCTTAAAGGAGGCACTAAAACAGCTGTATGTACCTCCTGCTGAACTAGAATGTTAAGATGTAGACAGCTAGTACATTCCTCTACCTTGGCTCAGCGAGGATATCAGGCACATAATATTCTGTCCTCTGTAGTCTCTTTAGTAAGCATTGATTGGCTGGTGTATTTCCTAGCATGGTTTGCAGGCCAACTTAATAATTTCACTAAGCCCTATGACCCCTTTGCCCTCTGTGGCGGCTCTTGCTGATTAGGGTGGCACAAGGCTTCCCTCATGTCGGATTAAGCTGAAGCTTTGCCAGTTGCGCGCCAAATGCAGATAATCTCCTATGGTAATTATATTAAAAACCAAAAATCTTACTAATACCAAGACTCTTATTTACTACCAACTCTTCTCTTTCTTTCTGTACGTAAGGTAATTAATTAAGCTTATGAAAATAATAATAATAAAGGTAGGCATTCCTAGGTATAGTAGCCTAGCTTTAACTAAATAAGCTGCTATAGGAGAGATATTAAACTAAAACTTAAACTCTAGAATAAGGAACAAAGACAAGAAAGGTATAATTACTGCAAAAAGCCTTTGTTAGGAATGTCAATTAGTTAGTAAATAATTGTTGTCATCCTTCCGCATAGCGCAATTAAATCGTTATCTCTACGCGCTGTTTTTTTTTCTCTGTATGTAATAAGCTTCTTGTACTTGTATTTGCATTGTGTCGTCTTCTTTTAAGACTTTGACATTCAATTATTGCGATAATAGTAGTGATCCTGCCCAGCTTATTAAAGCCTATTAAAAGAAACCATATGTGATGACTAGGGGAGAATATGAAGACGCGCAGGGAGTATTATACTATACAAAGTATTGTTGCAGGGGTGGATTATATAATGCTATTGTGGCTATCTGGCCACGTGCTCTATTTTATTTTTATTTCTTTTATTTTTATTTTTTGTTTTGCGAATCCTTGGCATGATATATATTGGATGTGACACCGTAACCGTGGCTGGGGCCTGTGAGGCTATGACAGGGCACCTACACGAGGGGCGGTCATGATACCGCCTGCCCGGTTGCCTGCATCTCCAGCTCTGCAGACTGGGCTTCATTCGATCTTGGGCGGATGGATGTAGAGTTCCCACACTGCCATGCTCTTGCATTGGTTGGTCAAGGTATGTCTGGCCACAGCGGTAGCCAGTCTTTTAACTGGTGTTGCAAGAACAGGAGTACGGTATCAGTGTTGATGCAGTTCCCGAGGCCCCGCCTTTTGCTGAGGTGGTCTTTTAGTGATAATGCCCGTGATGAGGAGTTGTTCTGCATGTATGTACTGTATGTATGTGTTGCTGAACTCTGCGCTTGCTTACTTGTTATACGTCACAAAGCTCGGCTCCTTTAAGGTCTTCCGCTGTAATGCAATGCGCCACTGTCACAGGCATTAGCCCCGTCGGAAAAAAAAATACAGGGATCCCCTCGTCTCTTCTTCCATGCTATCCACCCCAGATCCAGTGGGCTGGAGATGTAGGCAACCGGGCAGGGGGCATCAATATGGCCAACTCAGCGTCTCTGCTTAGGTACTTTACAAAAATCGACAGTTGAACACGTCTGCAATGGCAGCTGTGCTGGGTAGGGCTGCTTTATCCCCCGGTTTTGCCATTCAGAAACAAATGCGGCTCGAAGGCTCTCTGTAGACAGCGGCGACAGGGACATCAATCCCTGGCAGCACTTCTGTGTAGTTTACTGTCTGGAGATCTTCAGTATTAACAGACACGATCTCTGAAAAAGCAGTCTGTTGCATCTCGGGATAAAATCATCCATCCAATAGAGCCATCAGGACTGACCATGACACACGATTAGGGCCGTAGGATGGCGCAGGTTGAGACGAAACATAGCCGCTAGTGACTGGATAATGAGGCGCTAACGGGACATGGGTGAGATCCAGCTAAGGCGAAGCCTCCGAGGACGAGTTGGCTGTAGATAGGAGCTGTATGCGCGCGGGGGGAACAATCCAGCGGGGCGGGCTGGTGGACAGCTGCTCTGCTGCACTCCCGAGTATCCGACCGGTCCGGATGCCATGTCTGTGGCATAGGTAGCTGTCTGCTCCATCCCGACTCAGCAGGTTACCTACCGAAGCGATTAGGGCGTTGGCGCGACGGGGGCCCTACATCATGGTCCGTGTCACCGGGACTGCCTGCCACAGAGCCGCCTCTGATGCTGCCTCTATCATCCTGTGCGGCCCCTGCTACTAATGTAGGTGTTATTGTCAAGGGACCTACCTGTGTGGGATTCGTTATCAGTACATGCAGCTGCGCAGTCACCGTATGTATTCCCTATCAAGGTGACACCAGTCTCTGTCATTCATCGTTGTCGTGCGCTAAGGCAGTAAAGTCCTATGATCATTATGTGGGTTGCCTAGCTGCCTCGGTGGCGTCTGTTCTCAGCTGCCCAGGCACAACCCCTACGTGAATACTCCCCCAGTTGCTACTGTCACTATCATCCTTGCTGAAGAGGCCACCTCTGGCCCCGGCACCCCTGCCCTGCATTGGCTCTGCAAGTATAACTTCCACAACCTTCCTCGCCGCGGGGAACCAAGGTGGCGGTCACGCCCAGATCAAGAAAAGCAGCTGTCATGCTGGTACCCATTGGCCAATAGAAAACCACTAGAATCAAGAACCTGTCAGGGGATAGATTCCTGGTTTTGCAGATCCCCCCACAAGCTGGCTCTGTCGAAGGAAAGTTCAGGATAGACGGAAGATCGCGATTGGCCTGTTGTTTGTCGTCTGCCATCGTCTGTGATGTTCGTGAGCTTGTACGGTGACACAAGGAAAAGATTGCAGCTGCCAAGAATTAATAGACAAACTGACTGGACACTAGACATTGCCCGGACTATTTGCCTCTGAACATGTTTGCTGTCTATTCTGCATATTGGCAACTGGGCCAGGGCATGCAGCTTGTTGAGCCAGGCATGAATCACTGTCAGCCAGGTAAAACTCGACATGGAGTCAGTGCGGCAGAGATGGGCGCGAAACTATGCAAAAGCTTTGGACATCATCAAATCTGCGAAATACGGCAGGAGGGAGAAGTGGACAACGTGGCGGAGTGTGTGATGTCTCTCGAGAACACTCCACAAGAAAGAACGTTACACAACATGCGCGCCTTGTGAGCCTGACAGCCAAGCGCGGTCCTGGAATTCCCTTCTTGCACCCATCCATTCAGATCTCGTTGTTCCCCCACATCTAGAAGAAGGTCTCCTTCGTCCCCTGCAGATATCCCAGAATAAACCAGGGTCTTAAAAGAAGGATTTCTTACATCCCTGCAAATGCTTCCCCAGTAGTCGTTGCCACGTCGTGATTCGAGTCACATGTATTCCATGTTCCTTGCGGAGGACTCAAGCGCAGCCGCCGGTAGGCGCTCTGAATAGCGCCCGTAAGCAGGGCAGTAGAGATGAGCCTCGTAATTTCCAGATTCGGCAATTTTATATTTTATAAATATCTGCCTCTATCACGCTGAACGACCTGCCTTGCTCTGCGGAATTATTTAAATGCTTTCTCATAACACAACAATACTGGCTAAAGAACAATTCAAATCTCAAGCTACACCGTCTAGCAGAACCATCCTTTACAACTCAAGAACAAACACTGCATTCTTGACATCAAACACCATGCCGGTACGTTACGTGACTATGTCTAAAAAAAGCATCCTTTAAATCTAACAGGTTATATGATAATTAGAGCACATTCTCAAGCGCTCGAGCTACGAAAGGCTCCACGTCCGGACAAAGCACGGCTACCGACGATAATACAACCGCCAACAGTCAGACTGCGCAGTCTGAGAACAGCTCTTCGAACAATGAGCAGCAGCAGCAGCAGCAGCAATCCTACATGTTGAGACGGTATCTTCAGGGTAGAGAGGATCCTTTTTCTTCTGCTGCCGTCTATTACGGGACGAACCCTTCCCAAAAATGAGGTCGTGGAAATGCCGATATGGGAGTCTCGCAGAAGTCGGATAAATAGTCATATCTTTTTCCAATTGCGGCGTTTGTTGTCAATGTCGGGTGCATGCTTTGCTGAGCTGGATAGCCTGTTGCTTGCTGCTGGGCAGTTTATATGTTGTATAACGGATTCTTTCTATATACCCTCTATGTACCACTTAGTTCCGGGATTGATTGCCCTGTCCACTTGGATTATAACATTGTTTAAATGTATAGACTAAAGCAATAATCAATTTGCATATAGTGTTGTCGTTTAGAGTGTTAATGTACAGTATTACTGCTTAATGATGATTTATGAGTGTCTGCTGCTCACACTGTGACGACGGTGTCGTCCATTCTGGGAAATACTGTATTGGGACCTGTCCATTCATGAATCTGACTACGCAGCAGTAGTAATTGACGTACAATCTGATATATTTTCATCCATATAATACTCCAGGTGACGGACATTGGCAATAATAATATTCAGCCAAATAGCGTTTAAATTATACAACGAAGAACTGTAATCACAATATAAGCAAGAATAAATGGCTAATAATTGTCCCGATATCTCTCTGCCTCATATATCTGATATATCTGATATGCGCGTAAATTGCTTTCTTACTGCTACTGCAAGTTGGCTTGGAAACTGCCCGTCAACTTCGCGTTGACTTGGTAGGTTGCCACTTTCGTCGTGGCGTTGTACGAACCCCCCTTGCCCGCGCTGTTCGCGCCTAGCAGCGTGATCTGGCTGATGACCACGTTGCCGGGATCATAGTCAAACTTCCCTGTCATGCTGAAATGGCCTCCGCGGTACGAGAACTGGATCTCGCTCGTGTGTGGCTGGTTGATGCTCTCGCCGTCGTCGAGGTACAGCTGGCCTGTTGCATCGCCGTAGCTGTCTGGCGCGATGACGATGACGAAGTCCTGCTGCCGCAGCTCTGCGGTCGTGTTCGCCGAGCGGGCGCGCATGGGCACGATGCTGCCACCCTTGAAGTACAGCGGGATCGTGTCGAAGCCGACGTCGGTCAGCGTGACGGTGCTGCCCTCCCCGGTCACGGGCGCGCCCGTGTAGAAGTCGTAGAACTGGTCCTTCGGGAAGTAGACGTTGACCGTGGTCGAGTCATTGTCGGTCACGGGCGCAACCATGATGCTGTCGCCCCAGAAGAACTGGTACTGCAGGTTGGCGGTGTTGATGTCGGACGGATACTCGAAGAACATGGGGTTGATCATCGGCGCTCCGGTCTGCGTCTGCGTCCACAGCGCCGTGTACGCGTAGTCCAGCAGACGGTACCGGATGTCGATGGCAGCCCGCGCGGCCGCCGCGATCTGAGGCGTGCGGTACAGCTCGTGCGGCGGCGACTGGTTGTCCGAGTGGTCGCGGAAGAAGGGCGAAAACGCGCCGAGGAAGACCCAGCGCGAGCACAGGTTGTCGGTTGTGTTGCCATCATAACCGCAAATGTCACTGCCAACCATGGGTATCTGGAACAGCGCCGCGAATTCCTGCAGTTCGGCGATCGTCCACCGGTAGTGGTCCCAGTCGGCGAAATTGTCTCCCAGCCAGTGGCCAACCTGTCGGCCAGCTCCAGCAAATGTCGACCGGGTGATGCTACAGCCGTTAGTTCTCGACAACAGCTCGAGTCTGACAGCAATCATGACGACTTACACAAGTGGCCTGACGGTTGGTCTGCGGTTCAGCATCGCCCCCTGCTGGTCGCACTCATCATGGTGCCGTACAAATTGTGCGTGTCGTACTCGGCATATCCTCCCGCATGGATCAGGTCTGTGTTGATGGTCTTCTCGCTCAGGTTGCCAGCCGCATTATGGATGGTGTATGGCGGATTCAAAAGGTTCCTGTTGGGCAGGCCCAACATCGACCCGGACTCTCTCTTGGTCAGTTCCTCCGCGGGAAAAGGCGAGCGAACCAATTCTGATCTCTTGTGCGGTCCCGAGCTGGTGGTGATGGTGTCAGACACCTTCAGAGTGCCGCTGTTGCAGTCGCCCGTCGTGATCGTGCGATTCTTCTGTTCGTAGATGTAACTACCATCCGACTCCTTGCGGACGTACTGATACGAGAACGTCCCATTCGGTGGCATCTGGACGGTCAGCTGCCAGATCGGGTAGTTGTTCGCGTTCATGACTGGCGCCATGTGCACGTCGCCGGCTCCCAGTGTCGTCGAGTTACCCAGGATGAGGATGTTCTCTCCAAAGTATGTCTGCGCATCGCAATCGAACGACACCGTGGCTACACAAGTCGGCTGGAAGTCAGGACCAAATCCAGGAATGGGCCTTGGTGGGCTCAAGCGGACCGGCGGAGGCGTGGGCGGATCGCCGTTGGCTGCCGCATAGGCGGCTGGGTTCGAGCAGGGAAAGTCGCAGAAATTGGACGCCTCGTTCATGTCGATCCAAAGGGCATCAATGTCGACGCCATGGGTTGGGTCAAAGAAGGTTGAGAACTCGTTATTCCAAAACTGTTGTGTCTGGGGCGCAAACCAGTCCGGGAAAGCCGTCGGCCCAGGCCAGACAACACCCTGATAGATGGAGCCATTGGAGAACTTCAGGAACGCGTCGGCAGCTACGCCGTTGTTGAAAGCTGAATAGTTCTGGTATGCCACTGCAGGGTCCACCATCATGATGTAGTGCTGGTTGTGGCTGTGAAGATAAGAGACAACCTCTTGGACCAGCTTCAGCGGATAGCGATAGGGGTCCAACGTAAACACTTTCCTCAGGTCCATATAGTCTGCGATAGTCAGCCAAGCTCAGAAGTGAAAACCACGACAGCTAGATGGAAAACGTACCGATATCAGTCCACTGGGTCTCAAGCGGAATGTTTGCAGCACTGTAGTTCGCAATGATCTCAGCGACCTCATAGATGTCCTGGTATCCATATCTGCAGTTGTGGAAGCCGAATCCCCAGTAGGGCATCATAACTGGGTTTCCGACGGTCTGGGCATACTGCGATGCCACGGCCTTGGGATCCGGTCCGCTGAGGAAGTAGAAGTCCAGCACGCCTCCCAGGGTATTGTACTGCAGGTACTGTCCGTCCGAGTCGACGTCGATATTGATATCCATGCCGTTGCTGTTCAGCAGGAACACGCCATGGGTGCCTTTGCTGCCGCGATAGTCAAAGTACACCGGGTGATTGCCGTACAGATTGGTGTCCTTGGGCGTGCCGTACGCATCGCGCGACCACAGCGTGCGGGTGTAATTTTTGGTAGGCAGGCGGAAAGAGCCAGTGTGCTCTCCCAGGCCGTAGAGGTTGGGCGAGTCCGGCAGACGGGTGCGGAGGCCCAGATACTGCGACTCGAAGATCAGCGGATGGCCGGAGGTGTCGAAGAGGATTTCGCCGGTCGACCTGCGCTTGATGGTAAAGGAGAAGGGGTTGTTGGTCATGGAGAACTGCAGGTCCGACTTGGCCGGGGGAATGTTGGCGCTGCTGGGCCGGGGGAGCACCGCGGTGGGCACCTGGTAGACCTGCTCGGCGGCGTCGTAGATCTTCACATGGAGGCGTTGTTCTGCAGATGTCAGATACAGTTTCAGTCATATCGAACAGTCATATCGAACAGGAGGGGACATCAATGGCAGCAAGCAGTCAGCCCTAGCCCCAGGCCCTAAGCCCTAGTCCAGAAGCGGATCACATGCTGCCGATCAGCTGCAGAGGCGATGCTGTGCTACCTACCTGATTGGTACTCGACCTGCAGCTTCAGATCGTCCAGGTCCGTGCCATACGCGTTGCAGGCGGGACCAGCGAGATTGAGATCCGCGCTGACGACTTCGCCGTCAATGGTTTTCACATTGCTTGCTTTGTAGCCGGGGCATGAAGAGGTGACGTTGCGGCGGACGATGGCAGCTGCATCCGCCGCGAGAAAGAGGAGGCCAGTCGCAGCCAAGTGCTTGACGAGGGTAGTAGGCCGCATGATGACGGGCAGCTGGTTATCAATGAGCCCACTGGAGGCCTAAAGGAGACCGATCTCAGAGAGGAGAGACTGTCCATTTTATAACTCGAAGAGCTTGTCAGTGATGCCAAAATAGGCCTAAGTCCGCAAGGCAGCGTCCTGCCATGGCACCGAGCAATGGACGGCCTGGACGCCCCGTGCGGCGCATACCAGAAAGCTCTGCTGCCGATTAATTTGCGGCGATCTCCACATGACGCCAGTCCTCCAACAGGACGAAGTGGTGGCTTGCTGGACGAGCTGGGACATGCCGAACCCAAGGCAGGGCATGTCGGAGTAATTACAGACTGTTACCGTAGGGCGCGCACGGGCCACATCTCGCTGCGGGGATGCGGGGGTTGGCAGGGTCACGTTACCGTTACACTGCCATGTGTCTAGCCCAATTCTGACGAGCATCCATCGAATTTTCGATCTAGACCTTCTTATCTGTTCGATGAGTGAAAGTATTATTATTTTCAATGAGCGATTGCAAGCGATATCACTCCTCTGGTGGCCTTATATTACCAAGAAAGGTGGAGATCCACAGAATCTCTGGCACGTTGCCGCTAGCGCAGCCTAGTCGCGGCTATCGAGCATCTGCCGTCTACCCGAGAGATGCCTAAAGCTTGGATACGCAGAATGCTGGTAAAATGATCATTGCATTGGCCAAGGTGTCATCCTAAGAATTTTAACCATAAGTGGAGATTTTGAAGCTATCCAGACTATTTCTCTTCCTCTGGGTTGTCTAAAGAACTGACGATGAGTTTACCATGTAGGATGCTGGGAATTGAGTCAAGCTAACTAGGAAATTAAATTACCCCGTACTCGTCTGTTATATTATCGGCATCTGCTCCATCCTAGGCGGAGAATCTGTCAACCTTCGGTGAATCTTCCTCCGAATCCGCCTGTCCTTTACCAGATTAGGAAGGTCAGACTTCTCGCGATGAAAGTTTTGTGTGGAGTATATGCTTAGCTGATCCGATTAATATCCGATGGTATTTACAAAATAAAGGCCTGTGCAGAAGACAGAACCATCACTTTGATATTTCGGCACATACTGCGATTTTACTATTACTAAAGGTTTCGAGTGGCCATACGGACTGTGTCTTTATAAAATTGCTAGCTATCTGGAGCTTTTTTCTACCTTCGTCGAACTGGACCGTGTCTCGTGTCTTTATTGAAAACAATGATGTATGAGTTGTAAAATCTTCTCAGATTGAAGATAATTTCTGGTTTTTGAGTCTTAGAGAAATTTGGGCTAGGAGAATTGGCAAGTTGTCACTAATATTACGAACACAGAAAGAAAATGCCCCTGTCATCTGCAAATTTTGACCCTTTTCGAACGCATTATATTCTTTGCAGCTTTCTCTGTTGATAAGGCGGTAGAAGGTAATGAGGAAAGTTGCAAAGAGAGAAGACCCATAAAATTTCACCATACCCTTTGTTGTTGTCTTGCTAGTTTTATAACTCATGTACTGGTAGGAATACCTGTATCTTCTGCGCCAACTTTATAGTGATTGAACGCTTATCAGATTGAATTTTTATATCGTTCAACATGCCATGCCAGTTATGCCAGTTATTACCTTGCTGATTTCTTATATCTAGCCTATTAATTATTGAGAGTATTACTCCTGCTCCTTTATTGCTAAAATTTGAATTATTGTCTCGAGCACAAAGAAGCTAGTATGGTAGAGTTAGGGAGCATCCTTGGTTGCATGCTGTAAGTAGTCACATAGATTGTCCACTGACAGTGACAGAATATGATATAGGAGCATATACCATACTCAAAAGATACCTTATTACCATAACCTATCAATTTTATCATCGTCTATGAGTCCTAAATATGTGTGATCTTACTGATGACGTGAAAGAAACCCAAGACAAAGCAAGAGATAAAGGCTGATCAACCTTATAAGGTTTCAGGCTTATAATCAGCCTGATCCATCTCTTGACCTTTTATGCATGTTATACTAATTCACGCTGCTTACTTTTTTATGACAGTGCTTTCAATATTTAGTAAAGTGTTAGCGATCTGGCTTTAAAGCCAGTGACTCTGCGATCAAACGAGTGACGGAAATCTTACCAAGTGTGGTAGGTTTTGCTTCACATATAAGTTTTTAGCCTACAGCAGTAGAAGTAATACTGCATCTGACTTATCTTTCACAGGGTAGTACAGGAAGAGGCTAGATCAGTACTATGAGAATAAAGGTGACTGTCAATTTGAAGTTGAACTTGATGACTCCAGGGTGGCACCTTCAGCCCTAAAGGTATGTCATGTGACTCAGTGTGTTTACTAGGTGAGCGTGTTGTCATTTCCTTTCAAACCACGACGCACAGTCTCACACATCCAATATGCAGGCTGGCATCTCCAGTATGGAGGCTCAGTCATCCAATATGGAGGCCCCTGCATCTAATACACAGGCTCATGCATCTAAAGCAGAGGCCCACAAACTTGACGAGCTGCCTCTGTTAGTCCAGCACCAGATCTGTGACCTGGTATGTCGTCCTAACAGGACAAATTACTTTATTTCACTCTGACAAACTCCTAGATCTACAAGACTTCTCCTACGAGCATACATGCCTTGTCGCTAGTGAACCGCGGATGCTATTGTGCTACTGTGCCGTTTATCTATCGCAGGCTTACCATTGACGTCTCGAGAAGCAAGAAACTACATGAGGAACTCTGGGAATTGACCAACAATCCTCTCAGGCGCCAGTGCTTCGAACATGTGAGGCGCCTCGAACTAACTGGCCAGATGCCGTCCTCGAGAATACCCGAAGAAATGGACGACAATACCTACAACCGGATGCGGAGAGAGAGGGACTGGCATTCTAATTACATATTACCCTTTTTCGTGTGGAACCCAGAGGGAGACAAGTCTTCTCGCCTCTGGGCACCCCTCATTTCTCTGATATCGGAGTTTCGGCACCTGACTGACCTCAAGTACACCTGCAATAACAGATTTCCATATCGCTTGCTTCATGCTATTCATCAACATCACCCAGCGTGCAGGCTCGACGTACACAGCTACCACTTGCGCGGACTAAGTGATCTCATCACCGATCCGCACAAGCTGGAATTGATCAAGTCTCCCTGTCTTCACCGATTAACGATCAGGTATGTCATGGAAGCTCGATCGGAGGATAACTGGGATGAGGACGAAGAAGATGACCACAGTGAAGAATCTATCCAAACCGTCCTGAGAAGTCTTGGGCTTGCGCCAAATCTGAAGCATTTGCATCTCATTGGCTGTCTCTTCTACATCTCAAAACCACTCTTCGACAGTCGTGTAGCATTTAAGCGAGCAGTAAAGAAGAAGGGTTTCAAGCCTCCAGAAAATAATTTGAGACTTGGCGCTTTGGAGTCCCTTTCCTTTACTGGATACCAGGGCGTCACAAAAGCAAAGCTGCAACAATGGAATAAGTACGCTAATTTTTCAACACTTCGGTCATTTGCTTGGTCAAATGTCACCGATCGCGAGGCCTTGATATACGCCTCTGAGAATCTGAAGTTCGACTCCCTCGAGACCTTGGAGATTTGTCTAGGAGTTGAGCGTCTTAACCACAACTTTATGACCGCAGTCGGTATGTTCCTGGAAAGTTTGAACCCGCTGATTGCCCTGCGATTATATGGCCTTTTCCATGCACCCTTGCTAGTAAGGATTTGTGAGCGCCACGGGAACACATTGCGCGAATTGCAGTTGAAGGGCTATGGAGACTGGGGTTATGGTGAAGAAGCGAAAACTGCATCGCTTTCTTTTGTCGAGGTCATGACTATCCGGGACCACTGTCCCCTGCTGGAAGAGCTCCAGCTGAGGGTCAAGCGGTTCTATTCCGATAGATGCGAAACCAAATGCTACAAAGTGCTGTCGACGTTTCCGTGCCTTGTGAACCTAAGCTTGGAGCTTGACTGCTCCAATCCTGGAGCACAAGACTTGCCTCGCCCAGACGAAATCAGCCACAACAAATTCGACCGACAAGTGTACGACAATAAATTCGGAACCCCAAGAGGTTTGTTATGCAATGCACATGTCCGAGATGCCTTTATCAATGCGGCTGTCGATGAAACTTTGGCTCGATCTATCTGGGACGTCATCACCACTACGGGAAATAAGCCAATGGGCCACCCTCTTCGGCAACTGAAAATCACCAGCACCCGCGGTGGCTGGTTCGGGGACTCTCGCCTTGCAGATCTATACCGCCGAATTCGTTACATATCACGGTCATTCGTGCTAACCAGAAGCGAGCGGGATGACCGCGTGCAAGACGTTGAGATTGTCGAGACTGGGAAAAAAGAAAGAGAAGCGTACGAGGAATCCAGGCGACAAGAGGATGCTCTACACGAAAAACATAAGGAACTGTTTGGCAACTGTGGCAGCTGTCATCCCGAAGTGAAGAAAGCTGTGCGCGTCTTTCAGAGGCTCTGGCCCCCGAAGAGTGGCAGCCGCAACTGGCGCGATGACTGGAGTAGCAAGCCGCTGGAGATGGTCGACTTTGTGGCTGAAAGCTGAACGGATTTTGTTTTTTTTTTAAATTAAATAAAAAAAGAATAAAAGAGAAAAGAGATACCAAAAAGATGCAAAAAAAAGATACAAAAAGGTACAAAAAGATACAAAAAAGGATAACAAAAAAAAAGGATACAAAAAAGATATGATGTTCTGAGATGACTTGACTTACATAGCACACCAGAGGACGTTACTCCCCCTACAACAAAAAAAAATCTTAATAGCTTAATTCTCTACAAATAGCTAATGTTAATCAAGAATTGAAAGTTCCGAACAATTATTTGCATTTTCATAATGCGATTCGAAAATTGAATTTAGATAAAAATTCAAATACCTTCATCAGATTATTTTTAAGTAAACTTAGAAAAAGTTGTTTATTGAAAGATATGAATTTTTCTTCTTTCCTTTTTTTTTGCTGCAGGGCTGTTGATCTACCATAAAGCAATTCCTTTTTTAACCACCTTTGAATGGATAATAATAGCCCTAAAAATATAACTATAGACGTTTATCGTATATATAAAAGAGATGCTGATGACTGTCATTAATTCCACGGCATTTTACGTGCGCGTCTGGGGTTAATGATCTAGTAGGCCGCAGGGATACTGTGTTGCTTGGTTGCGTAGCGTGCCATGGTGGAAAATGCTCTCGAGCAGGAGTTCTTGAACTAGGCTTTAGCGGATCTATCCATTGCTATTGGTATGACACTTACATAGGAAGACATTTCGGCAATATATACAGTATCTATCAGATTCCACCCTTGAGTCTCATCAGGTCTTGAACTCAATTGCAACTGTTAGCGGAACGGGTAGACAACCATCCGCAAAAAACAATCTCTGAATTAACTCTAGCAATCTATCTAATGAACAGGAATTATTAGAGAAGAAAGTCTTACAGGACAGGCGATTTCTACCCATATTTAAGTCTACAAGCACACAAAGAGGTTATAAAACAGATCCCGAGTTTTTTTTTTTATCCCCAAGCTCTGTGACATTCCGAAACCGGTAACGGGTGTTGAGCAGATCGGTATCGTACGACAGCAACCATATGCCGTACAGCCTGATCTAGGAATATGGCCACACAAAAAAAAACGCAAAGTTCAATTAATTAATACAAAAACAGAGGCATTAATTGATACACTTAACCAGTAAAAACGAATACGTCCAAATAACTATATGAAACTGCTCATTACGGCGAATGCAAATCCAAACGCGGCTGACAATATTGGGTTTACGCCATTGCACCTGGCTTCTCAATCAGGATAGCTGGAAGTTACGACTCAACTTTTGGATGCAGATTCAGACGTGAGCAAAAGAGCCCCCAGGAGCAGTGGATGTACCCCACTGCATTTAGCAGCGCAGAATGGACATCCGAGGTTGGTCAAAAAGCCCCTTGAAGCTCGTTCAAATCCGGAAGAATCCAGCAACGACGGGTTAACGCCGATGCATTTTGCGGCATTGAATAGGCATAGGGATGTGCTACATGTTCTCCTTTATGCCAATGCTTCTTTAAAAGCCACTGATATATTAGGCTACCAGCCACTACACTTGGCAGCCAAGGAAGGGTACCTCGATGGGGTGAAAGTACTTCTCGACGCAGGAGCCGATCCGAATGCGACCACCTACGTCAATTCCTCACCGTTGCATCTGGCAGCCAGCTCAGGAAATGTTTCGATCGTGGAGGTCCTTCTTAAAGCAGGGGCAGACCCAATGGCCTTTGATAACCATGGTTCAACACCACTCCACCTGGGAGCCATGTCAGGAAAGGTGGAGGCGGTCAGAAAGCTTATCGGAGTTGTTGACATAGATGCATTTGATGGCAACCAATGCACCTCGCTTCACCTGGCTGCTGCGTCTGGGCACGTAGAGATCGTAAAAGAACTTCTCGAAGCAGGGGCAGATAGGAGGGCTACTGATTATGAAAACCGCACGGCGTTGAATTATGCGGCAAGACGCGGATATCTGGAGACCACAATGGTTCTTGTCAAGGCTGGGGCAGAGGTTGGAGCAATCGACGACAACGAAAGGACTGCGCTTCACTATGCCGCTCAGAATGGCAATACAGGCTTAGTGACAGCCTTACTTGGAGTGAGAGCAAACTTAGAGGCAAAGGACCGGAAGGGACGTACTCCCTTACACCTAGCAGTTGAAAGTGGACAGGCAGATGTCGTGGAATTGCTTCTCCAACATGGAGCAGATTATGCTGCAGCAGACAGGAACGGCACACCTGTGATTCTCCTTGCGTTTCAAGCAGGCATGTTAGACGTGGTGAAGAAGCTGGTTGAATTGGGTGCAAATCCAAAGGCAACGACTACCATGGGCTCTGGCCCGTTGCATTTTGCCGCCAGAGGCGGACACTTGAACGCAGTAACGATGCTTCTCGAATCAGGGACCGATCCCAACATCGTCAGCAAGAGGGAATTTACCCCCCTACACTGGGCATCCCAAGCAGGACGCACGGCAGCTGTCGAGATGCTTCTGAAATTCGGAGCAGATCCCAACGCTGTTAACGATCTCAAAGCCACACCACTACACCGGGCGGCCCGATATGGACACGCTGAAGTGATCAAGCTACTTCTTGGAGGGAAATCCGATCCCAATATGCCAGATATTTATGGCAATTCACCGCTCTACTATGCGATACGATCGCAGTCTGTAGAGGCAGTAAAGGAACTTCTCAGGGGTGGTGCGGTCCTAAATGCGGCCACACCAGCGCCAGCCTTGTTTACTGCAGCTTCGTCTGGGCGTGCTGCAATCGTTCAAGAATTGATCCAACAAAAGGCAGACAGCGAACTACCAGGGCCATGTGGCAATAAACCTTTGCATGCAGCCTGTGGCCGCGCTCATATTGTCGAAATCCTTCTTGACGCAGGGGCAGCAGTTGATTCTGTCAATCTCGAAGGTTTGACACCTTTGGGGATGGCAGCAAATAAAGGACATGTCGATGCCGCCCGGATACTTCTTGACGCTAAAGCGAATCCACTAAAATCAGATTCTACTGGGCATACACCATTGCACCGCGCCGCGGCTAAGGGCTGCAAGAAGCTGGTTGAATTGATATTACAGCATGTCAATGGAGAGATGCTGGATGTCAGAACCAGATCTGGCCATACACCCATGATGATGGCAGTACTATCCAACGCTGAAGATATAGTACAGCTGCTGCTTACTACAAAGGAGGTCGATCCAAATGTACATTATAACGAAGGGAAGACGCCGCTCCTTCGGTCAGCACAGAAAGGATATCAACAAATAACGAAACTGCTTTTGGATAGTGGCGCTGACACTAAAGCTTATGGTCAGCGGTTGTTGGCACTTGCCTGTATTCACGGAGACGTGTACTGTGTCCAGCATCTGCTAAGCAAGGGGGAAGATCTGGGCAGCATGACAGATGAGCATGGATGGACCCCTGCTATGATAGCATCAGTCACAGGTCACCCAGAAGTTCTCAAGTACTTGCCAGAGACAGGCAATATGCCGACGGCAGTTGACATACTGCAAACAACGTCATGGAATCCAACAGACAAATCCGATCTCTTGGAGTTAGATGAAAATAATATGGCCGTGAAATATATTGGTGAGGAAGAAAAACTTAAGTGCGGTTGCGTATTTATGCGTACTGATACAATGTTGGAATTGTCCTAATAGTCTTTCATAGGTGCTGGTACCATCCGTTCTAACCATCCGATCCCACCAACAAAAGACTTTTACTTTGAGATAGAAGTGATAAGCCATGGTCAGGCTAAGTATGTACAAGTATCCTTCTCCTCTTTAATTTCTCCTTCGGCTGCTTAGGAGCATGATTCTTATTTTCACAGTCACAGCTCTATTACTCTTGGACTCTGCCACGAAGTCACCGACCTCGACAGAACACCAGGAAGCGATGACTTCTCATGGGGTTATAGCGGGGACGATGGACACAGTTATCATGGCAATCCCTGGGGCAATCGATACAGTGACAAGTTCAGTAAAGGAGATGTAGTGGGCTGTCATCTTACCCTTGACAACGGAGAGATATTTTTTCATGAAAAATGGATCGTCCCTAGGTGAGTTGTCATCTGTTTTTTTGTGTTCTTCCTTTTTGCCTAGCTGATTTCTGTCTCTTCCCAAGGAGTTGCCTTTGCAGGCGTCTCGGGTCGGTTGTTTCCGGCCGTTGGTATGCGTTCCCACGGTGCCCATATTCGCGTGAATTTCGGAGACCGTCCGTTCAGGTACAAAGTCGGTTGAAGAGAGTACTATCCTTCTTGTCAGTGTATGTACATACCTAGTAGGAGTAACAATACGATCATCTTCATCAGGTTGACGCTCGGCCTTATCAATGCTTATCAATGCTTGCTGCTTATCTTATCCGGGATTTGAACTCCGGCTTCTTCCGGCATTTGCCATCGGCGCCGTAAAAGAACCAAAAACCCCGCAACGGCGACTCGAGTCCACGGAGGAACTGACTACAGAGCAATGTTCTAGCCTAAGTCATTATGGCCTCGGTGGAAAAGCGTCCTGAGACCGGGCCTCCCCGTCGCCGCAAGTTCAGCAAGCCTCCGGTCAAGGTTGCTTGTCTGTCGTGGTGGGTGCTCCAGATTATATAATATAATGCACTGATCATTCAAGAACTGGACAATTGACTGATCGCTCACCCAGTCGCTCGCTCCGCACGCGTTGCGATGGACAGCAGCAATGCGCCAACTGTGTTGCCAGAGGGACTACATGCTGCTATGTGCCCAGCAGACGTGGAGGACCCCGCGTCCGCGGCGTGTCAAGCAAGCAGCATGAAGCGAGAAACAATGAGGAACGGAGCAGTCCCAGGGAGGAGAGTAGGGATGCGACATGTATCAATCCCGACTTAAATTTCAATGACGATGGTATACCTCAAACCGCTGGTCTACTATATTGGATATACACATCATAGTTCCTGCTGACCCATCTCAGCCTGGTTTGACCAGCTTATCGGCCTGAGTGAACCCGGGGCTGGCCTCCGGAATGTCGAGATGCCTATCGCTGAGATCGAGTCGATCTTCGACACGCTCTTTGCTCCCCAGAGGAATGACCTGGCCAGTGGGAACATTAATGGCAATGCTACTGCTCCCATGACGCATATGGTGCAGATTTATGGCAGTGATCAAGACATGTGAGGATTAACTAGCCAAAGAGCTGCACCATAAGAATCGCCCGCAAACCCTGTGCTTACAGTTTCGAGGCAGACTGGATGCCTACTACGTCTTTATCCATCCCTATTACCCGGTCCTACCACCGCCCGAGCGGCTGCCTGTCTGCAATCGTCCGCTGACGTCGGACCGGACGTCGTTTTTCCAGCCCTCGACTCCGTTGAGTTTGGCCATCTCCGCGCTTCTGGTGCTCATCCCACATCCGCACGAACAGGGGGATCCGTCACGACTCGATTATGTCCGACTGCGGAGGGACTATGCTCATTCGTTCGCGCAGTCCGCTCTCGAGGCCATAGAGGTCGACTCGGAACTGCTCGAATCCGCCAGCGACCCGTCTAATGCGCTGTCGGAGGGAGCGCCCATGCGGTTGAATCGACAACCGTTCCACCCCCGCGTGCCCGTCAACTTGGAAAGTGTCCTAGCTCTCGTCCTGCTGAGCGTGTACGAGTATGCTCAGCGTGGCAATATGGCCAAGATGCGGAATCGGGCGGGGCAGGCCTTGACTGCCGCGATGAGCATGTCGTTGCATGAGGCCCTGGAGGAGGACGAATTTGCTGAAGCCCGGCGAAGGGCCTGGTGGATGACGGTTAGTAAGTCGATGGACATGACAAGAAAGAGAACTGATCGGAGTAGTATGCAACCGTGTGTCAAGGCTCGATTGTTAGCAACACGGTATGTCTGCGCATGAAGGTCAGATGCTTAACAGTCGCTGATTGTTGTGTTAGCCGCCCGTCATTGACGTCTATGATCCTCGCTTCATCACGCCGTATCCAACATTTGCGTCGGACACGGAGGTTAGTATTACACACTCGTCAGAAGCATTTCTCGGTGCTAAAGATTGCGCGTTTTCAGGGATGGAGGTTCTTTATCGAATCACAACGGACTATCCTCGCGGCGACGACATTTGTGCACGACCTGGACAAGGAAGTCAAATCCGGTTCGGCCTCGGCCTGGATCTCGCAGCGCATGCAAGAGCTCGACAATCGCATCGAATCGGTCCTTCTCATGCGAAAAGGGCCGCGATTCTTGTCGCAGCTGTCGACGGCGGAGCCGGTTGATGCATCTGAAGCAGTGGTAGCCAGAGCGATGCGGTCGATTGCGGAAATCAAGCTACATAGGTAAGAGTTTCAAATTAGTTGTTGTTTTGATTTGTTTATGTTGTTACTTTTTTTTTTTTCATTCCAGCCGTATTTCCCTCTTCATTCAGACTGACTGTTCCAGTGCGAGGATCAAAACCCACCGTTTCTGTGCCTTTTCCGATATGCCCATCTTCCGAAAACGACATTGTGATCTGGGTGTCGTTACTGAGCAAACGTCATCTTCATTGTCGTCATCCTCCTGCACATGCCAGAACCTCCTTGGATCGCTCCCATCTCCCCCTGACAGTCTCAGCGGCAGCAATGCCGAACCAGGGCCAGGAGGCAGTACCATCCGTCTCCCCTTTTCGTCTTACATCTCCTCGAGGTTCTGTCTCCATGCGGCCTTGAATATTGTCACCCTACTCGACAACCTTCCCTATCCGAATCCCGATCCAGCCAACGTGAACATGACCATGAACCTGACCCACGGCCCGCCCCGTCTGTCGCCAAGATCTCCTATCGAAGTACCCCGGACCATGCCGGCATTCGCCTGTTGTGCCATGCAATCGAGCTACGCGATGCTGATGTTGTGCTTCAAGACCCGCGCGCTGCACCAAAACAGGAAGACGGCGAGCCAGAATCAGGCCCGTAGTTCTGTTGACGGGAATGACGCTGCTGGTGACGACGACGGTGATCACTACGACGACGGTGGCGCTGATGAAAACCCTCTAATGACAGGGTTTTTGAGCGATCTGCATAAGGGCCTGCAGCTTGTGATCAGATCGTTGGCCAACTATTCAATTGCGTTTGAAGCGGTGCGGGGGATGAAGGGTATGTTACTCTCTTTTCGATCATTTCCAAGTGAAGCTAACCTGTCTTTTCCGCAGATGAGATCGCACAAGCTGTGGACCGGACCTTTGCTGGCTATCATTACGTCGGATAGATAGCCATGTATAGTATGTGTGCACATACAGGATTGCGGCTTGCGATCTCAGGTAGGCCACAGAGCAATTGGTTTGGCGTCAGTTATCTTGTCATGTCTACTGCAAGGTTGAGTTGTATGTCACTGACCAAGAGCTCTTATCTATCTCATGGCTCATCCCATCTGGACGTCTTGATTCTTTTCTTTTTACGGTTATTTGGAGTTAGGGATTGGGTGTTGCTGTATTTCATCCATTTTCTCTCCTCTCCATTGGTTCCTGTTCTCGACATCCTATAACGAATTGGAATAGGTTAGGTTAATGAATGAATGAATAAGATCGATGCGTTAGACAAATTCCTAGAATCAAAGAACTTCAATGGGGTATTCTTCCTGTGTATGTCTCAAATACCCCTGATGTAACAGTATAACAGCTTAGCATCTACTCTGGTGGAAAGTAGGTTGTAATGCTCTACGTAATTCATATTTTGTTTCCCTTATGCAATTAAGGGCCGGATGTCTCCTTATTGATAATGGTATTCTAACGGTTAAATAACGAACGAAAAAAAAATCCATCACCATAAGAAGGCTTAGGGTTAGGTCATAGCAAAATGAAATAAAGAAACCTCGTCCGACATGCATGTCAATATCAGTTTCCTGCAGGTTATTTCTTGAACGCCTTCTGAAACGCCTGCTCAAAATCATGGATGATGTCGCTGATATGCTCCAGCCCCAGACTGACTCGGATCAGATCCGGCGTCACGCCGGCCTGCAGCTTCTCCTCGTCAGGCAGCTGCTGGTGCGTCGTCCGCCACGGATGGATGATCAGCGTCTTCGCGTCGCCGACATTGGCCAGGTGGCTGCACAGCTGCAGGTTGTCGACGACGGCCGAAACCTGGTCTATCGAACCGTCGACGCCGAAGGTCAGGACGCCGCCGAAGCCGTTCTGCAGCGTCTTCTTCGCCAACGCGTGGTCCGGATGCGACTCCAGCCCTGGGTACAGCACCCATTTCACGGCCGGATGGGCTTCCAGCCACCGCGCCAGCGCCAGCGCGTTGCTCGCCGTGCGCTCGCCACGCAGGGGCAGCGTCTCCAATCCCTGGAGGAACAGCCACGCGTTGAACGGCGACATGCACGGCCCCAGGTCTCGCATGGCGTCCATCCGCAGCTTCGCCGCAAGGGCTTTGTGGCCGTACGTCTCCCAGAAGACCATGCCGTGGTATCCCTCCGCCGGCTCGACGAACTCGGGGAACATACTCTGGCCGTTCTTCTTAACCGACCAGTCAAAGTTGCCTCCATCGATGACGATGCCCCCCATGCTCGTCCCATGGCCTCCAATCCACTTGGTGCACGAGTGCGTGACGATGTTCGCGCCCAGCGCCAGCGGCCGACACAGATAGCCGCCCATGCCGAACGTGTTGTCGACGATGAGCGGGATGCCGGCCGCGTGGGCCACGTCCGCAATGGCCCTGATGTCGGGCACGTTGTGCTTCGGGTTCCCGATCGTCTCGACGTAGACGGCGCGCGTGTTGTCGTCAATGGCCGCGGCGATGGCGGCCGGATCCTGGCCCTCGACCCATTTGACGGCGATGTTGAATTTCTTGAGATACACCCGGAACTGGTTGTACGTGCCGCCGTACAGCCACGAGGTCGAGACGAAGTTCTTTCCGGGGCCCATGACGGAGGTTATGGCCATGAACTGGACAGTCGGTCAGCGTATTGACATATATCTAGTAGACCTCGACCTGGACCTGGACCTACCTGAGCAGCATGCCCCGACGCCGTCGCCACAGCGCCCACGCCCCCTTCCAACATGCTCATTCTCGTCTCGAACACCGCGTTGGTCGGGTTGCCCATGCGCGTGTAGACGTAGCCGTCCTTGGCCCAGGCGAACTTGCTCGCTCCGTCGGCGGCATCGGTGAAGTTGTATGCGCAGGTCTGGTAGAGAGGCAGTGCGCGGGAGCCGTTCGTTGGATCAGGCTCTTGGCCGCCGTGGATGGAGATTGTTTCGAATTCGGGGGGTCTGCAGTTGTCAGTATAAACAACATACATAGTCGTGCATGACTATGGGGGGTATACTTGGTGACGTTGAGCAAGCTTCCGGGGATAGGCATGATGAAGATGAAGTTATCGTCAGGTACAGATACGTGAGGCAGGTAACAAGCAGTTATAGTAATAATGATATGATGATAATCAATCTAGGCAGGCAAACTATCTTGTAGAAAATATTGATTGTTTGTCTCCATCAAAAAACAGTCATTCACCATCCAACTCGAGGGATGCTCCTATCTCTCATATATATAGACATCTGCACCCTCCATTTTGTCTCCTCCTCCTGGAAACAAAAACAGAAACAGGAAGGAATCAATCCTTATCAGCAGATCCCATACCCCCTGGACCGCGGCCATTATTGCAATGCAATCCTGTCCTATCATGAGACCAGTATCTCTATCACGTTCGTGTTCGTATCTATCTGCCTCATCTGTCCGTCCGTGAAAGGGAATGATATGCCATTCTGTGATTGCAGTAGATACCGCAGGCGATAGCAGGAGGAGAGAGCAAAGCAAATCCCTGATGAGTCCAAGTCTGTATGCAAATCGTTGTTCTGTAAGTAGATAGAGATATACGGCATGCAGCATGCTGTAGCTTTGTGTACAGTACTGTACAGTCCATGTAACAAGATGTAATTGAACAAACGCCGGAACGAGGCTGTAACGTAATCAACCACCGAGCGACGAATACCACCGAGCGACGAATTTTCCTCCACCCTACCACTTCCTTTTTTCAACGCGTCATTTTATCACCACCACTATCAAAAATGCCTTTATCTCAAGAAAACCGAATTCAAATGGCTATTGCAGCTTATAAAAATCAAAAAGTCAAATCAATACTGAAGGCTGCAGAGTATTTTTGGGGTGCCTGAGGCTACCCTTCGCGCTCGCCTTAAAGGAAGACAACCACGCGCAGAAACACGTGCTAATGGCCATAGATTAAGGCTATTGAAGAGGAAACACTTATTCAGCGATTACTAGAGGCAGATAAACGAGGTTTTCCAATTCGGCCAGAGTTTCTGCGTTCAATGGCACAAATATTACTCCGTGAGCGTCTACAGGATCCTACTGCAGTCCTTGGCATCAACTGGGCTTATAAATTTGTCAAGCGCCATCCTGAGCTGCGTACAGATATATCGAAGGATTACATACCAGCGTGCAAAGCAGGAGGATCCAAGAGTTATAATACCATGGTTTCAAGCTGTACATGCAGCTATTCAGGAACATGGCATACATGAAGATGACATCTGGAATTTTGATGAAACTGGCTTTGCAATGGGGCTCTGCTCAACCTCCAAGGTTATTACTGCAGCAGAACGCAGTGAAAGGCCTCGTACAGTCATCCAGGGAAACCGTGAATGGGTTACAATCATTGAGACTGTGAGCTCAAAGGGGATTCATATACCACCAGTGATTATCTTGAAAGCAGCATCTCAACAGGCTGCTTGGTATCAAGAACCTACACTTTCCAAAGACTGGTGGATTGCAACTAGCGAGAATGGCTGGACAACAGATGAAATAGGCCTTCGCTGGTTGAAAGAGGTGTTTGAACCATATTCCAGACGCTATACAACTGGTGCAAAGCGGTTGCTTATTCTTGATGGCCATAGTAGCCATTTAACTGCAGAGTTTGATACTTTCTGCAAGGAGAATGCAATTGTCTGTCTTTGCATGCCTGCACATGCCTCTCATCTCCTGCAACCACTTGATGTTGGTGTTTTTGGCCCGCTTAAGCGCGCGTACGGAAAACTGCTTGAAAAGAGAATGATTGCTGGCAACAACCATATTGACAAGGAAGACTTTCTATCCCTATATCCATCTGCTCGTGCAGAAGTGTTTACTCCAGACAATATATGCAAAGGCTTTGCAGGAGCTGGACTTAAGCCACTTGATAAAGAGCGGGTTCTTGCAAAGATTACCTTTCAGCTTCGTACGCCAACACCACCAGCTTCAGTTGAAAGTTCAGTCTCCTCTGCTTTCAAACTCCTCAGAATCCTCACCAGCTGGATTACAAGGTTCGCAGCTTGCAAAAAAGCCTTAGTGCAAGAAAGCAAAAGCTTTCTAGCAGCCCAATGTCTCATATTCATCATCTTGAAAAGGCCGCGCAGATGGCAATGAATATGAACCTTCTTCTTCGAGATGAAATTAGGACTCTACGAGCTGAGACTGAGCGGAAAACTCGAAAGAAGGCAAGAAGGCGTGCTATTCTAGGTAATGATACCCTTTTATCTGTACAAGAAGGCCAAAATCGCATTCAGCAGCTTGATACGCAGCTTAATGAGAAGCTTGATGAGCCTACACCTATGCCTCAACGGCGAGCTCCACAACGCTGCAGTGGCTGTGGGACTATTGGACATACCATAAGGAATTGTCCTAATAAATAGCTATATATTCAACTACTAGATAGTCTAATTTAATTGTATTGGTGGTTGAAAAGCTTCAAAATTATAGTGGGTGCGGCGAAAATTCGTCGCTCGGTGGTATTCGTCGCTCGGTGGTTGATTACGTTAATCAACAGAACCAACTAAACTCCGGCACTGGGCATCAAGCAATACATGGAACCAAATCCCGGGACGAAAGATACAGTCGACACAATGATACGTAATTACTGTAACAATGTACTGTACAGTTCAATGTCGAGGCCGGGTTCCAGTTGGGCGTAGGTAGAAAATAGCTCTGTCAAGGCAGAGTGATCAATGAACGCTCTTTAATTAATTAGACTTGTTTTTTTACGGTTCGCTCATACAGTGAAGATGGAATTGCATTAATTCTTGATCCATTGTATTTTTTGCTAAGTCGTAGTATATACAGTCTCGTATAATGGAAGCTGAACAAGCCGATGGTTTCTCAGATTGATAGGACCTGTCTTAAACATGGAGACATGTGTCTGTGACATTGCTAACAATCTAGAAGAGCCACGGTCCTACAGAGGAGTATAAATTAGTGCTCTGTCTGGCAAGATCTCATGCTACTATGGTGCCGTTTACCTCGAATTCCACCCTTCCCCGTCAGCCCCGTGTGTTGCTCCGTCGGCGGGATGTCGAGGATCTGGCTGTGGATGACGTTGATGGCCTGGAGGGCATGATCTTCGCGGACGACGAAGCTGGGAAAAGAAAATCAGTCGTGATATTCATCGTCTTCATCGTCTCCATTTCCTGTGTGTCTCTTTAAGAAAAGACTTACGAAATGTTGACCTGGCTTGCCCCCTGGCTGATCAGGTAGATGTTGATGCCTGCTCGAGCGAGAGTCGTCAGGATCTCAGCTGCATTAACAAGTCAGTAGAACCATCAGAATGAAACAGTGTTGAAAAAAGGACATCGTCGTAATACTAGTACCTCCTATCCCAACCATGTTCCTCATCCGCTGCCCGATGACGGATACGATGGACATTTTCTCGAGGATCGTCACCTAAATACATGCACAGTAATTAGGACACTGCTTCTCTGCGAAGGAATCGCATGGAAGAATACATTTCCCAGTGCTGTCAACGCAGATATCATATCGCCCGTCTTCGTCTCACAGTGGATGGCAAAACTCATCGACTGCTCGCTCGTGCACATCAGGTCGGGCACCACCTGCCTTGCTGCCAGGCAGCGCAGCACTTCGGATAGAAACTGGTACCGCTGGGTCGATCCGTTCGGGACGATGTTAATCACCGTGACCTCGTTTTTACTGGTGATGGCCGTGGGAGTCCGGCGCGACTGGTCGTCTCCGTCGTAGCCGTGGGCGTCCATGAAGGCGCGTCTGTCGGGTGATAGTCTTCTGGCGTTCGCATTCTCAGATGGATAAATCATCGTTCCGGGGCCCTGAGGCGATTTGACGTTTTTGATTCGCAGCGGAATGTTGGCGGATTGGAGGTGTTTCATTGTGAGGGGGTGAATGACCTGTACTCAGCAATTAATCAACTGTGGAATTGCTCCAGGCTACATATGTAAATACGACTCACCTCACTCCCATAGAAGGTCAACTCCATCGCTTCTTCCGGTGTGACCGTCGCCAGCAACCTCGCTGAGGGGACCTTGTTCGGATCCGCCGTGAAGATGCCATCGACCTCCTTCCAGATCTGCAGTTCTTGCGCGTTGACGCCGACAGCACACATGGCTGCGCAGAGATCAGAGTAGCCTCTCCCAACGGTCTGGATGAGAGAGTATGGCATCATGCCGAAGAATCCTGAGCGAGACGACGATCAGAATCACATTTCCGTCCCGACAGAAGGTGGATATATCTATCTATCACCCACCAGGCAGGACACAAATCTTCCCCACATGGCTCAACACCTTCTGTCCGATTTTCTGGGCAAGGCCGTTGTAGAATCCTGGACCAAGCTCGTCATATGCTGTTTTCTGTGCAGACAGATCGCTGCCGTACGTCTCCGAGACGATGTCATCCAGCATGATGAGCGCGGTATCAAAGCCCTAGTTATGATGTGAGGGAAAGGCTGATGGAAGATAGACACATGAGCGGATATACACACCCTTTTTGACAAGGAAGCTGCAACAATTCTCGACGAGAGCTTTTCTCCCGTGCTGATGATGCGATCTCTCGATCGTGGAGATAGTTCCCCGACTGTCTGTATGCATAGACTCCATTAATGCACTGGCCGGAAAACAAAAAAGGAATAAGAAAGGAAATACAAGATTTGTCATATTTCTCTCACCTTTGCCGCATGCAAAAACCCTCGAATCGCCTCGCAATCAGCCACAATCTCTCGCTCGAGCTGCGTCAGCAGCTCTATATCATCCAGCGACTCAGCCACATTGCCATCAGCAGTCTTTCTCAAAGCCTCCCGTGCAGCAAGCCGATGCTCCTCAATAAGTCGGTCGATGACGTCGTCTAGTACGCTCTCTGATTGCGGCCCCGTTCCCTCAGCCAGAGACGCTGCTTGGAGGAGCAGACTCGTCGTCCCGGTTGATTTGTCCTTGCCCGATCGGGCGGAGCATATCACGGCGATGTTGTTGGTATTGTTCTTGTTCTGGTTTTTGTTCTTGTTGTTGCGCTGTGCCTGTGACTGCACTCCGAGATAGTAGCTAGGAATGATGTCTTCTGTGATAGTGTCGAGGAGCTTTCCGATGCTTGTTCCGCCGAACTTTTGCACGAGCCATGGTAATGACGAGGGCATTGGGGGGAGTCTCGTTTGTTGGTCGTTGAAAATATGGTTATATGGATATGGATGTAATGACAAGTTTGCCCGCGTGTTTGAGCCCTGCTTCCTTCTTGTACACTTTTGCTCTGCTTATTGATTTATTGATTTATTTAGTCATGTACGTTCACCAGCAAGACTAGGAATATATACGGATCCGTACAGTACGGCTGTCTCTCTGCAATCTTCCCATGCTGTTACCGTGGTGGTACCGGATTTAGGGCTAAGGCTGGCATTCTCGTTGCTGTCCTGGTTTTGCTCACACCCAGGCCTGTAAAAGACTCTATCAATTATTAAAAAATGGACTAATTGTCTTGTCTTATCTTTCTTATCATGACAGCATAGCACAGCATCATATCTGAGTCACGGAGATAGTAATAATCTTAGTAGTAGACGACGATCTGGGTTTTGTGCAAATCCTGATAACACAGACGGGAATATTGCGGGATTTCTCTTCTCGTCTGATCTGGTCCCGGGATATGTATGAGATAGGCGACAAGCTTTCGATATCAGACTATTCATCGACTTGACTTATCAGTAAACTAGAATGCTGATCAGTCCATATGGGCTCGCAGAGCGCGGGTCCTCGTAAAAACCGCTGATCCGCTGATTTATTCATTTCCATGGTAGAGATTACCTTCCTGATTGGGTTGCTTCGGTCTGATGAAAGACGTAGAGAGAAGGAAAGAGGTTTAATCACAGTTACTTCAAGATATCTAATGTCGGCTGACAGTGTTTAGGAATTTCGTTTATAGTACCTTTTTTTATTGGTTCTTTCTTTGTAGTTGAGTAAGATCATGGCCTTCATTATCCATTTCTACGTAGGAATAGATCACCCTCTGCCCGCCTACTAATCAATCTGACTCCATCTCCCCAAACACACTGCTCTTCACACGCGGATCCATCCCCACGTCCACAAGAGCCGGCTCCCCCTCGTAAAACTGCGGAAACCTATCCTTCAAGTACCGCGAGATCACCTCGTTCAGCATGTCAAACTCGAGCAGGAACCCGTCGTGGCCGTCCTGCGACGGAACCACAACGAGTTCTGCGTCCGGTATCAGAGCGGCTAATTCCGCCTGCTGCTCGAGCCGGAAGAGTATATCACTCTCCACGCCGATGACGAGCGCTTTGGATGGGAGTGAGCCCAGAATGGTGGACACGACTGTGGAGTCGTCTGCTGCTGCGTCGCATCTTCTCCCCCGTGCCACGTCGTGCAGATCCATCTTGTCAATTAGATGCAGATAGCAGTTTGCGTCGAATCGGCAGAGGAATTTTTCTCCTTGGTATTGGAGGTAGCTCTGGGCGGCGAAGCAGGGCTTTTCGTCTGGACGAGGAGACGGCTTTTTGGTTATAGACTCGCCGTTGGTTACGATGCCACTATTGCCATATGTATATGTCTTTACCTCGGCTGGCTTCCTCCCAAAGCGTCGCTCAAACGAGACAGAACTCCGGTACGTCAGCATCGCCACCTGTCTGGCCGTCGCGAGCCCGGCATAGGGCTGTCCTGCCGGGTCAGGGTTATAATATCCCCCGTGGTAGGCAGGATCAGCGCGAATGCAGTTGCGCTGCACTGCAGACCAGCTAATGCCCCAAGCACTCTGTCGGGCTGCCGTCGCAATTGGGATGATGCTTTTCACGTAACCGGCTGGTGTGCACAGAGGCCACTCGAGCGTGGCCATGCCTCCCATTGAACCGCCGATCACAGCGGCGACTGAGGCGACGCCTAGCGCGTCGAGGACGAGTTTCTGGACGCTGGAAGTAGTCAGTATAGGCAAAAAAAAAAGAAATAGAAATAGAGAGAGAATTATCATGGGATCTCAACGGAGTACTTACCGCACGTCATCTCTGACGGTAGTCTGCGGAAACCCAGGCCCGTACGGAGATCCAGTCTCTGGATTCAGCGTCACCGACGACGCCGATCCATACGGCGAACCCAGCATATTGGCGCAGAAGACGAAGAAACGCGAGATGTCGAGGGCGAGGCCCTGCCGCGGTCCGATGGCAGGCCGCCACCAGTCCTCGATATCGCAGCTGCCGGACAGCGCATGGCAGACGACGATGACGTTGTCGTGGTTGGCGTTCAGCACGCCCCAGGTCTTGAATGCAATGGGGAAAGAATGCAGTTCCTGCCCGGATTCTAGCGTGAAGGACGAGATAAGGGCGTATCGCTGGTCGTGGACGAGGTTGGAGTAGTAATTCGGAGAGGGATTGTAGTCGAGGACTGGATTTCACAAGATCAGCATATTCCATAGTATATATATGTGTATGAAGATGGTGTAAACAGTCCTTACTTTTTGCCATGTTGTGCCGTCAATCATAAATGCTGCCTGTTGTCCGTCGTCCATGATGGTTGACACCAGCACAGACAGCCTCTACACATATACAGAGATAGGACAGCATCCTGTCGTTGGCTATTTTTGATCATACATACAACCGAATAGCAGCACGAGCTGATCCCTGCTGCGATTTTCTTGTTTGTTGTCCCTATCAGCAGATCCCGCTGACTTTCCCCCGGGATCTGACGGCGCAGCGGGGTATGCCACTATCTCGCCAGGGGATGGATTCTAATAGATTGATCGCACGCATTAATTAAAGTATTGCATCCAGCAATCAATTGAATCCCTCTATCAGTCAATCACATGCCGAGCTGAAATGGCAACAACCAGCAGAACTGTCAAAGTGGCCGCCGTGCAGGCCGCTTGCGTCGCGTTCGACCTCGCTGCCAGCCTGCGCAAGCTGGCCCAGCTGACGCGCCAGGCAAAGGATGCCGGGGCTAAACTGGTTGTGTTTCCGTAGGAGATCTCTCCTTTTCGTTTGTTTACTTTCTTTTATCTATTGGCATCATTGCGACTGACTGACTGATTGAAATGAGATAAACACAGAGAAGCCTTCCTCTCTGCTTATCCGTGGGACTACAATTTTGGCGCTTCGATAGGGTCGAGAACGCCAGAAGGTATGTCTCTCTATATATAGATATATCTCTATCTGTTAGTAGTCTAAGGGCATGGATGTGCGTCCGTCCAGGACGGAAATGGTACGCTCGATACTATGACAATGCCGTCGCCGTGCCATCCGCCGAATACCACAAGCTCAGTCTCGTGGCCAAGGAGAATGCCGTCTTTCTTCAGGTTGGCATCGTCGAGAAGGCCGGGGCAACGTTGTATTGCACGACGCTGCTTTTTGCCAGAGACGGGAGTCTCCTGTCCTCTCATCGGAAGGTATTTATTTCATTTACTTCTGTGTTTTCTTCTTCTTTTTTTCTTTTGTTTTTTCTCTTTTTTGGTTCTTGCATTGATAACATCAAGCTCATCCCAACCGCCGCCGAGAGAATCGTCTGGGGCCGCGGAGCCGGCGATGGACTCAACGTTGTAGAGACGGAAATTGGCAAAATCGGCGGTCTGATCTGCTGGGAGAATTATATGCCTGCTGCGAGGCTGGCGCTGTACCAGCAGGGTGTGGAGTAAGTACATACATACAGGAGGATAAGTTGTATTTTCGAACTACATATACTGACTTGTTCAGAATTTATACCGCTCCCAACGCTGATGATCTCCCTGCGTGGATTGCCTCGATGCAGCACATCGCCAAGGAGGGTCGATGCTTCGTCATATCATCGAACCAGTTTCTCAGAGTATGTAAATCCACATACAAACGACATGTTTCAGGGCAATTATTTAATACTTTCTTGTCATAGATCTCCGACTTCCCCGCCGACTATCCCCCGTACAGCGAAAAGCGCCAGGCAGGACAGACAGACCACATCGTCAGCCATGGCGGTTCTTGCATTTGCGGTCCCCTGGGCAATATAATTGCCGGGCCCGTATGGGACAAGGAAGAGATCGTCTATGCGACTCTCGACATGGCGGAGTTGACTGAGGCAAGGGTATGCCCGCACCCTGTCATCTATCCCTTGTACAGCACACTGGGAGTGACGCTGGGACTAATACTTCGATGCCACAGATGGACTTTGACGCTGTGGGAAGCTACGCCAGGCCGGATATCTTGTACGTTGCACTCCTGATTGATGGTACCCTTTGTAAAAGCCATTTTGGATGCGTGAGATTTCTGACCAGATGATCTTTGTAGTGAGTTGAAGGTCAACACGAAACCGGCTTCGAGTGTTACATTTGTCGAAAGCGAGGATTAGGTAGGTAATCTAATCTAATTAGCCACGACATCATATGATATGATAATTCCTGACTATTGTACTAAAATGAATGTGATTGAAATTCCATCTGTTGTTGGAGGGTTTTACCCTTAAAAAGACTAAACAAAAAAAAAGGACTATCTTTTCTTCTTCCTCTGCCAATCTTTCCTGTGTTTCTCATTCATTGGGTTTCTGCGTTGTTCGACTGTGGTAACTTATTTTTTTTGGTCAACTGGAGAAGATAAACCAGCTGATTCATAGTAGTTAGGTAACATCACTTTTCTAGCTAAGTGAAAGATTTCTGGCACTTCTTTATCACCCTTGACACTTCACCTAATCATGGAAATATTGAGCATGAATCTGTCCAACATCGTCCAGGATAACAGTGAACTTCCAGTGCAGCAACCTCTTGCGTCGTGTCGACTCCTGCTTTCGATTATTGTCATTTTGTTTTTTGAAGATATGGTCCCCAGTATCGCACTTATAGCCTGGTTGGACTTTCTGCATGTACCTCCCTAGATTCATGAATGTCATCTTTCTGCATCGCACATATCCCGTCTGGACGGCCTATTGATTCTGAAGAATTGACGAATCCTATCCGCAAACCTAACCGAAGATTTGACCGTGGGCGCCTCTTCAACCTCCTCTGTGGGTGACTTGCCGGGGTTCTGATGCGAGACGGCGGCAGGATTTTGGTTTATATTGTTGATGGTTTCTTTCCCTTTATGGTTCTCCTGCTGCGTAGGTTTGGATCCGGGATTGACTGCCTCTTCCTTCGCAACGTCAGGCTTGTCTGTCCGGTCCTGTTGCGATTTTATTTTCACAACCCCCAACTTCCGCAAGATCTCAACTACCAGAAACAACACAATGTGCCACTCAGAAGGCTCTGCGTTCGCCCGATCCGGTCGGAAACTGGTAAAGCTTTTGCCCTTGGCGGCCCACTTCTCATCGGGATCATCCACCATGCGACGGATGATGGAACGTTTGCTTGCACGATATAGAGTCTTGACGAAAAAGAAACGGCATTCTCCAGATTCGAGACCAGTAAATAGGTAGTAAGGGCGATAAGAACTGCTGTAACGGCAAATGCTGAGGTGCTGTAGCTCTCATTGATGCTCCAGAGAGCGGCGCAGAAACTGAGTGGCAAGTAGAATGTGCTGACATAGGTGAGCAGTTTCAAGTTTTCTCCAAGTCGAGTTGATGCACGGCTCTCGATCACGCTGCTGGCGTTGAACAACTGTTCACCCACAGTATCTGGTCTAGCTCAGTGTGAATATACTGTACTTACCCCCTCCCTTAGAGCAAGTGTCTTGGTGTAAAATGCCTCGAACTGCACACGGTTATCCTTGAGCCGGTTCAGCTGAGTGTTGATGTCCTGCAAGTATACATCAATCTTGCAAAACCTGTCTGCAAGCTATTTGTTGTTCTCCAGATCTACATTTTTCAATTCTACTTGTTCCCATGTTCGGATTACCTGTTCTCGCGCTGCCCAAAAGTCCTCCCACTCCCGTATCGTGTCAGCGATCTCCGTCTTGAATACTTCCAGGCTATCCACTGCCCAGAAGTATTTGCGGGATCTAGAAAATGTATTATCGTCGAACAACAGTGCATCATGCTTATCTGGGTCTAAAATCGGGTTCTCATCATCCAGCATTGATTTGAAGTGAGTTTGGATTTCCTCCCAGGCATTTGCGGCTTTCTGGGGACCATTTGAAATCAGAATCAAAATGGTTGATGCGGGAGTATGATAACAGCCAAACCGCAAATCCATGCCAGATGGGGTGAGGAGAAGAATCGTCCAGTAATTATAATGCAGACGTGCGACAGAGGAGGCATCATTAAACATCGGCACGGTTCTAAATGGTGGAGAAAATGGTAACACGGCCATCGTAAAAGCAGCTTCTTGGATGAACGCCTCCTTCTTGCTACCATACAGTGGGCCTGACTTCCAGGAGGACGTCTTCAGTGCTTCTTTCCGCGCATCTCTTATGATCTGAAACCAGATGATGTGGAACGTTTTCCATCTAGACAGATGGAGATTTCCCGCTCGTTGAGTTCTGCTACAAAAGATATGCGAATTGATTGTCTCCCGAATTATAGGACCCGAGGACTCTGCATTTTGTAGCCGGCCCTGCCGCCAGCAAATTAGGAGACTCCATATCCTTTGTGCATGTTGGAGTCTACGGCGGCTTGTGTTGCCGGATAGTGCAGGGCCCATCACAGACGCAAGTCCTTCAAAACAAACTATTCGGTACCATTGACGACAGTCGCGAGTACTTAACCAAATTGGTCTGCAGATCACGTTTTTTTCGTCTTTCCGATTCTGCTCACGATCAGAACCTTCTTCCCAGCTGCCTGACAGCTCGCATCTTCCAGGACGGATTGCTAAATGGGATTGTTCTGCAAAAAGGGCATGACTTGCAGCCATCCAATACGGAGGCTCCTTTTCCAAGGTCTGGTTTCATCCAAAGTTCCTGTTGTAAGCAAAAGGTTGCAGGTTTCGGTCAAAGTCCCTGACGAAAAAGTACCCGTTCTTCCCATGGAGCTCCTCGAAGAACGCTTTGATTCGTCGAAGATAGTTGTAAATTTTGCCTGAGGCACATTTCACACGTAGCTCGTTTCTTTCAAATGATAGCGGGAGTCTGTCATCCGGAGGGACCGAGTAGAGATCTCCAAGGCACTGCTGCAGCAAATCCCAGTTAACAGTGATACCAGTTGAGGCAATTGGTGTGAGAATGAGGCGTGACGGTGGCATGAAGGCATATGGAACTTTGATTTGTGAGGAGTTTATTAACCTCTCAGAAAATGGAATAGGACACGACATTTCACGATCGTCGATATGGTACAGTTGGCCATTGTGCTCACGCAGTTCCCAGGGAGGTATATAGTCCGGACGGCCAGCAGCGTGATCTGAATTCTGCTTGTCCTGGTATACTGGTGTCCCTGTTCATACCGTCAAGTCAGTGTCACAGGCGCTGTTCACCATGGGAAATGCACATACAGTACTTCCAGTTCCCATCTGCTGTGCCTCTTTGAGGCGGACCATCGGAACTGTTCAAAGGCTCAAGAGATAGAAAATATTTTGACTCAGACTCCTTGGGGTAGAAGGCTACACGACGTCTGAGAAATTCACTCTCTTCCTCTGCCTCCTCATCTGGCAAAGCAGAAACTTGGTTGGACAAGTCGTCATTCCCGCCCTCATGGTTGTTGCTCCTATTCTTGTCATTATCAGCCAGGGAAGGCGAGGTTTTGCGGTCTTCTTTGTCAGGTGCAACTGCCGTCAGGGCTGCAACAAGCTTCTGGAGAACGGCATTCTGCTGCTTCAGTGAGTCCTGGATCTCCGTCAACAGCGAGCCCAGATCGGAAGTTTTGGGTGCTGCACTCATCTTCGAAGCCCGTAGTCTGAAAAAAAAAAGGCATAACATTCGTACTCAAGATGAGCTCAAGGACTGGTTCTTATTATTGACTGCATGACAGCTGCCATGCCCCTCTGAAGGTCTACCCCCTGCATTTGTTGGCAAAGGCCATCAAATGAGATGTTCCAACTTATCAGTTCTTGTAGCAAGGCTGAGCTGCTCCCAATTCTCCTGTGTCACATTGCTCGTGAAACAGCAAAGATCACAACCAGTCCAGTTGTGAATATTACTCGAGTCGACAAGTCACTTATGGATCTGTCTTGAGTTGGTCACTAATAGTGTGGTAGAGTACATGTACCAGATACTTCAACAGGAAGCCTATGAGGAATATTCGATATTGGAGTACGATCTTTGTCTGTTCAGACTGCAACGGTAATATTCTGCGTTGAGAATACGGGAAATGGGTTATTACTCTTTGTGATATTTTTTTCTCAGTTAGTTATCTCCATGATGAGCTATACATCACGATTTTGGTATGAATCATAACCAGGAGTTGATGTCTGCTGTCTGTTCGTTTAGTTTAAACTTTGCTCCAGACATCAAGTTACAACGCTAATCGTAGTTCTTAGTGCGATCAATTGACTTTGCAGATTTTATATGACTTCCTGAAAATGATACGCAGACTACGTAGGTCTCAGAAATATATGGTACTATAGATAGATGTAAGATGTAGATATAGAGCTCTAGCTTGGTGACGGAGAGAATGGGAACATGCCCTAGCCGCTAATGCCTGGATCTGGCCGCTAGGCCAATAAGCTCCGTCGAGACAGCATTACTCAAGATTCTTATTCTTATTTTGCACCGATAGGAATGCAATCTTCAAGCTAGATAGGAACTGTAAAACAGGTTCATTCATTTTGAAATCATTTAAACGACTAATTACAGAAATTCAACCACTTCTTAAGGTGGTCGATCGTTCATCTCGTGTTTTGCACTCATTAAGAGCCTCCCTGCAGTGTACTTTTCCCCTCCTCAATATTCTCACCCTCGGCACCTCTCCCGTGATCGTTGCGGACGGCATCCTCGGCCTGGCGCATGAGCTCATCGGCCTGCTCCCGAGACGGCTGCAGCTTGCGCCTCACATAGATATTGACTACCGGCACCCGCAGCAAGAACGACACGATCTGCTTCTTCAGCGGCAGCGAGCCTGTCTTCGCTTCGTAGAGCATGCATCCGATTACCAGCATGAGGAAAATCCAGTACACGTTGTAGGAGATGACGGAGCCGTACGTGCCCGTGTTCTGCCACCCCAGCACCGCATTGAACACGTCCCATCCGTTGTCGATCTCCGGATTGCAGCAATTGACGTGCCAGACGGTCTGGGTAATGTCGTAGGAACCGGGACCGTCGCCTTCCTCCCCAACATCACTGCCGACCTTTTGGACAAAGGTATTGAATTGAAGGTACCAGATCGCCTTCGAGAACATGCCGGCCGCGATGAGATACAGGACGCTGGTGGAGGCGATCAAGAAGATCTGGATTGACATGGCGTTGCTTCCCCGGTAGATGAGATAGCCCACGGTCAGCCCGGCAATCAGACCGCAGATGACGGGCAGGGGGAATGCAGTCGCGGGCAGGCCCAGAGACACGCCGCCGACAAAGACGACGGCCTCGACGCCCTCTCGCAGGGTGGTGATAAACGGCAGGAAGAACATGACGTATCTGCGCGACCATTCGCCCAGGATGGTCTTGGAAGAGCGGGAGTGGCTACGCTCAGCGAGGGCCTTGGCGATCTTGACCTTCCACTTTTCTTTCGTCTTGTTGATCCGCAGCAGAGCCAGACCCATGACGGTGATAATGACTGTAGCAATCAGGTAGAAAATGCCCTCCCAGAGGTCCTCAGACTGCGACCAGATATCCCTGCCCAGGCCGTAGAAGACACCGATGAAGGCGCCGCCGATGACCAGGCAGATGAACACACCACTGAGGGAGCCCACCCAGACCTGTCGTACCAGGCGTTTATAGACCTTCTGGTCCTGGTCGGGCTGGCCGAGGCATTGTTTCAGGAAGGAGAGCAGGACAGAGACGACAATGACGGCCTCGAGGACCTCGCGAAAGACGATGAAGAAGATCTGGACGGCGAAGACGTTGGCCATGGCGGGCAGTATTGGATCAGGGCCACTGCTCACGAGGCAGATGGACTTCGGGCAGGACGCGGGCAGGCCAGCAGGTAAATAAAGACGTGGTCGACCCGCGTGGGGAGACGAGCTGCTCGCCTGGGATGGGCATCGCTCCTGCCTCGGTAGGCAGGTCGCAACTCGCACCTGCCCTCTCGTGGGTTTTTGTCTGCATGGTCTCCACCCCTGCAGCTGCTGGCCAATGGATCGTCACGGCGGCTCCACCGGCCGGCGCGTGATTGGCGGTGTGTGGGTGGAGCCGCGCGATTATCAGATTAGATGCTTCTTGATTGATAACTGCGTCCCGTCGGGCCCCGATATCGCTGCAAAAAAATCCCGCGAGGAAGCAGCGACCGGCTGTGCGGCAGTCGGGTGCGACCTGCCAGAACGGGGTTTGCGGAGCAAAACTACCAGCATGGGGATTGCATTCGTCAATTCGTTCAGCCTGGACGGTCGTCATGCCTGTCATGTCGATGTGCGGGTTCAATGCCATCGCCAAGAGCGCTGGTGGGATCTGATAATTTTCCTTGGTCGCTTAAAGTTATCTGATCCTGCGGCCGGACGCCGTGTGTTCGGAAGAACAATAGCGCTGTGACCTCCTCCAGCACGCTCTACACTGGTCTGGTGGGTCGGACGATCGCCGAATAATGGGGGGAAAAAAAATCTTGGATAGTGCTGAATGAAGCGGAAAAAATCTTAAGACAGCCGCTGTCAGCGCTGCCATTGCTGTCGCCCCACGGCCCCTCGTCGCCTCGTGTTTCCCTGCGGACGCATCTGATCCGATTGTCATTACCAGGCATGCCCTCGTCTAACCATCACCACAGCCGGTGAATATTGACCTTCCTCAACTGTCCTAGCCAGAACTTTCCTTTCTCGCGCTGCAGACTCCGTTCTGTCATGTCGTCAATCGCTTAATAGCCCCCTCAGCCGCCCTATCTCCTCGCAGACTGCCGCATTCCTGATCCCAATCTCTCTCGTCTTGATCAGCAGTCTCCTGCGAAATGGCACTGCTCCTCCGGAGTGTCCTTTTCGCGCTGGCGGTCCTGCTGGTCGCCTGCCACGCGAAGACAGTCACCTACGATTTCAATGTCACCTGGGTCACCGCCAACCCTGATGGCTTGCAGCCGCGAAAAGTCGTTGGCATCAACGGCCAGTGGCCGCTGCCGGTCATCGAGGTCGACAAAGGCGACCGCCTGGTGGTGAACATGTACAATGGGCTGGGCGACAAGAGCGCCAGCATCCACTTCCACGGCATGTACCAGAACGGCACCAACGAGATGGACGGTCCGTCGATGGTGACCCAGTGTCCCATCCCGCCTGGCGCCAGCTTCACCTACAACTTCACCGTCGACCAGAACGGCACCTACTGGTACCACTGCCACACCGACTACTGCTATCCTGACGGCTATCGCCAGGCCCTGATCGTCCACGACCCGGACGCCTATTTCCGGGACGAGTACGAGGAAGAGTTTGTGGTGACACTGTCGGACTGGTACCACGATCTGGTCGAGGACATCGCGCCCAGCTACCTGTCGCTGTACAACCCGACGGGCGCTGAGCCCATCCCGAACTCGTTCCTGTTCAACGACACCCTCAACTCGAGTCTCCCCGTCAAGCCTAACACGACGTACCTGATCCGGCTGATCAATATCGGCGCATTTGTGGCCCAGTACTTCTACATCGAGGACCACACGTTCCGCATCGTCGAGATCGACGGCGTCTACACGGAGCCGGCCGAAGCGGACACGCTCTACATCGCCGCGGCCCAGCGCTACTCCATTCTGCTGACGACGAAGAACACGACAGACCGGAACTATGCCATCGTTACTGTCGCTGACTCGGTGTTGCTGGACACGATTCCGCCGGACCTGCAGCTCAACAACACCAACTGGCTGGAGTACAACGCGGACGCGCCACACCTGCCAGCGAACATCACAGTCGACCAGGCGCAGGACCTGGTCCCGTTTGACGACATTACGCTGGTGCCATCCGACCACATGCCGCTGCTGCCGGAGCCGGACTACGAGATCAACGTGACGGTGTACATGAACAACATGCTGAACGGGGTCAACTACGCGTTCCTGAACAACATCACCTACACGAAGCCGAAAGTGCCGACGCTCTACACGGTCATGTCGGCGGGCGAGCTGGCGACCAACGAGGAGGTGTACGGCGAGTACACGCATCCGGTCGTGCTCAAGCACAACGACGTCGTGCAGGTGGTGCTGAACAACGGCGACACGGGCTCGCACCCGTTCCACCTGCACGGGCACAACTTCCAGGTCATTGACCGCGCTCCGTCGTACGGGCCGTCGTTCTACGACTATCTGAACGGGGACCCGGTGCCGTACGACCCGAACAACCACTCCGCATTCCCGGCCATGCCAGCGAGACGAGATACGTTTGTGCTGCCGCCGCAGGGGTACTTTGTCATACGGTTTGTGGCAGACAACCCGGGAGTGTGGTTCTTCCACTGCCATATCGACTGGCACCTGGCGGCGGGACTGGGGATGCTGATGATCGAGGCGCCAACGCAGATGCAGCAGCGGTTGTCGATCCCGCAGCAGCATTACGATGCGTGTCGGGCAGCTGGAGTGGCGTATGAGGGGAATGCAGCCGGAAACACGAAAGACCTGCTGGACCTGAGCGGGCAGAACGTGCAGCAGCCGCCGTTGCCGGATGGGTTCACGGGAAGGGGGATCGCCGCGCTGGTGTTTTCCATCATCACTGCTCTGTTGGGTATTGCGACTATCGTTGTGTACGGGTTGACAGACCTGCAGTACAAGCAGAAGCCTGACAAAGCTGACAAGCCAGCTGACAAACCCGATGCGCCAGCTGAGACGGAGAAGGAAATCCCCAAAGGCAGCAATATTAACGAAAATGAGAAATAGAAATCCTTTTTCCATTGCTTTGAATCGCTATGTATATGCCAACGAGTAATATGATTTTTTTTAAAAAAAAAAACTGTTTTTATTGACACAAATTCACTGATGAATGAATGATCATCCATCCTGTAAACAAATCCCTGAATACATATCTTCTGTGGAAGCAAACTAGCTATTCTAAGCGCCTCGATGTGATATATCAGATTGATACTGTAGTCACCGTATCTTTTCAACCACCAGCTACGTAGACAAAAAACCAAAAAGTAGGAATGATTTTGCGCGTAGACCTTTTAGTACTGTTCTAAAGGATATATGTATGTGCCCCCTGCCATGCATGAAATATAAATATAGATATGTCGTTTCCAGAGAAGATCCTTCTTGCCCATCTCATCATCGTATGTTAATACACACATATAACTTAGCCTTATTATCTACTCTCCTTGTCATCTCTCTCTCTTTTATTTTTTTTTCCCATTCTGATGAACAAGGGAGCGTGCAATGCACTATATAGGTTGAATACTGGCATCTTTTTACTAATTAATTAGTAACTAGCTGGCTTGTTTAGCCAGCCCTAACCAGGAGAAGGAGAAAAGAAGAAATTTTTTTTTGGTTCACCTTCAGAAGTTTCTTTCTTTCTCTCTCATCTCATCTGAATTTTAAACTGTGTTAATTAATTATTTAATACATAAGATTATCCTGGCTGCTATGTACTGCCCATAATTAGGTAATTAATGCTCTGCACAATGTAACCTATATTAGGTAGTTATTGCTTTCTAACAACAGACGGACGACCTAAATTTCTGTGCTATTATTAGCACTGTGTCACGTCGATGTTGACGTTGTCAATTGAATCGTGACCTAAATACTATACTTTAGTTCTAGTTAAGAATGCTTTTCATCAATCAGTCAAACCTAGCTAGCTAGCTAGCTAGTAGGTAGGAAGAGGTAAGGTATGAGAATGATGCATGTACTCAATATAACTTAAATCTTGATATAACTACTGCTGCGGAACTGGTTAGTTATCTGGTAGATCCTGCAGGATTCTGTATTTATTTATTGTTATTATATTCTCTTGGGCAAGGACTGGTGACTACTGTCGTATTGTCTAGTGTTTGCCTAGTAGGTAGAAAAAAAAATGCAGTACCTGCAGTATATATCTACCTTCTAGAACTAGTTTCTCCAGTTTTTTTTTCTCTTTCTTAATCCAGAATATATTCAAGATAAACAGGTAGTTAGTTAGTTACGCAGGCAGACAGCTAGCTCTTATCCTATCCTATCGTCTCATCGAACCACGCCTCTTTTTTAGTCTCGACCAGTTACGTCAGAGCGGCGTCGTACGTATATCCCTACCTATGTAGATACTAGGTAGCTACTGTAGGTACCTCCTGGTAGGTACCTTAGGTAGGTAATTCTCATCCTGACGTCTCTCTGACCTAACCTAACCACCTAGGAAGTACGGTACTGTGGCAGTGGCTGTGACAGTGGCGGTGGCATAATAATGTCCATACATACATACATACATAGAATCAAGCATATCAACCATACCGCATGACCTATCTACCATATAGCTAGAAGCATATTTTATTTCCCTTCCCCTATAAATCTGCATAAATCTACCTGTACATACATATCGTGCTTCGCACTTATTATATATACACCATCACAGGCAAAATGAACAAATCCTCCACCCTCCAATTCCGCGGACGCCTGCACGACCGCGCCCGCAAAGGCGAGCGCTTGACGGACGAGGAAATCGGCGAGATCACGCGTGAGAGCGCCGAGTTGGCGGGCGCGGATTCCGGTAGCTGTAACCAACCATTCAACCCTTCAACCCTTCTTTCTCCTTAGGAGATAATAGTTCAGTTTTACTGATATGTTTATGTTTGTGTGTGTGCCAGGGCCCACAGAAGAAGTCAACCCGCAACAGGCGCAGTGGGCTACGCAGGCGGATCAGATCCTTAGCAAGCCGGCGAATAGGATTAGTCGGGTGGATGCTAGTGAGTTGCATTCGAAGGAGGTCAGCCATCCAGTATTCCTGCATATGCTATATGGTTGTATTGGGGGTGATGCTGACTGGTTTGGTTGGCTGCAGGCACGCGCTTTTGAGAACCTCCCTGCTCAGGGATCTGTCGCGTCGCATGTGCAGTCTGTGGCGGATAGGAATGAGCGATAGATGGGATGTACCAGAGAGATGGAGAGAAGGTGATGAGTGTCCACGTATGTACGTACTAGTACGAGGACGAGTGCTTGTGTAGGTAGGTAGTAGGTATATAGTGAATGACGTGATGATTGATGAGCGTATCTAAGATAGTATCTATAGTGTCGATTCTAGCAACATATGTCTTCTTGATAGCAATAGTATTGTTTTGATGTTTCTGTGGGATAGAGTACTATTTTTTTATATAAAGAGGGGGAAAGTAAATGAAATGGGATGGATGCTTAATCTAGGATCGGCCAAATGGGAATATAGAAAATGGAAATGGGAATGGAATGGAAATAGGGAAATGGGAAATAGGAAATTATACTCAATAATAACCTCGACAGCATATGATGACATATACCTATTAAGTACATATGTAGTAACTAAACAAACCAGACAGAAGAATAGATAGAAGAATAGATAGAAGGATAGATAGAGAGAGAGAGATTAATTTCTGAGTGATTGCAGTATTGCTGCTGTTTCAAGTATTTAATATCGTTTTTGTTCTTGTCAAGCATCATCATTCGTCCACCTCACATTGGTGATTCTGATCCCTCACCACATACATCTCAACTGAACTAACTCAACTCTTACTATTTCATTTTCCCTCTTATCTTACGAAAAGAATGACCGAAAAAAAAAGGAAAAAAGGAAAAAAAAGTCACTTCAGGCGATTGATGTTCCCATCAATAATATTATATTCTTCTTCTAGCAACAAAAAAACTAGCGACTCATTCATTCTGGGATAAATAAATCAACAGATAAATAGGCAGACAGATAGTTATTAAGTACAAGTGATGAAAGTGATAATTAGAGACATGCTTGTCCTTCCTTCCTTCCTTCCTTCCTCTAGATCCTTTTAAACAAAAAACACATCACATAGTGAGATATAATGGCGATGCCTTAAAAAAACCCTCAATTAATCTCACTACGTCTACTCTTTCAGTTCCTCGTTTTTTTTTTTTTGTAGATTTAATGGATAATCTAATAATTAGTATTTATTGTCTTTCTTTTTTTTTAACCGGGTAATCACAAAGAAATGCTCCTCCAGTCTGCTCGACGATGCCTGCAGGTCCTGCAGGAACAAGCCGTGTGTTAAGAGCACATACTATATACAGAGGATTATTTATTCGTCTCCACGAGCTAGGAAGATTTTTGTAAATAAAATCAATAATGAGAACATGATGGACAGCTTGGTATCTATTAATTAATCTATTAGATGCCGATGCCGTGAGGAGGAGATGATTTCTTCCACCTAGTATTTTTACTACTTGTTTCCACTAGGAAAATGAAAAATGAAAATAAATAGGAAGAAGGGAGAAAGGTATTCTCTTTTCATTCTCATGGCACGTATCATCATCATTATTCTTGTTATTATTGTTAATTTTCTTCTCCCGATGAAGTCCACTAAAATGCCCACGGAGAAGCAGACACTATTTATTATAAAATAAAGATATTCTCTCCTAATTGATGAGTCTGCGGCTGGTAGCTACAGAGAAATGCAGTTCTTGCTATACATAGCATAGCATACCTAGCATACATAGTATACATAGTATACATAGTGTAGTGTATCTTCCTGCATGAGCAGGCATACATACATAGATAGATGTATTGATAGGAATTGAATGAATCCTTGATAGTTGTAATGTATGTACATACAAGGACAAGGAGAGCATAGACAGTGAGTAGACAGGATACCTTAGTACTCTCTTTCTCAGTCTGTTCATCAGTTTTTATTAACGTCATTCCAGAGGCATATATATGCCTACGGGGCTCTTCCTCTCGGTGTACTGTACAGAGTGATGGTATTACCTAGCTAAACATCTGGCTATATCCTGGTCATAATATTCTTGTTTATCTAAGTAGTCTCTTCACCTTCCTGGCTGTTGCGCTCCTCCTTCCCCAGACTCAACACCTCATACCGACACAGCATCTCGCATAGTGCCATGCTGCCTTGTTCTTGCTCTTGCTCCTGCTCCGACGTCGTGTCTGCCTGCGACTCCTCGTCTGTACCAGAGTCTCCTTCTGATTTTCCTGCCGACCCGCCGGATTCTCTAGCAGACGCGCCCGATTCTCGTCTTTCTGACGCCGCGCTCTCCTCCTCCTCCGTATCGTCCGACTGATCGTCATCCCGCAGTATCTCCTTCAGCTCCTCCGGTAGCTGGGACCGGGATAGCCGACGAGTCCCCCGCTTGCCGTCCCTGGTCATGGCCTGCTGCATCGACTGCTTGAAGATGGACCGCACCTCCTGCCCTAGCGCTGACCGGCCCGTGATGACCGAGAACGCAGACGCCAGCGCGACAAAGTCCGGGTCGAAAGGGTCGAATGTCGTGTCTGGCTCCTTCTCGCGGTCCTGGTCCCGCTCCCGATCCCCGCGCTGCTGCTGATGCTCCAGCAGCACGAACAGCGCTAGGTTGACTGCGTACAGCGCGAAGATGTGCGACCGGCTCATGCCGTACTCGTGCTGGTGGATCCGCACCAGCTGAGCGATTGCGCGCGCCGATGACACCCCGATCGATGTCGCTTCCGAACTGTCCATCATCCGCTCCTTCTGCTTCTCCTGCGTCTGCGTCTGCGTCTGCGTCTTGGGAGGATGCCGGAGGCCCCGCGGGCAGATGAACATGCTGATCAGGGTGGTATAATACCGTATACTACGCTTGTTAGTCTAGTCTCTTAGGACGGTGCCATGGTAGGCATATGACGACAGATAAAAAGTAATGCAATGGTGGAAAGGAGGGCATACTGAAGCAGGAGAATATGTGCTGCCGGCTTGTGAGACAGATCAAACTCGCTCGGCAGGCGATCATGCCACTCTTTCAAGCTCCGGTACAACGAATCGACCGTCTGCGAGAGCTGCTCCTTCTCGTCCAGCGCTTCGTCGTCGACAAACAGCTTGCGAGAGACTTCGCTCGCCATCTCGCTGAGTGTGCAGGCTTCGTCAAAGTACGTACTGTAGTATGCCGGCCGGGGAGGCCTGTTCATCGGATAGGGGATCCACGGCGCGGTGTCGTCTTCGAGCGGCGGCCGTCGTAACCGCTTCAGACGGACGTGCTTGATGCGGCTAGGCTTGAGAAACCCTGTATGGGCCACCCTGCGATCCTTAGCAACGAGACAGGTTGTGGCGCGCGCTGCAGAGCTTACGTATCCACCTGGTACAAACCCCAGACCGTCCTGGTGGTCGAAGTCGCGAGGTCCGCAGACTGCTCGGTGAGATCAATTCGGGTATCATCATCACCGACGTAGCCGAGACTCGTCGCGATGTCTATGGCTTTGTTGAGCATGGCGTAGCCCAGGTCATCTTTCCCGGACATGGAGTACCTAGATAAGTCAGTAGCAGTCCGGCACGACGAAAAGAACGGTCTCTCTATATTTCGTCTCACCTGTCGTAAAGAAGCAATGACCCCTGCAGAGTCGCCAATTTCACCTTGTCGCGCTCATCATGCCACAACCTCTCAGCTTCCTTGAGAAAGTCCGCTCCTTTCGTAGTCACATCTCCCGGAACAGCGTATGCTTCGGAGAACTCGGAGAAATGCTGTCTGAACGATCAGCTACAGTCTTGTTAAGAAGGGTCAGATGATTGGCAAGCTTACACACGCATTAGCCAAAATGGCATTCACCAGAAAAGAGGAACAAAACTCCGAGTCGAGCCTGCCGGCCATCATATGCTTGACAAACACATCGCGATCTAGAAACGCGTAAAACGGATAGTCCCAGGTAAAGTACAGCGACATCAGATGCGACACAAAGTCGTCGTCGTCGGTGACTTTGGTCCACGGCTTCGCGGGCACCCGGATGGGCGTCGTGTCGCAGAGAAAGTTGACGTCCATGACCTTGCGGCGGAAAGACGGCGTCGGGCCCTGCAGGTTGGCCCGTCGGCGTAGCTCCTTGAGCCGCACGGTCGTCTCGCGCTTCAGCTCGCCCGGAGGCGTCCTCGCCTGGATGTCGGCCAGGGTCTCGTCGATGAAGAGCCGGATCTCCTCGGGCGTCGCGTCGTTGCGGATGATCTCCAGCAGCTTCTGCGCGCGGGCCTCCTCCGCCGAGCGGATGAGTTTGAACAGGTCATTCAGCATGTCGCGATGATACTCCAGTTCCTCGGCCGTCCGTTTGGCGGCCACCCGCCGACGCTGGTCGAGCGACTCGTCGAAGATGCATTCACGATGCAGAGCGCGACAGTTGTCGCACGGAGGAACTCCCGAGCACTACGCGAGCGGTTAGCATGGCATTCTTCCACCGAATAGATCTCAAGCAAAGGTGACTCGCCTTACGTTTGGACTTCTTGCACGCCAGACAGGCAGTCGAGACCCTCTTTTTCCAACCAGGCGTCAGGTTCTTGCTTGGGGGACTTCCAGGAGGCCCGCCAACAGGCACGGACGGGCCCGGTGCAATGGGGCGGTAGTGCATGGGATCACTCATGTTGCCTTAGCCTCGACGCTCGAGATCGGCATCGTGCAAGGTACAGAAGGGTTCGAAAACATTGTCCAGACGGAATTCCGCTGTGTCTGCCTGCAGTGGCGGATCGCAGAGCACGACGCCATGACAGGAACTGGACAATCTGGTTACCCTTTGCCACTATCAGCTGCGTTAGATGACATGACGTAGTGATGGCATGACGTTGGTTTGATCTCAGCACGTTGGTTCCGGGGTTGCAATCCACGTCGCATGTTGATATCGCCGTACGATATATAGAGACGATCCACGGTGGATCCGATCTGCGGGTGACAATCCCGTCGACGCGCCACGCGGGTGATGCCTCAGGCAGAAACAACATTGCTTTTTGTCACTATTCCACTAGATCGTACACGACATGCGGAGATGCAGTCCTCCTGCATTCTTGGCGCCGAGATAAATCTAGAAATGACAGAGTCCAGGATCTTCGAGGGACACGTTAGGATGAGCTACTTCACTACGGATGCGATACAGCGGACAAGGCGTCTCTTCTGCTGACACGGCCAAAAAAAAAAACAACTGCTAAAACCGATGAATTGTATGATTAGAAACTGTTACCCTAAGCCTGAAGCTGTATGTAACAATAAGTCTGCGCTCCCCGGCGAGCTGCCCACAAATTCTCGCACTTTTTCTAGGAGGACGAGATCTCCCGGTCGAGATTATCCACCACGGCTCAATTCACCCTCTAAACCGTCTATACACATTACCAGTCACTCGCAAGTGTTTGACCAAGACAGAAGAAATAGCGAAAGGGCACGAATTAAAAGTTCAAGGTGGTAAAACCGAATAAAGGGCGTGGTTGCAACCACGGTAAAAGAAGGGAAAAAAAAAGAAAAAGAAATATTCCTCCCCACGTTTAGTGTTCCAAGATTCTCAGACTGCCCTGGACGACACAGTTCTCCAGCACCGATCCCGGCGGAATGTCGATCGTGCTGCCCTCGGACGCCACGATGATGACAGTGCCCTTGAGCGTCACGTTGCGACCCAGGTTGACCGCACCCGTAATGGTGAGGTGGTCGAGCTCCGCAATGCGCGGGATGCTGGGAATGCGCTTCTGGAAGTCCGACACCTTCTTGAAGTCCGAACCCAGCTTGATGATGGGCGCCCCACCGAAACGGTTGGGGTCCATGACCAGCTGGCCGTGCTGCAGGCTGTAGAGGTCCGACTTGACCAGCATGAGGTCGGAGCAAGTCTTGACCGGCAAGAAGCGGCGACGCGGCACGTTGACACCGTGCGCGTTGCGGAAGTGACGGATGGCGGCGCCGACCGCGGTCTCCAGCTGGATGATGGAGATGTCGGCCTCGCCCTTCTTGTCGGCCGGAATCGACTTCTCGTTGGGGATGATCTCCATCTCGAGCTCGTTCTCCTCGACGACCCGCTTGATCGCGCGCAGGTTCATCCAAATGTTATTGGTGTTGAAGTACTTGAACTTCTTGATCGACTTGAACTCGTTCACGTGCTCCTTGGGCACCTGGGCGATCTCCAGCAGGCGCACCTTGCCGTCGTAGTCAATGATGGTACCACCCTTGACGTCGGCCTTGGTCTTGTCGGTCAGCTCCATGATGTACTCCGCCTTGGATTCCACCATGTGCTGCAGGATCTTCAGGTCGACCACGGCACCCAGGTTGTCCGCGTTGGACAGGAAAATAATCTCGATACCACGGTCGAGCAGCTTGTCGAGGGTGCCCGAGTTGTACAGGGACTCAAAGACGTCACCGTGGCCGGGCGGGTACCAGTCCGAGATGGGAGAGCTGAAGCTCTTGGGGGCGGGGAGCAAGGAGTCCTTGAGGACACGGGGGTAGCGGGACTGGTTGAAGGTGATGATGTCGACGTTGTGGCCCTCGTACTTCTTGATAATGTTCTGAGTGTCGGCATCGGTGTTGAACGAGTTCATCAGGACGAAGGGCACGTTGACATTGTAGGTGCGGTTGAGGTATTCGATCTGGCGGACGGACAAGTCCAGGAAAGACATGCCCTCGCGGACTTCAATGACGGACTTGGGACCGACACAACCCATGGAGGTACCCAAACCACCGTTCAGCTTCAGAACAGCGAGCTTGTTAAGGAACTCGACCGAAGCAGAGTTGTCCAGGTCATTGTAGTCGACCACCTGTTCGGGATTCGGGGGAGCGATGCGGTCCCAGTTGACGACGTTGCCCTTGGCGCGGTCATTGAGGTAACGGCGGAAGAGAGCAAAGAAGTTGTCCATCTCAGCCTCAAATCGCTTGCGGTCATTGGGATCCGGGACGGTCTCCACGAGCTTGTTCAGCGCATTGCGCATCTGCGAGGCAGCGACGCTGGTGGAGGCATTCTCGAACGCCTGTGCGGGGGAGGAAACTATCAGCATGTTGCTTTGATTGGCACAGTTGCTCAAATGTATGTAGCTAGGAAGACAATGAAACCACACGATCGAATGGTGGTCAAAAAGAGAAATCTTCAATAACGCGTCCTTCACGGTTGCATGTGAATGTTCAGTCGCGTGGAGGGTGGGCAGGTCACGATTTCTCGCTAACCCACCACACCGCGACCGAACTGGTAAACAAACAGCAATGCCAGACAAAGCAAACAGTGTTGTTGCAAGACACTAGCGCCGTCCCCCCCCCCCCTGACTTGCACTCACCATGTGAGACTGGGATTTTCCATGGTGCCTGCGCTCTGCGGTCGCATCACCGTTGGAGCCATCGTTCGGGGCTCGCAGGTGGGTGGGAATTGCTCTGGAGGCCATGGTAGCAGGGTTGCGATCCTCCCACAAGAGTCAGGCAGCCGAGAGACGATCACGAAGGAGAAGAGAAACTGGGCAAGAAGCGGTGAAGGTCGAAACTGCTCACCACGACAGACTCAGTCAGCGAAAAGCGACAAAAGGGAATTCCAGCGGTGGACAGGTGGTTGATTGAGGACAGTTTGCGGCCGCCGAAGGAAAGGAGGGAGAAAACAGCCGACGGGAGGAATCTTGGGAAGCTTGGGCAATGACCGCATGGTGAGGAGAGGGGCTCCGACTTGCCACGCTGGAAGCTGTCCATCCCGAGCGGCCAGTCGCCCAAGCGATTTCCCGGCGATCAATTCGCAGCTGGGGAGGAGAGGAGAGGCACTTACAGGGCTGGACAATGCAAATCAGCAGGAGGAGAAGGTATACGCAGTACAGCACACAGGAGGACGAGAGACGGAGGAGGGAGCCCCTAGGTTTTGTAGGAGGCAGCTGGCAGAAATAAGTTTCTCCAGGAGCTTGGGCTGCGACCTTAGCAGTCTCCTATTACTACTCGGAGCACAGGAAGGAGTGGAGGGGTGGACCAGCGGTGCGCGGGAAGGCGCAACGACTCGACACACGAACGGCAGCTACGACTCGCGGCCGAGTCACCTGCCGCCGCAGCGTATATAGACGCCCATAGTCGTGCGCTCCATGTCTCCTGGACGCTGCTCCTCCAGCACTGCTGGGCCTGCTGCTGCGATGATTTGTTACGGTGCGGTCCCCAGGGTGCCAGGCAACTCCACCTGCATCCTCTCCTGCCTATTATTAGCAGCAGGATGCGACCGCCGCGATCGTCGGACAGCTCTATTCGTGAATAGTAACTGAACAGCCTGTCCATGGTCCAGCGCACCGTTGGCAACGTTGCTGCTCGAGATGCTGCCATATCGATGGTGCATCTCGACCGCTGCTAGCATGTCCAAATCAATCGGCCTTATCGACCAGACGTGAAACACGAGCGCATGCCAGCTCTTCCTCCCTCGCAGCCCCTTTTCGTGCTCTCCAGACTGCCCCGAAGCCACGGCTCCACCCGGCCATTCTCGACCTTCTACGTGGCCGGCCTGCGATTCGCCCGCTGCCACGCTTCGACCCACGTTCGCCCGTCCCGCCCCGCTGATTGGCCAGCTCCACGGCCCTCCCGCCTGCACCGCCTTCTCCGGCGTGAAAATGCCGCTTCCTCAGATGTCGAAGGTCGCAGTCGCTGCTCGCTCAACGCTGGCTGCTTCGTCTGGTTTTTTTTTTTACGTGGGTGGCGGCTGCCTTAGGGCACGCTCGGTCCGATATCTTCCTGCCCTGGAGCACCCGATTTCTTGGCAGGACCTGTGGCTGACCACAGCCATGGGAGAGGCTGCTGCCATCGATTGCTAGGCTTGGTTTCTAATTATAGCGCTGGACAGCTGCTCCGTGGTTGACCAGCTTTCAACGATGCTCGACCATTCGCGACGGTAATTTCCACAGGATTCTGCTCTGCCAGGGTCGAGAAACTGTTTCAGTTGCCTCAGTCAATAGTATTGTTCTTGACAGCGTTGTGGCGCTGACCGCTGTCTTGACTATACTGCATGGGTGAGGTGTCCTGCAAAGGAGAGGCCTGCCACGTGCCAATGATCTTCTTTTAACAGCCTCTCTTTCTCCCGCGTTTGCAGCTTGAGTCGAGCCACGTTCTGCCTGATTCAGGAGCGAAATAACCATAATCCTCAGGCAAGCAGCCAACAGTAATACTATCAGTAAAAGATCACCCACAACGGAAGGAGGACTTTGTCTGTACTGTACAGTTCTCTTGAAAAATACCATACTTCTAGAAGCCAGGGCCATCCAGATCGGGTCTGGTGGCGGCTTGCCAAGATCTCCTGACACCGCAATTCTTCCCCGTTCCAAAAAGGGACTTTTTATAACCTGGTTTCAGCTGTCAATGGAGGGCGGAGCTTGCCAACAGACTATAAGAAGTCAGGACGTAGTAGATGCTACACGTTACTATTATTATAAGACAGCTAGGATATACTCCGTACGGGGAGATACTATTATTACCCCCAGTACGGAGGAGCATAGATCTTTACAGTAAAAAGGGGGATTGATCAGGTGGGCTCTCAAAAGCATAAAAAAAGCCGCAGGTGCATTGTTACCAATCACCCTGAAATGCAATGCAAAGAATAGTCGATTTCTTACGAATGTGTCTGTCTGTTTTTACTCAAAAAAAAAAGTTCACCCTGAAGAGTGAAAGGAAAAATATAAACTGCAGTGAATTGATGAACCCTGACAACTGTCTATCTACCTGCTAAGTATATAATAGGTTCATCCGTATAAATTAAAGAAACAGCATCAATTTCGTCAGTCTTGCATCTCTGCCTTTTGCTTTTGAGAATGGCTGGCTACTTTTTGAATTTCGAACCTGCTCGACTATTAACTAACAAGACTTTGAAAAAAAAAAAGAAAGAGAGAGAGAGAGGGAGAATTCCACGCTTAAGGCTTCAGCAAAATCTTGATCGAAATTGAATGGTGCCTGTGAACTATACTCAAGACTTCTTTTGTTATTATTATTTCTGAATGTCCGTAAATGAATGCCGTTACTGGAAATCTCGACTCCAGAGTATGTATGTACAGAGTACTACGTACAGTACATAGGTACCAAGAATATGAATCCACCCTATTGACTTCCTTCCTTTTTTCGGGCTGAATAGATCTCACGACTCAGCTTACGCGGGCGAGTCACAGTCTGCGAGTCAGCTGACTACAGCATCGACCAACCTCATCATCCGAGAAAGTAGGACACGAGCTGAAAAAGCCTTTGCAGACTTCACCTCATAATATTACAGCATTCAGAAAGAGGGATTCAACGCCTGGCAGTGCTGTACGGTTTGACTCATGTCACAACACTCTGACATATTCAAGTCAATTATCAATCTATTTGCAATCACAAACACTACAGTATGGCAGGACTAATTATAGACAAGATGAGGCTGCCTGCCTGTTTCCCTGCTATAAAATGTCCTGTCTGTTGTCACAGGGCGACATTCTATCACCAACCACGTCTATTCTAAAAGAATAGTATATACTTCATTACTTAGTTCTATCCAGTCTTTCACCATGTCAGCTCCTCGTAAATACCAGCCTGGCCATAATCAGGACTATTATGGCCAAGGCGGACAGCCTCAGCCTGGCTACGGGCCACAGCAGAATTCATATTATGCACCACACGGCCAACAGCAGCAGAATCAATGGACTGCTCCTCCAGGACCCCAGAACGAGTTCCCCGGGTACGTCACACTGCGTCTCTGCTCGTCTTCCTGCCTTCTCTACATAATGCTAATTATCCGCTATCACAGCCCTGGAGAATCTCCCGCAGAGAATCAACTCAACGCTGGCGAAGGCGAGCGCGGCCTTGGCGGTGCCCTCGCCGGCGGTCTTGCGGGCGGCTTTACAGGCCACAAATTGAACCACGGCTTCCTGGGCTCGTTTGGCGGCGCCATCATCGGAAGCCTCATTGAGGACCAGTTGAAGAAGCATGGTGGAAGAGAGCATGACGATCATCGTCACCACCACCAGGATCATCATCGCCAGCAGCAGCAGCAGGCTTCCAATCTTCTCCCTGGTCAGGTCTTGAGTACTCTGACTGGAGCGGCTAATGCTTCCACGGCTAGTCTTCATCACTGTAAGAAGTGAGTGATTGATTCAATGGGGCAGGTGTGGTGTTGCTTGTGCTGCTTTTTTTTTTCTTTTTCTTTTTTTTTTTGTACTTTTGTTTGGTGAGAGCTATGTATGTATGAATTTGTCTTGTCTAGAAGGATATGAAATTGTCAAGATAGTAACTACGATAAATTTTATCAAATTCCACGCTGTTTGCGCGTTCAAGTGATAAGAGAAGCAGATTCAATTGATAAATCATTCCAACCAGCTCTACAAGTGGTTTTATCTGGGGAGGGAACAAGTATCAGCCGTAAACAGTATATATATATTGTTGATGTCTGGCTGGTTGTAGAGATGACCACCTTGGATCCGTGTAGACTTATATTCCTCAGCATGTTATGCTTGTCATGCAAGCAGGTAGAGTTGGACTTCAGCAGCAATGTCAACATTATCAATGAGCATATACTAATTTCACCTAGTTGAAATAACATTCGCGTTGGTTAAAAACTTTAAAAAAAAAAGTCCGACGATAAAAAAGCCCACACCCTCAGTCCTCTTGCGAGGAGGAAGGGTGCTACGAAAACACCACTGCGTCTTTTCGACGGGCGAGGTTTTGCTGATCCTCCAATCTTGACCGATGTCAGCAAGAAATAATTGCGTCTTCCATCGACAAGATAGCGGATCGAATCCTAACCCTTAACCCTATGGCATGTGTTTGTTTGTTTGTTTGTTTGCCAGCCTGCTTGTCTGCGTGCTTGTCCACATGCTTGTGTCCAGGCCTATTGGTAGTGCTTTGTCCAGCACAGTAAGCACTATCTTCTTTATGGCTGCAGACCGTCTTCCCCTTCTGGAAGGTACGAGACCCCACATGGCGATAATAATAATACTTCTGACAAGATCTAGACCTTTATTTGCAGGGCACAGCTGGATTGATGAGATCACGCGAGCATAGACTTCAGTCTCGCTCCAACAGCCAGGTCTGAAACGGCGCCATTTCTCGATATCACATCACTGCAAGCTGAACGACTGGCTTGGAAGTTCCATCTCACATTAAGATTTTGGCAAAATGCGCTCATCTGAGTTTTGACTATTCCTGCTATAATAGATATAGACATAGACAGATTTACATCCCCGTCACCACCCTCATACAACGCAAAAAAAAAACACCAAGAAAAGGCAGAGCTAAGCAACTCATTTCCGCTTCTTACTACCACTACTCCCCTTCTTCACCGAACTATCAAACGAAACCGTCTTTTTCAATATTCCTTTCGGTGGTGCTTGCTGCGAATGGGAATGCGAATGGGAATGCGAATGGGAATGGGAATGTCTGCCAGTCGACGCGGATTCACTCCCAGAGGAGTTCTCATCACTATTATCGGAATCGTAGTCGTTATGTTCCTTCTTCGAGACTCTTGTCGACGATGACTTTTCCTCCTCGTCAGACTGATCAGCGTCCTTCTTCGCTGACTTTTTCGCTGACTCCGCTTCCAGCCCCAAGAGCCCGAAATAGTCCTGCAATTGTGCTTCGCTGCCGCCACCTGCATCTGCATTCCTTCTTAGCGTCGCAACAATCTCCTCTTCGAAAATGTCCGTCCACAGGTCTAGCTGCTATTGCCAGCCGATAGTGATGCTGTCGTGGATGTCATGCTCCGCGCAGTGGTGGTGGTGGGATAATTCTGCGGCGTGCGTCTGCCTCAAGGCCAGGATCTCGCGGCACGAGTTGCGCAGCTAGGCTGCGGCTGGGCCGAGGTCTTTCTGTGGGGTGTCTGGGATGCAGTCAGTTAGTCGGTCGATATGCATGTGCAGGATGTGAGGGGCGTACAGATCTTGGCAGTGTAGTACGCAAACTTCAGCGTCTCGAACCGCGCGACCAGCTGATGGTACCGGTGACGGATGTGCGTTCGTTCGGTTGCATGGCTGTATTCTGAGTGAGTACTACTTGGCCCCTTGACATGGATCTCAGGAGGGGGAAGGGCATGCTGCTGCTGCTGCTCGATCGATCCGCGATGCTGCGGAGGGGAAGACGACACGCCGTGTCGTTCGTGGTCCGATGCCGACGCAGAGGAAGGTGACCTCCCTCTCTGGGGATGCGTATATTGCTCTGATGGCTGTGACGGTGCGAGAAGCTGAGAGGAATCCTGCTGCTGCTGCTGCTGAGGCAGGGCCGGTGTCGGAACGCGCGACGCAACCGGATGGGCGCTGTTTGGCCGAGGACTCTCCCAGTCGCCTTCAGGCGGGAGAAGAGAACTCAGATCGGACGGCGGCACAGCACTGTCGATTTCAACCGGGTTCGTGTCGAACTGGACAATCCGCTGAGGCTTGGGATGATACGGTGCGCCATGCGGTGTCGGATTTGGATAGCTTGGGAACTCCACTGGTGGTCCTTGGGCGGGCTGGGTGTGATATTCCTGGTAATGATGGGATGGCGGGAAAAAGACAGATCAGACCCGTGAGAATGCGGCTGATGGATGATTGATTGATCATTCGCCGACGAGCTGTATCCTGGGAACGGCTGGTTCGAGGTCCGATTGTTGTAGATGTTATCCAGACCGTCCGCAATGGAGTTCTTCATGGAGCCTTTCGGGTCGAGAATGAACTTGCAGACGGGGCCGATCTTGGGATTGTTCATGTCCATGGCGAGAATCACACTTCTGGCGGGATTTGATAATAGGCGAAAGAAGTGAGATTTCAAGAGGAGCCATCTTATAGAATACCTGACACGTCCGCCACTAGCAGTAGACGACTAAGACAGTACGATGTTGTATTCGACTAAGATTGTGCTATTTTCAGCGCTGTCGAATGTGTCAGCATGTCAAGTCTCAGTATTAGAAGAGTGTCAGCTGACTACGTTGCATCGCACCTATACCGATCGATCAGAGAAACACCCTGATTGCTCCTTATCGAATCGATCCATCTCACTTGTCCTCAAGTGCTCTTTCTTTGCAACAAGATTTTATTCATAATTCCCGACAGAAGAGCATCTAAAAAGCCGTCGTCCTGCTTTGCACCAGTGTTTAAATACCTCACTTCGTCCGTTTCCTGGCTATGCTATCGTATCGTAAGATTGTGCAGCTGTTTTCACAGACAAGATACGGTCCATAATTATGTGATAGGTAGTTCATTGAATACATTTCCTGTACTAACACTCTGATGAAGTTAAAACTTCTTTCCACGGAACGAGTCGAATCTGCCATGGCTTGTCTCAATCTCAGTCAACAGGACAGGTATTGTGATGTTCCGCTACGGTTTTCGATTCTCCGGCGGCGTTGTAGACAGCCTGATCAAGAAAATTGGACAACTGGAAAAATAGATCTATAAGTTCCCGAACTCTATTGTTGTCAATAGTAAGGAATTATCACTTCTATAACAAACAGGCATGCAATAAGTGTACAATAAGTTCTTTCAAACAGAAAGAAAAAGAGACACACAATTGATCTGCTCGATAGGTGTGTGCAATGCTCAACAGAAAGGAAAGGTTGAACTGGCAGTAGTGGTATCTGATAGACGAAAGAAGAAAAAGAGAATGGCATACTGCGTACGGACGTCCGTACTCCGTAAGAAGTCAAGTCAAAGCAAATGCGCATGGAAGTATTTAAGAAGGGGGGGGAAAAAAAAGAAAAGAAAGGAAGAAGAAGAAAAGGGAAACGGTGGGGGAAAAAAAAAAGGAAGGAAAAAAGAAGCAGGCTTAATCCAACCCAACCATACCCGCCGCCCTGGACACAAGAAAGTCCCTGCCCTTCGCGATCGACACCAGCTTCCCCCAGACGCGCAGGCCCATGATCTGCCCGGTGCCACCAGCCGCACCCACAGGAACGACCATCATGATCTTCTTCTTCTCATCCTCGACGTAGCGGCGCTGTTTGCCGCTCCCCAGAATGTCGGCCTTCAGGTTCGCGACCACAACAGGGGTCTGCTCAGCGACCTTGAGGGAAGTGCGGATAGGATAGGCGGTGATGTCGCCAACGGCGTAGATCGGCTGTTTCTCTTGCTGCTCGTCTTTGCCTTTCACGCGGAAGTACTCATCAACCTCGACCCAGCCATCTTCGTTGAGGTATTCAGCCGGGATGAACCTGTTGTTGGGCACCACGCCCGTTGTGGCGATGTACGCGTCTGCCGTCAGCGTCTCGCCGTTGTCGAGCTTGACGGTCCATTTCTGATCATTTTGCACCGCCTCAACCACTTTGCGCGACGTGATCACTTTGACGTCCCGCTTGGCCAGGAGCTTTTCGGCCGCCTTGCCCGCAGACTTCTTCAGCATGGGCAGGACGCGCTCGCTCGCCGAGACAAGGGTGATTGACGTGTCCGACTCCGTGCGACCGGCCCAGGCTTCTGCCAGCTCGCCGGCCAATTCGACGCCGATGGGCCCCGCGCCGCCGATGATGACGCTCTTGGCCTCGGAGAGAGTCTTTTGCGTGCGACTGATAGCCGCTTCCAGGTCGTCTGCCCCCGTGCCGGTGGGTTTGAATGGCACGTACATGCCCTGCGAGGCAGAGCTGGTCGAGCTGCCGGATGCGATGACCAGGTAGTCATACTTGTAGTCGTAGGACACAGAGGACGACGAGGTCCCTCCCGAGGACAAGGACACCTCCACGGCGACAGTGCGAGAGGCGGGATGGATACGCGTCGCGCGGCCCTTGACAAACTCAAACGAGTCCTTGGCAAGCTTCTTCTTGGCGAATGCCTTGTCGATGGGGAGCAGGTACTGCTCCGGACGGAGAGCCGCTGGTTTGGCGACAATCCGGGGCGCAGCGATGTTGAAGTACCATTTGTCGGACGGGTCGATCAGGATCACCTTGACCTTCGCCCGGCTAGGTGGCAGGGCCTTCAGGAGGCCATTGGCGACCTGGAGGCCGGCGAAGGACGCGCCGATGATGACTACCGTCGCAGTGGGGGTGTCAGCGGCCATGTCGGACTGCGTGCTGTCTGTAACAGCAGAAAGGGAAGAGAAGAAGATGCCCGATCGAGTATTATTGTTATTATCTCGGGGGGACACACGCTGGCAGTGGCTGGACCTGCCTAGCTAGGCAGGCAGCGATCATCTTGCGCAAGCGGCAGGCGCCATGCTTCTCCCCCCTTTCTAGAAGGCGCGTCCGAGCTTCTGCTAGTCGCCGGCACTGCCCAATCACAGTGGGCCTTGCATGTGCCTCCTGAACGGTCGTTTTACACGACAGACAGCAACGTCTCAGAAGAGAGACGTCCTCGTGCTAACTTTCCTTATTTTCTTCTAACCAGCTGCAGTGTAACTTCGTTTTGAACGGCCCCGTAATTAATAACAATGGAATCTTCATTTCTCAGGAACCGAAAGCCAGTGGTGCTCCTGTTGAGGAACGAGAAAAAAAAAACCAGTAAGGATATCACAATTACAAAGAATAATGCAATGCAATGCAGCGTTACAAACAGTAAAGAAACAGCCACCCGATCCGCAAATACCAGCGCCTGCAAAAGCTCTACCCTTGATTAGTACTCGCGCTCCGCTTCGACAGGAAGCTCCGTCGCGGTTTCCTCTCCGGAGTTTCACCGCCCTCCGCCGCATCCCCGTTGGCAGAGTAGGCCGTGCCCGGTCGAATGCTGCCAGCGTCGCTAGGAATAAAACTGCTCTTGAGCGTCACTTGTCCATCACCCACCTTGATCGTCTTCTCCCGGCCGGCGACGGACCCTTGGTCGTCCACGAAAAACAGCGTCTCTCCGAACACGTCGTCAGAACCAAACGTCGAGTGATCCACAACCCGCAGCTGGAACTGCGCGTCGGCCGCCACATTCGGCACCCGGAATGTCTCGTGCGACGCATCAAACTGCACGGTTCCGCTGCTGGATTTGATCGCCTTCGTCTTATGCACATCCTTGGCACCCTTGGAGCCGATCACCTTGACAATCACCCGCACATGGGCCGACGCCGGGAACCCGGTGGCGGAGATGATAGTAAACGTTGCGATTCCCAGGTCGCCACCCTTGTCGCCGCCAAACTGCGAGACCACGCTGCGGGTGCGGCTGTGGTGCCGTTGCAGACTCTCCGGTGTAGAAGCCGCTGCCGCTGCCGCTGCCGTAGGAGGAGTAGCACCGTCCACGAGCAGGGCTGGCGAGCGCTGAAGGCCCTCCGGCTTGGGGTTAGGAGTTCTGGGCGGAGACTGCTCTTTGGCCTCGCTCGGAGGAGTTGTAGTCGCTGCGGGTTCCTCCTCTTCGTGGCTCCGGAACCGAGAAACAATTCCACGGCCCAAGAAGGTGGCACCCCTAACAACACCTCCACCAACCATGCCAACACCCTTGACAGGAGCCCCCACGATCTTTCCGGGGGTTGCAAATGTCCCCGAGAACGTCGACGAGCCCTGTCGGGACCGGGTGACGTAGGATGGCTTGAAGAGCAGCTTTAGCCGGATGACTCCGGATTTTCCGTCCAGAGGGAACGACACCTCCTTCAACTGGAAAGGTTCCAGCTGCTCCAGATCGATCGGGGCACCGCCCAAGTAATCCGCCTTGTCTCCAAAGTCCCAGTCATAGACATCCACGCGGAAATCGGCGCCAATCCTGGACTTGACTGGAGTCTCGAAGAACTCGTTCCAAGCCGGGTGAAGCGTCTTCTTCTGGACCTTGGTCTTGTACACCTCCTTTCCGGCCAGCTTGAACTTGCAGTAGGGGTCGCTGTATCCATTCCGATCCGCCGATGGGAGATCAGCCGCGTCAAGCACGTCAACACGCAAAGTACCCGAATTGTTGATGCTTTCACGCGGATCCAGCTTCATCTTGACGGGAATGAATCTGAGGCTGACTTTGATCTTGTTGACTGCCCCGTCATTCGACCGGAGAACCAGCTCTGTGGGAGTGTACTATGAATCGCTCTTCGTCAGCCAAGACTGCAACCCTCTTGGGGACGTGACCATAAAAAGGAGGAACATACCAAGCAGCGCTGCAGAGTCTGCAAGGTCGGCCCAGTCATTTTGGCGACCGTGTGCGATTCGTCCTCGTCCTTCTCCTTACTCCGCTGGACAAGCCGGAGTGTGATCTGAGACACGTCCAGCTCGCGGACAAAAGCATCGCCAACTGCAGATCAAGTCAGAGCCAACTCTTCGACACGTTGATTGACGGAAATACATACTATCTGCAAATGTCGCATCCTTTGATTTCACCTTCTGTGACGTGTACGATGGGAACAAATGGTCATCCAAGACGACTTCGAGCTGCAAATTGGGATGTGACAATTGGCCTTCGAGAAGTTTGAAAACAAGCAAACCGGATTCTGGACATCATTAGCTCGGTTTCGGGAGCGACGGTGAAACCAATGGCGATACATACCGTAATTCTTAAGATCCTCTGGTCCGATGTAGATCTTGGGAGTCTCTTTCGCAGACGAAGCGATAGAGGTAGTCTCCGCATTGGAGGCAGCATCGCCATTGAGGAGGGGCTTAGGGCTGTTGGCCTCCAGGCTCGGTCGGCCGTTGGCCTTAGACAGGTCCGTGCTGGGCCGCGGGGCGTCTTCGCTCTTCCGTCTGGTCGAATCCATACTCTTCCGCTTCGAGTCGCTCCTCCTCGACAGCGCGGTGGATGGTCGGCCATCACTTCCATCTTCTTCTGCTTCCTCAGCCTCTTCTTCGGGGTCCACGACGTTCAACGTGGGATAGAAGGCAACGGTGTAGTGGAGGTAGCCTTTGACCTGTCCCCGGCCATGCAGGCGAAGCCCACTGGTGATGGGCTGCTTTTCGTCATCGACTTCGTATTCCCCATTCTCACCCTCATGAATGTAATCGGCTAACGGGAGCTCAGCCTCACCGAGAGTGCGGTCTTTGCCCATCGTCTCTTCGTCCATGACTTCCAAGGTGAGCTTTTCCCGAGGACTGTGAACGGGCACGTAGACCACTTCATCCCACTCCGGATTGAGGTTGTTCCGGAAGGTAACTGTCCGGCCCTTGGGAATGCCAGACAGCAGGACGCGAACATAGGGGTCGGACTTGCCCATGGTCTCCAGGTTGCGCAGGTCGTTGGCGCTCTTGAAATGCAGCCGGACGACACCAATGGGATTGATGTAGCCTGCGCTGCCTGCCACGCCCCGGAGAGCGACAGGTTTCCAATCCAGCGTCATCTTGACCCGACCGGTCTTGGCCCCGCTCAGCTGGAACCACTCTTGGCCCTTTTCCATCATCTTGAGCATGTCATTGACCTTGATCTGGTATTTGCCGATGACCGGGTCCGTCGCGAGATCTCGATCATCTTTGATCACGAGCCCCAGACGAGCGTTCTTACGGTCGGTGATGAGCAGTTCTTTCGACGGATTCTGGAAGATCGGGTTGTTGGTCCGCTTGAGCTTGTTGGTGATGTGGACCTCCTTTCCGTTCAACAGGAGGACCGCATACGGGTTGAGAGCGCCAACCAGACTCTTGGTGCCATCCAAGTCCTTGGCCTGCTCGACCGTAAACCGGGCAATGCCGGTGTTCAGCTCAGGCGGCGGTTCGACTTCGCCGTTCTCCAGCTTCCTCCCTTCCAGGATGGGGAAAAAGCGGACGTCGGCCTGCAAAACACCACGATTCCGACCACTGTACAAAACATCCAGATTGAGGTTTTCATGTTCATGTTCCTCCTCCAGCTGATCGAGGGGGAACGTCGCTACACCCAGTTCCTTGTCTTTCCGGAAGTCATTGTAGTCGTAAATGTGGATGGTTAGGGAATCGGTAAACGACGTGATGATGATGTAGAGAGTCTCGTTCCAGCGCGGGTTGTTGGTGTCATGGATGATCTTGGTCCGTCCCAATTCGTTCCGGCTGTTGATGGAGACGGTGGCGTACGGGTCGTTGGTGTTCCCCAATCGCTCGGAATTCTTCAGGTTCACAGCTCCGTGAAGGGTAACAGCAACAACACCAATCGCCCGATCGACCGGATTGCCCGCCAGCATCTTCGCAATCTCAATTGGGAAAACATTGGGTTCGTACATCATCGGACCCAGATTGCCATGGATCTGCTCCTTGATAAAGGACTCCAGGCCGGGGATGAAGTTGATATCGAAGCCCAAATGTTCTCCACCAATCGGCTTGCACACATAATCGATCTCTGGCCGTCCCAAGAAACTCACGTCAACACGTTCAATGTGGGGGAAGGGGATCTGCAGCTTGACTTTAACCCGCATCAAGCCGGAGCAGGCAAAGTCCTCCACAATGACGTCGAGACCCTTACTCACCACGCCCTTGCCGACTCGCACTTCGAGGACCACTTTAGGGTTGATTTTGTCCTTGAGCTGGCGGGCGGTCAAGTCCATCGTATCGTTGGGCGTGAAGCTGAATTTCCAGTCCATGAGCACCGTGTCCGGCTCCGTCTTGGGGTAGGTTTTGACATGTTCCAGCCGCGGGGGTTTGGATCCGAGAACGAAGGTCTTCAATCGCAGACTGTCGAGGAAGGTGGGGGTCGACGTGCTCAGGACCTGATCGACCGAGTTGATGATGGTGTCACACAGCACGGGCGCATAGATGGGCCAGAATTTCACCAGGAAGCTGTTGATCCACTCCAGGCTTTCAGTGTCCGTCTCCAGACGTTGCTTTGCCAGCTCCCGATGAATATCATCGCGGTAGTTACGTCGAACGCGGCGGATGGAGGTTCGGTAGTAAGTGCCACAGGTCGCCATGACGATCAAAACCCAACCAAGGCCTCCTCCCAGCACCGCGATGAGCCAGGATGATAGACAGGCGAACACAATCACGGCCGCATTGTGATACCAATCTGCCGCCATCTGTTAGTAATCAAACGAACGAGACCAACTGCTTCATCATAGACACCACCCACCTCCGAAAAACTTATCATCCAGCTTGCCCTCCAAGGTGGTCCGATGGTCCAGCAACGTCTCCTCTTGCTCTTGGTCCTCTTTGTGTTGCTCGAACTGTGGAGCCCATCCGGTCCGGTCTCGGGCCCATCGCGTATCGTCCGTCAATTGGTCATTGGCTCCGTCTTCGGCGGGAGGATGGATGATTATGTCTGCGGGTTTGGCTGGGGAAGGCAGGTCATATTTGTCGGGGCCTTTGACATCCTGGGAGAGCGAACATCAGCAACGAGCGGGATGGGAGTGTGCGATCGGGATTTGGAACTTACAAGATCCGATACCACTGCTACTCCCGTGGGCTTTTTCGGGTTGCTAAAATTTGGGGGAAGGGCCTACGGATGAGATGGCGAGGTCAGCAATGCGGGAAAAGAAATCTCTCGCGAGATTCTTGGGCGAGTGTCGTGGCCTACTGATTTCACTGCTTCGGCCTTTTCCTTTGGAGACGCATCAGGGTCAAATTGGAAAGCTGGCACGCCGGCCTTGCGGCTCTGTTCGACCAGCTCCTTTTCTGCGGTCTCGGCTTGGATGTGGGATTGGGGGTCTTGGGCAGCTGCCTGGGCAGTCTCGATGGCACCTGGCTGCTTGGCCTCGGCCTTGGGGGCCTCTTCGGGGGAGGGCGCCATGATTGCTGCACTTGCTCTACCCAGCTGGGCACACGAGCCCTTCTGGGGGAGAAGACAGGCTGCGAGACTTCAATTTCAGCAATTGAGCTGGACAGTCGCCTTGGACGGCACGGGGGGCCGTTAAAAGGTGACGAAGGCTGCTGGTGTTGCTGACAACTTGTTCTAGCCTGTCGACGTCAGAGTGGCTCCAAGACGGCGGCTCTTGGCCGCAAAAGGTGGAACTGGAAGCGATCGAAAATCGGCTGGTCTGGTGAGGATCAACTCGATTGCAGAGGGGACGATTCCTGGGCCTGGGGAACCTCCCTCGGGAGAAAGAAAAGGAGAGAACGGAGGAAGGATGGCATCCAGAACAGAGAGGTGAGCTGGTATTGTTGTCCGTGAAGTAATAGGTAGGGACCCAGCAAGGAGGCCGAGGGAGGGCGACGGTCGTTGGCCCGACCGGACAGCTGGAATCGCTGGATTTCTCCAGAAGCGCCTGCCTTGGCTCGCCGGTGGATACGTAACCGCGCACGCCGGCGGCCAGTCAGGGCGCAGCGACTGGGGAATGCAGCGGCGCGCTGTGGCTGGTGCAGGGCGTGCTTCTGCTTGCAGGCCGCTGGTGTTTGGTAGCAGGCGGAGGAGCCGTCGATCAGCAGCAGAGAGACGTCTGGGGAAGGATGACTGGAAGGAATCGCAGCAATAAGTAGGGAGTAGAAATCTGAACACTCCAGATCCCGAGCAACACAGGAGTACCTGGAGCCCCGAGGCGAGAGGCCCCAAGCCAGCCAGATGGCGTTAGGGGAAAGCACGAGCAGGCGCAGGCAGCGCTATTCCAGAGGCGTGGATTGTGGATTGCACGCTCCACCGGGCCCGCCGTGGAAATCGGAGCCAGCGAGCGCCGGCGCGAGATCTATCGACTCCAGCCGCACCGCCACAGCCAAAGACGGAAGGCCCGTGGCTGCCCTGCGGACGCCCGGAGGGGAACAGTGAGGGGAAGGCGCGATTAAGGTTGGAATCCACGCATGAGAAAGAGCGATGCGAGCAAAAAAGAAAGAGAAAAAAGACTCGGGACGAAAGCACGGCAACAAGGTTTGGCGTGCTGCATGCAGCGTCACACAGCCATCCGCATGCAGCAAGCCAGCTGTCGTCTGGTCTGCTCTCGTCTGAAGACCGAAACAGGAAGAATCGAGAGAAAGAATTTCTCTTGTTGTGGCTCGTGGCCAGGAACGGATCCGTGACGTGTGGTACGCCCACGCCGGCTGGCTGACTAATCCGTCCCATCCAGGAAGAGCCAACGATTGCGCATACTAATTCGCCCAGCTATTTTTGCTGGCAGATGCAACTGCAGCTGCACGAGACCAGACCCGCCGACGCAGTCTGCATGATTATTATGATGATTCCCGAGGTTATGACCTGTCGCCTCTGCTGTCGTTGATTGCAGCCTAGCACGTCACCCTGCACCGCCATGCATGAGGAGCTCCGTCCACCAGGGGTGGCCTCGGACGTGGCGCGCCACGTCTTCTCTGCATTGCTGAAAATAAATTTCATTCCTTGGCCCACCTGAATTGTGGTGTTGTGCAGCCCGCGGCACTAATCGCGCGGAACGGGCTGATGGGTTGACTAGTGCTGTCGATCGGAGCATCCGACCGTGGTTCTGGGAGAGATCTTCACAGCCCTGAGCCCCTTTACTTCAGGAATGGTTCCTGAAGCCGATCAGGAGTGTCCCCCTATACGGAGTAATAATCTGTGGGCTCGCATCGACAATAATGGGGGGACTCTATAAAAAAACATTCCTGTCTGACCGTCTGATCCTCGATCAAGCCAGCCAACCGCAGTGACGGTGTAGTAAGGACTTTCGTGCATTGCAGTTGAGATCATCTGCATACTGCATTGGACGAGACGATTTGATTTCAGGCAATTTTCTTTTTCTTGCAAACCAATTATTTTCCTTGTTCTTCAATTGGCATTGAGGTCAACGCACAAGCAAAAAAAAAACCAACAAACCCTCGGTTAGAAAATACCCCGCCATGCTTGGGGGCTGCAGTATTTGTCATGTGGGGAACCAAATTACTACACTATCTTGCATTTTTTGTGGGATATTTGTTTGCATATTCATTCTCCTAATATTAGTACAAATCCTATCTCCAAAATATGTTCTGTATGGTACGTACTCTAAATATATATTTGCCTGGGAATTCCAAAACAGATGCACTAGTATCTATCTGCACGAAATTTCCTATAGCCAAGAGAAGATGCAGTGATTTTGTTGGCAATCCGATCCTTTTCCTTGTCCCGCGATCCCGACATCGGCCGCAGGAGAAAAGATTCGCCTGTTGCCGGGTTGCTTCCGGCATTTCCCTGCAAGGATCATATACAGAGAATGTACTCATGAGAAGCAGCGCATGGCTAGTATAAGATGAATATCTTAAGCTTAGCAAGTCTACTGTTATTGGCTGGCAGAACTATTCTCATGGTGTCATATGCGCCAGAAGTGATCTAACCTCCAGTATGTTCACATAACCGCGTCTGTCTGTCTTATTATTTCCAAACAATCGTCAAATACACTTTCTACATGATAATATAAAGCCTTCAACGACTCGCGCTGCTCGTCTAGGCTTGTAATATATGTTACTGTCATATTACTGCCATGCTGCAGGCGCTCTTCTTCGACGTCTTCGGCACCGTCGTCGACTGGCGGTCCTCGATCCACCGTGCCCTGACCAAACACGCCCAGGACGCCCTGCACGATCCCCAGCGCGACCTCTCCGCATCGCTGCGGGCCAGAGTCGCCAGCCTGACAGACGCCGACTGGCACGCCTTCGCCGCGCAGTGGCGGCAATCGTACAAGGTCTTCACGCGCACGTACCGACCCCGCCGCCCACGCGGGCACGTTCG